CCTCCTCTCCCCCCCCCCCGTACGCCCTACGGTTATGCAAGTGGGAAGAGGTGCATTTCATGGATTTCGATGGTGTTGGCAAGGGACTCCTTGACACAATGCATTTGGCCCCCTCTGTCGTCTCGTACTGCACTCTGCGGATCTATTGCTCATTTGCTCCACTGCCAAATGCTGATTGAACCCGGCGAGACCTTCATTGTGAATGTTTACGGGCTGTTTGAGGGACGGGTGGAGGATAGTCGATGCACATCTGGGGGAATGCGCCGTCGGCTAATTGAATTTTTAGTGATGTGGGGGGAGGAGGATTTCTTGTTTATTTTTCATTCGCAGATGTGGTGTTAGGAAATTTTGAAAATTAAATTATAGTTGTACTTGAAGGGGTTTCTATGTTGAATTAACAATACTTCAATGACATCTAGAATTTTCAACATCGCACATCACATTCAATAGAATTTTCAGTCGATTGAAAATTTGGGGAAATTTTTTTTTATTAACAGAAAATTCGGGGAAATTGCCGCTTGAATTTGCTAATTATTTAATAATTATCAGTATCGTGTGGACCTGAAACTTGCGATTCCATTCAATACTGCAGAATTCGACTGATTTTTCAATAACAAAATCAATGAAAATTTTGAGTAAATGAGGGATCGTTAAAAATGTGTGATGTGTGATGATCATAATTTTTTTGGGTTGCTATTGATTTATTATGCGTTTGCGGGATAATTTCTAGTCAATAGTGACTGGTAATTTGTTTAGTTCCAGAATTCGTTGGAAATTGAATGAAATTCCAAATTTTTCAGCACCAGATAGACGAGAATTCCCCAACTCACATGAATTTTCAATTAATGAGAAAATGGAAGAATGTATTTACCTAAAATTTACCGTTTAAAATTTACCTAAACTCCAAAAACTACCTTCTGATAAAATTTTCCGACAACAGCACGGGAAATCCCCCCCCCCCCCCNCCCCCCCCCCCCCCAAATCTTCAGCATTAAAAGCTCCTTCCCCCAAAAAATGAAATATGCAGAAAAATCAAATATACCTCAAGAAATCAGGATAATTCTGAAGAATAACAGGCTAGAAACTTTTCACCCCCGTATAAGAGTTCAACCTGGGGTACATTTTCAGTGGCTGTTCTCCCTGCCCTCCCCCCTGCATTCTCCCTCCGTGGTGTCGTGAAATATGTCGCGATTTACACAGGAGATTGGCCTCATTGGCGCCTGGGGACCAAGTGTACTCCTCTCCCACGCGGGGGATTTTCGTTCTGAATGGGCGGGGGGTTTAGGATCAAAAAAGCATTTGGCAAATCCGTCGGTGAAGTGGTGGAAGTTGTGTACGTTGACGAAACTCCACGGTTAAATCCAATCTCACTCGTGCGGTATCGACGGGTTTATCTGGTTTCATTCCAAAAGCCGATGGTTAAGTGGAATAAAGATTGCGTTATTTCAAGGGATGAGAGAGAGAGAGAGTCCCCGTAGCCCCCGAAATCTCCCTCATAATGAAAATATCCCCGTAAAATATGAAAAACGCTGAATCCATATTTTTCACTCCAACTGCGCGCTCCCACAATCATCCATTTAAAATTTTAAAAACCTTTTAGTCGTGATAAATACGCCAGCATTTTACAGCACGATTGGGTGATACATTTGTGCCGTATTACACCGATGGTTATACACAACCGTGAAAACGAGACTGATCGAGTTTTAGAATTTCAAACACTGGACGAGGCAAAGCCCGTCCCCATGGTGACGTACGCCCCATTACTGTGAGCTGTTTGCACTCGATAAGATTTTTATCGCAATAGCATCCCACAGCAATCGTTCACATGCATCTATACACACTTGATATCGACCATCAGTATGCAAAAGTGAATACATCAGGATGGTGTATGCATTGGTATCTAACGGGTCTTTTTAAATTTATGAACTATTCTCATGTTTAAAAAATATGAGGAGAATTTCTTGATGGAGAAGGCTCTCCATTTTATACAGAATTTTTTTTTCTGTAAAATAAGGACAGTAATGATAGTGTGAACATGTTTAAATTAATTTTTCAATTCAATTCAGAAGTGGCGAAGTGGTAAAACGGTTTAAGTCGACTTATCTCTTAGTCGAGTTTGTGAAGAATATCTCTGAATTTAACGGAGATCATGAAATTTTCGTAATAACCTTTTTTCTAGAGCAAATTGAGTGCTGCAAAAAAGGTTTTGACAAAAATTTAGCTCTCTCCCTTCGATTCCGTGATATTCAGTAAAAACTGGTCAATAGTCAAAATCGACTTAAACCGGTTTAGCACTTCGCTACTGAATTGTTTTTTTGATAGAATGAGATGAATAAAATCAAAGAAAATTGATGTGATGTAGTAATAATAATTGATTTCTAGTGGAGAATGATAGACAGTTGTGAGTGTGCGGTATGTGACATTTCACGAAGATGAAAACATTATTCCAGCATCCGCCAACCCAGCTTTTCCATTCACTCCCCAGAAACTAGCCTTTCAAAGCCGCGTATCGCAAAGCAACATGACGATACATACAAACACGACACATTCACGGTAAAAGGTCGAAGTCTGCGGAGCCCTCCATCATGTATTCAGTACGTTGAGCCAATATTGCTTTACTCAAGACGCGCTCTGTAAGTCTAATTCCTTGAGATCACATGGAGGCGACAACGGCTGGAAATCCAGGGGATCCTCGTCACATCCGAGGTGAACATTTTAATTCGGGCATGACGAAATGAATGAGACGGTATTCAGGGGTAACTGAAACGTCTGATACCCGATTTTTCAGGGCTCAGAGATGGTTCGGGGGTACGTGGCAGGAATTTCAAGGGCTGAAAGCTTCAGGGCTGAAATTTCCCATTTTTAATGCCCAGTATCTCCACAACCGCAGAGTGAAATTTGAGAAGTTTTCTTTCATGTTGAAGATATTTTTTCAGGCTTGAAAATGAGCCTCGATTTATCTAAATTGCATCGTTCGTTCAGGAGATAGCGATGGTTTAACAAAATCGATTTTATTGGATTTTAATTTTTAATGGTTTTTTTTAGTTTAATTTGTCAAGCCGAATTTTGAAAAGGTCATATGACCTTTAGCCCTGTAATATTGATGAACAATTCTCAATTCATGCCCCGAATTTCAATTAAACATAGAGCCTGTCAAAATCATTCAACGCTCTGTTTGAATTCCATGAGTTTTATGTGAAGTTTTATGCGAACATTTTATTTGGGCAGTAATGTAGTGAATGCGACTGTAATCAAGGGTGATTGAAACGTCTGATACCCGATTGTTCAGGGCTAAAAAGCTTCAGGGTTAAAATTTCATATTTTTAATCTCCAGTAGCTCCACAACCGCAGATTAAAATTTGAGAATTTTTCATCATTTGTAAAATAATTTTTTCAGGCTCGAACACGACTCTTAATTTATCAAAATTGCGTCGTTCGTTCAGGAGATATCACTGATTTAAGAAAATCTATTTCATTACATTTTAACTTTTACTGCTTTCCATCGAGTTTAATTTATCAAACGGAATTTTAAAAAGTCCACATGCCCTTTAACCCTGAAATATTGATGAACACCCCCCAATTCATGTCCCGAATTTCCATTAAACATAGAGCCTGTCAAAATCCTTAAACGATCCACTTGAATTCGATGGGTTTCCATGTAAATTTCATTAAAGCCTTGTGGGGGTCCACCGAGTGGCTCGTATACCTTGCTTACAGGAAACTTGGAACAGAATNAGAGCAGGAGGTTCTTGGACAAACCTACTGGTTAACGTCAGCCCTTGACGACTCCTCACGATCCCCCATATTTCCCCGAGTTCTCGTTGTACCGTACAATCAAGTGTTTGAGATTATGATGGAGGCTCTGGTCACGTATTTCATTAACCGTCACATCGGCTTGTACCCGTGCAGGAGTGACACTGCTGTGGGGTAGTTAACCTCGTGCAATATGTTTACCCATAGGTCTGTAACCTTCTGCGTCAGACTATGCGTAACAATTAATAATTCTTGTGACGAGAAACAACTATTTTCGAGGACATTTCTTCAATTTTTTTGATAAGACGAGAATATTATATTATATAATAAAACAAATTATAATATAATATAATATAATATTTCCATTGAAATAAATACAAAATTTTTAAATCAAACAGTTTATTCCCCTGAAATCCGCTATTTCTAGGCGAAAAATCGATTAAAAATGTTTTTCCATGTGAAAAGATGACTATTAATTAAGATTAAATCATTCACCTCTATTTCTAGACTTTCTCCCGTGGACTTTGTCGAGCCACAGTAGATTTGCATCGCCCATTCCGCCCTCGACGTCCCTTTCGATCTCCAGCTCTATCCAATTCACGTTCTCAAAGATTTCAATCTTGTTCTGGTCCCAACATACAACTTTCGCGTCCCTTAGATTTCTCCCAGGATGTCTCGATACATTTTGATCCCGTGAAATATGCTCTACGATTTTATCGATCAGTGGCTTGACAAAAAAAACAAACTTCATGTCTACACAGAAAAAAAATTTAATTATGAATCCTTGAAAGTATGTTTTTCTTATTTTCAGACTGAAATCTGCTCGAGTGCTCTGACCGACGTGATTCACGCAGTCATAAACGGCACAGACGGCTGTCTCTTCTGCTTCGGTCATGCTGGTCTAGGTAAACACGCCTTATCAATTATGTAGAACTGAAAGGGAAAAAAAGTACAGCTAAATAAATAAAAATGAGAATTTCTTATTCAAAGGTCTGCATCGGCACTGTCTCAGGACTTGAGTCGTAAGGCGCATGGTACATCCAAAGAAGAGCCAAGTTGTTTTACATTTTAAGTAGTGATATCGAGTTTGCATGCAAATTCATCATTATAAGGCAGCGCGGATGATGCCAAGTAAAAGAGTCGCGATGAGGAGATATGGAATAAAGTAACGAGGGAAATGAAACAAACAGACGAGAAAAGTAGCGTTAAAATGGAAATAAAACGAAAATTGTTGAGATAAAGTAAGCAAACTCAGTCTCAGTTTCTCCCTCCGTTATTCCGTGAGATGAGAAAAATGAAGTTCAACTCCTGTTTTCAACGTGATTATCCAATTCTTCGGAACAATTCCCCTCATTTTTTGAAGAAAATTTTCACTCAAACGTAAATTTTATTTTTATTTGCATTTTCATTCATATCAATAAATCATTTTCTCAATAAAAAAAATGTTTCTTCGATCCAATAACAGAATCTATCCAACATTTTTTTTAGAATAAGTAGAAAAATTTAAATCAAGAGTTTTATTGGATTCACATGCGCCATTTCTCGTTGCAAATGTCAATCTGGAATTTCATCGAGGGGCTGCGAAATAAAATAACGAGGGAAATGAAACAAACAGAGGAGAAAAGTAGCGTTAAAGTGGAAATAAAACGAAAATGTTGAGATAAAGTAGGCAAACTGAGTCTCAGTTTCCCTCCGCGTTATTCCGTGAGACGAGAAAAATGAAGTTCAACTCCTGTTTTCAACGTGATTATTCAATTCTTCAGGAGATTATTTCTCCGAACAATTCTTTTCATTTTCGAAGAAAATGTTCATTCAAACGTAAATTTTATTTTTATTTGCATTTTCATTCATATCAATAAATCATTTTCTCAATAAAAAAAATGTTTCTTCGATCCAATAACAGAATCTATCCAACATTTTTTTTAGAATAAGTAGAAAAATTTAAATCAAGAGTTTTATTGGATTCACATGCGCCATTTCTCGTTGCAAATGTCAATCTGGAATTTCATCGAGGGGCTGCGAAATAAAATAACGAGGGAAATGAAACAAACAGAGGAGAAAAGTAGCGTTAAAGTGGAAATAAAACGAAAATGTTGAGATAAAGTAGGCAAACTGAGTCTCAGTTTCCCTCCGCGTTATTCCGTGAGACGAGAAAAATGAAGTTCAACTCCCGTAGTCAACGTGATTACCCATTTCTTCCCGAGATTATCACCGATAAAGAATTATTTATCCGTCTTCGTACTGAATTTAACGGTCGTATGAGGCTGTATTGAACCAGTGGTGGATGGTAGTACAGAAGCTGGGTCGTTAAAATATCATCAGTGGAATCGCGAACATTTAAACGACAGGGGGTAATAAATTCCACTGCCATTAACTGCAACGTGTCCTTTTACGTGTAGGATTACACGTGTCTAAATGTGTTGTGGTGCATGTTACGTTTTTATGCATTTGGGGAAACATATCTGGTGATTTCAGTTGCATTTGCACACTGTGGAAAGATCATTCTGTCAGGGACATGCTGTGCTAGCATTAGTGTGACGAGAGGTTGTTAAAAATTTTGGAGGTTTGCGCGGGATTAAATTGTAACTGAAGAGAATAATTCAGCTCTACCCTTTTAAAAAATTGCACTTCACGCCACAGAACTCGATTCGGAGGGAAAGTGCTTGGGGGATTCTGAAAAAAACGCACTCAAGTGACTGAATTATCGATTGAACATTAATATTCAGCACCAAACGCCCTGAATTTCACATTAATTTCCGTTTTTCCTCATTTTCAATGGATAATCAAAGTGGAATTGCCAATTTCCACTGATTTTCTCATCAAATTACGGGGGAATAATTGACATTTCAGAATGGATAAACTCGTTTAGTTAATGAATTATTAATTTACTATTGTTCCAGGTAAATCTCATACAATGCTGGGAACTCCAGAAGCTGGTCACACCCTGGGGGCAATCCCTTGCGCCATAACGTGGTTATTTAGAGGAATTGCTGAACAGCGTCAACGAACAGGTGCCAGATTTAGTGTTCGTGTCAGTTGTGTCGAATTAACGACCGGTCAGCAGCAATTAAAGGATCTCCTCGCCGCCTATGCCAATGGTAATTCCTGAAAAAAACTTTATGGCTCGGGATTTTATGGCTGTTTTTACACGGAAAGTCATTATTACCCTTTTAGTACATTGGGGACATGATAAACTCTGACAAATCCATTTCGTCAACGAAAAATCGCTGTACAAGCAGTTTATTTGAGTAATTGGATAGTAAAATTTTCTTTGAGGCGATTTTTTATTTGAAATTTTTACTTCACTTTTCTCATAATTTTCCGTTGATTTTCTTCTCCGGTTTGTGAATTATTCTAATGGAGGATGCCTCTTATCAAAAGACTTCGCTAATGAATTGTTCACACCATTCCAATATTAAATTACAAAGTTGACAAAGTCCTGTTTCATTTATAAGAGGGAAAATTATAATTTTCCATGAAAGAGATTGAAATGAGAAAAAAAAAGTGATGGCATAAAAACTCGTTACATTCAGCCCCCGAGCAGTTTAACTTTGACTCCAGTGACTTTTCCTATCGTGGAAGGGAGGGAAAGTACGTTTGAAGGGACAAAACTAATTAAACCACGTCTCAATTAATTTTCCAGCTTATTAAGTAATTAACTGTTATCCTGGGAAATCGCTTCCTCTCGGGGAGAACCGCAATTCTTACCGATTTCGATAATTATTTGTCTCGGAACTCGGCTTAAATTCAGCGATGAGTCTCTTAAAGTTGCCCTCACAATTCTTTCTTACGTAATATCATAGACGAAGGAGTGGGGACAGCGAGTGCTCTCCGGATGTTTTTCCTTAATTACCAGGTGCATGTACGTTGTTGCCATTTTCCCTCTCATAAAAGTTGCCCCTGAGAATGGACAGTATTTCCGGGCTGGTAAGTTTAAGTGGCTGCAGGGAAAGCGTAACAACTGCTGGGGAAAAGTAGAAACTGGATGATGTGCGGAGAGGACTCAGTCAAATGAAGACGAAATGAAACTTGAGATTAAATTAAATAGCGGAAGAGTTGTATTCGCCGTGTTTTTTTTTTTCTAACGACGTCCGCAATTTTTTTTCAATTTCAAAGACTTCGGGAGGTTTCACAGGGTTGAAAAGAGAATAAAATGAACCTTCAGGCAAAATTTTTTAGCAATGCAAAACAAAATTTTTCAACAATGCAAAACAAAATTTTTTAACATCCAAAGAAAGAATCCTCCGATCATTCATTTGATTCGCCCTCCACAACGTGTTACGAAAGTTTCCTATACCGTAAGAGAAGTCACCCCACCTAGGAATGTCGGGGCTCCACAAGGGTAGATAAATCGTCTCTACGCGTTTCGAATGATCGAAATTGGGGTAGGGAAATGCTACCCCTGATTTCAATCGAAATGGCGATAAAAAAAATGTGCGCGCAGTAATGACCATGTCCAACGTGGCTTCATAAACTTAGCGACGTCTGGATCAATGTTACAACAGCTCATACAAGTCATACATAAAATTTCAAATGGCCAAAGCTCCTATCCCCCTTAAATAACGTTTAACCGTATTTTATAAGGCTATATGTTCACGTTCGCACGTGAAATAAACGCGTCTCATGCATAGCCGAGGGCACACATGGTGCAGAGACCTCACCCCCCGCTCAGTCTGAAAAGTAATGTAGCTGGTGTTTTTCTTGGGATATATAGGTTGTGAATAAACCCAGATAAGTGAGCCTCGAAAAGATGAGAAAAGCCCGAGCAAAAGCTTTCAAGGATTTCCCTGTAAAATACCTCTTCATAAAACGATCAAGCACTTGAATGATTTCAGATTCCGAGCAGTCGCCCGCGGTCTACCTCCGAGACGATCCATTCTTCGGCTCCCTATCCCTCCAACAGCACAGCGAAATCCGAGCCCCCACCGCGGAGAGGGCAGCCTTCTACCTGGACGCTGCGGTCGCTGGTCGCCAGCGAGAAGACAGCGATGCCCACATGCTGTACACCCTCCACGTGTACCAGTACAGCGTCGCTGGAAAGGGGGGAGGTGAGCAATAAATAAAATAAAAATTTTCAGCTTTCCATTTTTGACGTGGATACGTCGATGGTTTCAATATGGGGGGTCATTTTGGGAAACGGTCCTTAAGTGCAACGCCATCTATCGAAATTCTAGAAAATTCTAGACATTTCGAGGTAATTCGCGAAGTTTCTTGAAATTTCGAGGAAATTCGGGGAGTTTCTAGGAAATTTGAGAAAGAACTAATGCGCCACGCATTAGTAATAATTTGAACCCCCCCATCGGGGCATCCTAATGAGAAATTAATGCGTGAAAATATCTTCTTGTGTACTTTGAACACTGACAATTTGATGAGAAAAATAATTAGTAACACGACTGATTCAATTAGTCAATTTTATTTTTCTTCTCAACTGAATTGTCCACTCGATAGGTTAAACATCCTCAAAATTTCCCAGAAACTTACCAGTACAGCGTCGCTGGAAAGGGGGGAGGTGAGCAATCGTCCAAAATTTTCAGCTTTCCATTTTTGACGTGGATACGTCGGTGGTTTCAATATGGGGGGTCATTTTGGGAAACGGTCCTTAAGTGCAACGCCATCTATCGGAATTCTAGAAAATTCTAGACATTTCGAGGTAATTCGCGAAGTTTCTTGAAATTTCGAGGAAATTCGGGGAGTTTCTAGGAAATTTGAGAAAGAACTAATGCGCCACGCATTAGTAATAATTTGAACCCCCCCATCGGGGCATCCTAATGAGAAATTAATGCGTGAAAATAGCCTTTTGTGTACTTTGAACACTTCCAATTTGATGAGAAAAATAATTAGTAACACGACTGATTCAATTGACTGATTGACTACAATTTTATTTTTCTTCTCAACTGAATTGTCCACTCGATAGGTTAAACATCTTCAAAATTTTCCAGAAACTTCCTCCCAAAAGTTTCGAATAGTCCTCGTCTATCAATCCCAATGAACAACAACACGATAAATCATGAAAACCTTCCCTCTTTCCCTGAAAACATTTCCAGTTGCCGGTGGTAGAAGCAGACTCCACTTAATGGACCTAGGTAACTCGGACAGAGGTAAAGCCGCAGGGGGCATACCCCTCTCGGGACTCGGTAATATTTTACTAGCGATCTTCAATGGGCAGAAGCACCTGCCCTACAAAGAGCACAAATTGACGCAGCTCCTGAAGGAGTGTCTCGGGTCATTGACCTGTCACGCAGCGATGATAGCGCACGTCTCCCCGAATGCCCAGCACTACACAGAGACCCTGACAACGGTTCAATTAGCCTCGCGAATCCACAGGATGCGTCGACGAAAGATAAAATTCGTGAGTGGTGGCGCTCCGGGCAATGGCAGCGGCGGAAGTTCCGGGGAAGAAGCGGCCAGACAAACGAGCGAGTGTGACCCATCCTCGAGTGATTTATCAGCCGACACTGTTATCTACGTGGGGCCGGGCGCCGATGACGCGACAGACGGTGAACATCCACCTGTCTATTTGCCAAGTTTAAATTCCGGTGACAATCGTTGCGCGATGGGACGCGCTCTCCGGGGATCGGCGGCCGAGCGACCGACTAAAATCCCGGAGGAGCGTAGTCCGGCGCATAAAGCCAATAAGGCTGTCAAGAGCTTAACCCAGACGGCGTCGAAGCAGACGTCGCCGGCGCACTCTGCCACCCCGAAAGCCAGTCCTGCGAGAAAAATGTCCTCGACGAAAGTGCCCACTTCATCATCCAAAGGGGGAAATGACTCCCCTACGAACACTAAACTGCCGGCCGGTACGACAGGTGGGTCTGACGAGCAGTGGATCGATGGCCCGAGAATATCAAAGTCGAAGGTCGCTGAGGCCAGGCACCTCCTCAAGGAGGCGCACCACAAGAGGGAGACTTGGATAGACGGGCCCATGCAGCTGACCTCAGCCCTGCCTGGATTGAACTCGTCGACGCAGCACGGGGGGTACGGCTTCATGGACAATCACAAGAAGATCATGATCAGGAAGTGGGTGGAGAACCAGTCCTCCCAGATCCAGAGGGCGAAGCACGCTGCGTCGACCTCGACAGCTGCGAAGGACTCCAAGTCCGGGATCTTCAGGGACATGGGGGGCTTCAGAAGCTTCGAGGACGGCGAGGACGACACCTCGCTGTCGACAGTGGGGAGTGACAGCTTGAGGGCCACCGACGTGGAGGACTGCTCTGAGAAGCACGGTGCCAAATTAAACCTTCTGAACATCAAGTCGAACGATGACTCCGGACTGGATCTTACAGCGAGTCCCGGCATGGAGGAGAGCATCGGCCAGTGTCGGCTCGACAGCGCTCAGGAGGACGAGGACGACGACGAGGAGATCGTTGTGCCGCCCCCTCTGCCCCTCATCGAGCCACTTAGCAACGGAGTTAGTAGAGAAGTTTCCATGGAAAGCCTCAATTTATCCCACAAAGACATCCTTCCGTCGAGGCATTCATTATCGTCCGAGGATGAAATCCTCGAGATTGTTGAGGTGGAAGACCTCGAGCCCGTGCCCATGCAGGACTCCTGTCTACAAGTCACCGAGGAGGATATTGCGTTCTGCATGGGGGAGAATCCATTGCCTGAGAGCGATCAGGAAGAACATCCACTGAGGATACTCAGTCAGGAGAATCTGACTATTGTCTCGACGTTCACGGATTCTATGTCGGTTATGTCGGACAGTGAGAGGTACAAGCCGCAGTTTCAACAGGGTGTTAACGCCGGGATGGGGGTACTACCCAGACCTTATTTCGATCATGAGGATTTTCTTGAGCAGGAGACGAGACATAAATTCGATCAGCTGGCGAGGCTGCATGAGCTTTATCAGAGCAAATTGGCGCTGGCTAATGTCTCCAATTCCGTGACTTATCAGAGGGAGAACTCGTCGGCTGTTAGTGTCAGGGATGGCACTTGTAAGTAGTTTTTTTCATTAGTTCTTTGTATTTTTTATTTGTCAATCGTCATTTTGAGAGGGGGAAACATTTGGTCTTTCGAAACGGCTGACCGTTCTCAGACCATTTCCCCTGAAATCACTCATTTCATCTGAATAATTCGACGGTCGAGTGTAGAGTCGTTGAGAAGGTGGAGCATTCTAAAAGTTTGACGCTTAGGAACGTCTAATGTTTAAAAATATTTTAGGAGGGAGGTCTGACCCACCTCGGGCCATTTCCCCTGAAATAGCGCATTCTACTTGAATGAGCTTAAATATACTGAATCTGTGGCCCATTCTTTGGCCGCGAGTGACGGAAAAAAGGACTTAATGGATTTCGATGGTTGTTTTACTATTACGTAGTTTAGGGTCCCCAATATCGGCTTTAGGTTATAAATTATTGCGGAATAGTTTGGTATGCGTTGAGAAACTTCTAGAATATTCTCGAGTTTTCGAGATAATTTCCGAGGTTTCTACAGAGTTTGAGGATATTTTCGGACAGTGGTAGCCATGTTCATCAATTATAATTACTGTCAAATTATGAAGTTTACAGGAAGTTGAAGAAAATTTTGGGAAATTTTTTGTGGTTCTGAACAATTCGAAGTTTTACGGTATTTGAAAAAATTTGAAAAAATATTCAGTTTTATAGAAAATTCGAAAAAAACTCTTGAAAAACTGGAGAAAATTCTCTAATTTCCTAAACAATTCGAGCGAATTCTCAGGTTTTATAGAAAATTGGAGAATATTTTTTTTTTTTTAGAAAATTCGAGGGAATTCTTGTATTCTGTAGAAACTTCGAAGAAATTCTCGGGCGTTTTAGGAAAGTCGAAAATATTGACGTGTTTTTTTTTATTCTAAGGATTTTCAAAAATCCCGGTATTCAGTTTTATCTTATTCTGACCGGGCGAGGCCGGACCACACAGGCAGTGACACAGCTAGTCCCCTAATTAATTAAAGACTTCTTAAAAAAATCGTTCGCCCCTCACAAATTAATTTCCCCCCCAGCAAACGTCTTCCGCCCGCCATCGCGTTGTCAATCCCTCTCCCTGTCGGACGTCCTGTTCAACGACAACGCGAGCAACCACGGTAGCATCTACAGCGAGCCCGCGTACGTAGTGGGCAAGGACGAGCAGGAGAAGATCTGTGATAACTGTCGCCAGAGCATGTCTCGTCCAGCAACGGCGTCCTACTGGTACCCCAGTAGCGTCGCTCATCTGGCGAGCCCCAGGAGGTTCTGCGGAAAACTGGGCGAGTGCAATATTTCTAGTCTCAGACATCCCGATGGTGCGTCTAATCCGAATTTAAAAGAGGAGATCGAGAGGATACCTGGGAACGGAGCCTCCGGCTCTGATCCTGAGGAGGAGTACATTGAGGCGAAAAAATTGTTCACCACTGCTGAAAGATCGGAGAGAACTGTCACAGGAAAGTCGGATATTGAAGAGGAGATGAAAGTTCCAGGTGTGTTGGGCATTTTTGGGGATAAATATGGCTTGAAATACCGATAGTAAAATGGAATTGTTCATTGAATTCTCGTGATTTTTAGAAATCATCATTTTACGAATTGAAAAAAATTGCAATTTCATGGACAGTTGAGTGGAATTTTCAGATTGACATTGAATTGAATTTATGGGGAAAAAACGATAAAATTTATCATTTCCAGTGGTTTTTCAATGAAAGTTTAAACATTAAATGCCGAAATTCCCTGAAATACCAGTCAAAATTTTGCAATACTTTGAGGAAATTTAGTTCTCCTGACCCACAGATTAAAAAATCAAATCCAATTGTTGATTGAAACTCCACGAAATAAACGGAGATTCCAAGTCCCTTGAGCGAAAAAAATTCCTCTTTTAAAAAAACTAGTGTTTTCACATAATTCACCACAAACCACTTGAACGATCGTTGAAATTCCCTATCATTTCAATAACGAGGTGGCAATCTTTTTCCTTCCCAAGCTTAATTGGAGGCTAATAGCCCTTGGTTTCTTTCAGTGAATGTCCCTCTGCAATTATCAATTCCGTCCTCTCTGCCGTCCTCGGGTAGAATGCAGCGGAAACTTCTGAGTCTCGGTTCGTCGTACGGTTTGAGCAGAGAGAGTTACGATTCAGGGGCAGATTCCACCCCAAAGGCGGCCAAACTTTCTCCGGCTACACTCTCGAGACACAGAGCCGAGAGTTCGGGTTACGACAGTGTGGTCAGAGACAGTGAGACAAGCAGTATCGCCAGTGATTCGTCGAGACAGACCAGCGCTCTTCAAGACCATCAAGGTAAAGCCCCCAGATCAGTTAACAAATTTAAAAAATGCAAAAAAAAATGAAAAATGAGAATAAAAGAAAAAAAATAAAAATAATAAGAAAAATAAAAATAAAAAATCAATTGATCACTCGATGAAAATAATAAATAAAGAAATAAAATGAAAAAATAAGAGATGAATTGACACCTGACGTGGCCCCTGTTGATTTCTTTAATTTTAATTCGAGTTCTAGTGAAATTTTTTCTGCAACTACTCCCTCCGTAAGAATAATCATTTTTCTCAGGTGGCGCACTGGGTGTTCTAACTTCGACGTTGTGCGGGTGTTTCAGCGGTGGGACAGCTGGACGGGTACGTGCACCAGGAGCAGCTGGAGGTGCCCGTGATACTCGTTTACACAGACGAGGACGTGGAAATACTGGATCGACGAGGTCGTCTGCGCTCGGAGCCACGTGGCACGATGTCCAGGATAAACAGCCTACGACTGCGCCAGCGCCTACTTAAAATTGAACTCAGAAATGCCAAAAAGAGATTGTCGATACCGGACGACAGGTGGACCTACGACTGTGAGTCAAATCATTAATGAAGATCATAAAAACATTTCGAGCGTTTTCAAATGTCGAATTATCTCGGTAACGAGTTGTTCTGGAGCAAAATGTCAGAAAATATTTTTTGTGGGGAATTTAATGAGCTACAAAAAAGGTTTTATGAAGTTTTTTCTTAAAGCCACTTGTTTTCGAGATAAACGCATCTTTGTGAGAAACTCATCAGGATTCATCAGGAGATTAATTAAAATGATTTAAAAGGGTTTTATGTTTTTTTAAATGCTGAATTTCTCGGCAAAAATGTCAAGGGACATCCTCTCCTTGAAATTCACAGTTATGTAGGTGAAGATAAAATGAAAATTGATGAATAAATATTGAGTAATTAATTGAATTATCAAGTGGACTAACGAATAATAATTTTTTCTTCCAGTACACGTTGAAGACAGCATGGACTGGCGCGATCCGTCCTTCCTGGAGGCCCTGGAGGCAGAAACCTCGATCCTCCAAAAGCGGGTAGAAGCCTGCAAGAGTCACGTCCTCCTAGTGACATGTTTCGATTCCCACCCGACCCACCGTAAAGCGGAAAAGCGAATATCGTGATGACTAGAATTACCCTTAGGACTCAATTAAATCGATGAAATCATCCACTCGAAACGTTCAATCTGCATCAATTAATCAATACTTATCATTGCCGACGTACTAAACCCATCGCCTCATTAATCATCCAATTAAAAGACTGTCGGCTATTGCCAAAGTATTATTCCAGAATTAATTAAATGGGAATGATGAGGTAGCTTTTCCTTAATAATTCCGACTGATGAAAAAAATAACAAAACAGGCACGTAAGTAGTCAATGAATAAAGTAAGAGAACTTTTTAAAGTCGTCATCAGAGTCAATTCGAACAACATTTTAATGTAATGGGCTATAAAAATATCGAATTTACCATAGAAAACCAGGAAAGACTGATATATATTTCTTGTGCAAGACGCTTCACTGTTGGAAAAATAGCGAAATTTCGTGGACAGTTGACTAATAAATTCAAGAGAGTGACAGTGAATTCGATTGAGGGAGAAAAAACTGAAAATTCAATTAAATCTCTCACCTTAGTTGAATTTTCAATAACGATATTCCTTAAAAATTCATTGAAACTCTTATGTGATAACAATTTCCAATAATTGTACCAGAAATTTCAATAAAAAATTTTCAACAGTGTTGTCGACAGAGAGACGAATGAGGAGAGAAATTAAGTGTTCTATTACCCTAAAAACACCACAAACTGCCAAATATCAATCATCGGATAATAAACGAAGCTGTAACCAGTGAAAATAGAGACAGATGTACTCCACGCACGATTCATTCAACATATTACCGTAGCTTTAATCGTTAAATCGCAATTACCGCACGAGGTAGCGCTCTGTACTTCACTAGAGAGAGATGAGTTGTATGAGAGAGAAAATAAATTAATTGTAATTTTAAATCGCAAAGAAACAAGTATTTGTTAGCAATGTTGAGAGAAACTGACGTGTGTAGAGAAATATTTTACAGCTTCGATGAAGATTTGTCCATATTAACTGGATAGTTGGTTCTCCCTGATCCCAAATTATACTCGAGATTAATGAAATGTAGATAGAGTGACTCCCTCGCCCTGATTTTTGCCCTGAATTATTTGACGATTCAAATTTTATCAATTATTTACATGTTACTGGGTGAATCAATTTTAATCATTCGTTTTTTCTCCATTTAAAAAAATACTAGACCGATCTCCTTGTTCCAATTAATTAAAGAAATCCACTAGTCTATCGAATGCACAAGAACTCATTAAAAAATTCCATCGTATTCCGTTATAATTGTTAATCGCTTGAACAATAAGACTCGACCAAAAATTGAAGAAATATCTGAATCACGATTAATACTGTCGATGTAAATTGTGTTGAAGCACTGCCAAAAAAAATGGGACGGAATTATTGCCGTGATATACCAGATACTCCGTCTGCAATGAAAACGAAGAAAAAAACATTTTTTAATAATCCAGTAAGACCATCTTTGTATAAAACCAATTGTATGATATTTATATTTTATATGTACAAATTAGTGATGTAATTTCTTGTAATAAAGATAAATTTACAATGTGCATCCCAGGACAATTGAGAACAATGATTGAATACTTCCCTCTATCCATACCTCATGCAAATGAAATCTCGACGAAATCGTTCGAGATAAGTGCGCAATTGGGGGAATCAGAACAGCCAATTGCCACCTCCAGTCGTTTGGGTCGATTTCGTGTTTCGAAATGTTTCCGGGCACCCTATCACGCATGAAAATCACCTCGATAAGAATGCGAAAACGCCCATACAGTGGTTTAAGTAGTGAGATGAAGTAATGAGATGAGATGCTCATCCTCCGCGTTGAGAGAAAAAATTATCTGATGCAGTGGTAGAAATTTGTTGAAATTTCAGTCAGTGTCATCTGAATTTCGATGTCGTTAGTTTTTTTTATTTAAGCATTCAAATCATAGAGTTTATTCTGCTGAAAAAATTACAATAATACGAATGTATTTACAAAATTATTCTCCAGGTTCTTATTTTAACGATTTATTAATGTCCACGAAATTAACTGATTCATTAATGAAGAAATGGACAGAAATTCCTTGGAATTTCCTCGGAATTTACAATGTGATGAAAAATTCCAAGAATACTGTGGAAAAAATTTTAATTCATGGACATTAGACTAGTAATTTTCAGGAATGTGACATTCAATTCAATTTAGGGAGAAAAAAATCATGAAATTTCCCAACTCACTTGGATAATCAATCAAATTATGAATAACTTTCCCACAATGTTTAAACTGAAATCAAATTTTAATCGATTTTTCCACAAAATTTGCAAATGGAACAATAACATGATAAAAATTCCCAGAAAATTCATCCAAAAATAATAAGCAGTGATCACGTGAATAAAATAATAGAAATGCTTTCCCCCATTGATTACCCCCAATCCAAAAATCACATGACATCACATGATGTCCTCCAACTGCCCGAAACCCAAACCGATTAAATTCACGAGTGCAGGGGTGGGGGCTCGTGCCCACCACTGGCATCAATTGCTGAGTCCCCGCTCAACTCTGACGAATTTATCGCAGTCTGAAGAGTGTGCTTCTCCGGGCGAGTTCGAGACAAGTTCAAAGCGTCAATAAGATAGTGTAATTCCCCTGCATTTGCCACGAGGATGGCGACCCAAGCCCTCTTATTACTAGCATTCCTCATTTTTCCATCGGCCCTTGGTCTCAGCAAGGACGGCCTCTACCCCTACACAGGTGGAGGCGCGGAAACCCTCCAGGTCGATCAAAACGGCCAATTAACGTCCGCCGAAGTTCAACTGAAGACACCAATCAATTTCTATGACAAAGTTTACAACAGTATTTTCGTGAGTATGAAACTCCATTTCCTGGGGTTTGTTGACTTCCATTCATCTTCCCACGGGATTAATTCACTCATTAACGTTAATTTGTGTGCGCACGTGGTGTCATGGGAATGATAACAACTCCACAGACACTCGGTCATCCCCTTCAATTCAAGCCATATTTTTTAATATATCATCATTAACTCGCGTTACGAATCCATTAATCAGTACTTGAAATAAATTCGTATTATTTTTTTGGTGGTTTTTATTGGCGCACATTTCCGCGTGAAGATCAATCTGAATTCGGATCGAGTGTTTAATTTATCAATTTTTGTGGAATAAACATTAACGAATAATAATTATAAAAAATTATAAAGCTAATTTTAAAAATTGAGAGCTGAGTTTATGGCGAGATTGAATTCCCGCCGCATTAATAAATCACGGATCAATGATCGATAGCGTTACCACAGACACTCACTCATCCCTTCCACTGCAAACTATATTTTTCAATACTTCATCGTTAACTCTTACGAATCCGTTAATCGGTACTTCAAATAAAGTCTCGCTGTTTTTCATGAGAACAACTCCATTTTGCCTCCCCCTTCCCTATTTATTTTTTCGTCTTTTATAAAACAATCATTAACGAATAATAAAAAAACACAGAGCAAAATGCAATGGGCACTTTAAAGTTTTTTAAAAATGTTAATAACTCATTTAATTTTCGATGAAATGGGATAATTTTTTTCACGGAAAAGACAATTGTTCCTTTGATGAACTCAGACTGAACTCAATGAATTTGCTCCTCCCCCTTTCCCTATTTAATTTTTCTGGTTTTTATAAAACAAATACCACCGAATAAAAATAGTAAAAAATCAGGATTGTCGTTCATGATGTCACAATTGCCGGAAGTCGCCGCGATATTAATAAATCACGGATCAATGATTTCATCGATGGATCGATGCGCATCAGTAAAAGAATACAACCGAGAAAGAGTAATTTTCAAAAGTCATAATTTCCTGTACCCAGTGAAATTGTTTGTACTGACTCTCGCGTGTTTGCAATTTCGCCAGTGGAATAAGCATGTGACAACTAGTTTCAGCAATTTCAGTTGTCTTCCCATCTCTCTCGGCATTAATGACGTCCGCGCGAGCATTACTCATTACACGTCGGCATTTTCAATGAATTTTATCGAACCTCGGGATCTCTCAACTCTCGAGACTATCACCTCCACTAATAAACAAACATGAAAACATCCTGGAGGTGGAGTCCAACTCGGCAAAATTATAATCAGTCACGAGAGATAGTACATCTTCAACGCATTATTTCAAGGGTACTTTGTTTATTTCATCGGAGATTCCGGCGCCGATTGCATCGATGAATATTTAGAGGCGAGCGGGTGAACTGGAGGATCTGGGAACCGAGAGTCGGAGTATTTTTCGGGGTCTCAGAGGGAAAACATTCATATAGATGAGGCCGGCCTACACTCCAATCATCTTTATTCGGTCCTGTCGAGTCGCCAGTTTTATTCATCAAAATGATTGTACTAGATTACACGATTGCGTTAACACTTTTATCACCATAAAACCGGGATATACTCGGTTATGTGAGTCGGAGAATTTCACGTTGCCAAGGGACAATAGAAGAACTTCAATCGTGGAAAAATTCCTGAGGTAGTAATTCGGGATTTGGCTATTCTCAGTTCACAATTGGAAAAACATGAAATTTCATCGACAATTTCGGGGGAAAAACACATTAAATTCAACACTGGGGGGAAGAATTTCAAAACTTTCGTGGATTTTCAATCAAAACTTGAATTTAAGAACATATTCATTTCAATTTTCATAGAATAATTAAGCAGAAATTCACAATTTCAATTAAATGAAACTTCAATTTCCATCAATTTGTTTATTCTTTAATTTAAATTCCTCCAATTCCATCCATTCGTAAAAAGGACACATAAAAAAAGTAGACTTATTAATTACTTCAGAATTATTCCTCAACAACTCCCGTAGATTTCCTCAAACGCTTGAATGAAATGGTTATTTCCTCATGAATGAAGCCCCGATGCCGAAGATAAGAATTCACCCACTGAATTCCTTGTATCTCCTCCAAAGAATTTACTTTCTCATTCGCCCATGTAAACGTGACGATCACCGTATGTTTTGTGTCATCGACGCTCTGTGACCCTCGACCCTGGCTGATAGCCCGAGAAAACGATAGCCAACGGTCTAAACCGTTCGGATGTCATTCGACACATCCAACGAGTCTAGCGCATCAAAGTATATCCCCCGGCGATTTTGCCCCGCGGTATCAATGTTTTCCGATTTCCCAGGTTTGATGCGACGAGAAAATGAATAATAACTGCACGGAAATAGATTTTCGGAGGCGTCTCTGGGCGATAACCGCGAATTTATTCTTTTATTTGTGAATAAAATTGGAAAAAGAGTATTTCTAAAAATAATTTATCACGCTGCGTTATCAGATTGGGTCACTCGAGCCTACCTTCAATTTTTCGTCTCTCAAGTGGAAATTAAGAATACAGTCGAGCGCGTAATTGACCCGAGTGCACGGGGAACAATCCGGGTCAATCGGAAATAACTCCCGAAATGTATTAAACTGACATTGGCCTTTCAAATTTTCCCCGAAGCCCCTCGTAGTAAACCGCGACCCGATTTTCATCTATTCGAGTAAACACTCATTGTAAATTCATGGCCCCATTCATATCTGGGAATGCGACAGTGAGATTCGATGATTTTAAACGGCTCTCGGACGTCGGTGTCGAGACATTAGTCAAAGGGTCATATTTTCAGCCCACAGAACATTAGAATGAGTCTTGGTCTGCTAGCACAGTTTTCTTAGTGGGTGAATGATCTCAATTCACGTGAATACTCACTTTGCCATGAAGTCACCAATTGAAATGTGAGATTACGTCATTTGTGAGCTTCAGATGCTGGTGCACGTGCGGGGGGGCTTTTTAATTTTGTAATTGGGGGATTATCGTATTTATTTACTTTTTAATGAATTACGAGGAATTTATGGAGAGGATATGAGGGATTAGGGGAAAAGTCTCGGGAATTTATTATTTTTTATGCGCCACACGGAGCAACAATATCATTCTACTAATCAAATTGGTTTCAGCTAATTCGATGGGAATTAATTTTTTTCTCGGGACAGACAGTTCAGTATTTTTTCGAGATTATGTCATCGTCGTAATCACTCATCTTCATATTCTTCGCGTGCCTGTTTTTTTATAACAGTGATTTTGAATATTTTTTGAATTTATTCAAATTTTAGTAAAACAAATCAATTTTTTATTTGAGATTTTTTACATTTTTCTCCTCTAAATTTAGTTCACTAGTTCACTAAGCCGTATAAAATATTGAAAAGACTCCGTACACGTCAATAAATTTCCAATACTTAGAAATTCCAAAAACCATTGCACGCGGAAATCCGATTGAACCTTCACATTTCTTTCCTCCCCGGCCTAGGTAAACGGAAATGGTGTCCTGTCATTCATTCGATCGATGCAGAGATTCTTCAACATAGCTTTTCCACTGGATGATCCGGTGATTGCTCCCCTGTACACTCACGTGGACACCCGAGCTTCCGGTACAATATACCACAGTGAAACAGATAACCCAGAGGTTCTCTCACGTGTCGGCGGTATGGTCCGCAGTGCCTTCAAGAATACCGAGAATTTCGAGCCAACCCATGTGTTCCTGGCGACGTGGCTCGACGTGGGGTATTACAACGAGAAGAGCGATAAAGTAAGCCCTATCACATTTCAAACAGAACGAAAAATCAATGAGTGGAAATAAACGATTCTTCCGTTCCTAATCAATAGGTCAATACCTATCAAGTGGTGATATCATCGAATGGCACGCATTCGTACATTGAACTTTTATACCCGAATGGCGGTATCCAGTGGATTCAGGGTGAATCTCATCCAAATGGATTGCCAGATGCCAAAGCACAGGCTGGATTCATGAGTGAGGGGAGAATGTACACGCTGAAAGGATCGGGAACCGATCAAATTCAAAATATCGATAAGTATGCACAATACCCGTTTCTATTCTCTGAAATTTCGAGGAGATGAATCAGTGCACTGAGAGAAAAACCACTGAATGCGATGAAAATAATTTCTTGAGCGAAGGAAACGGCAAAAATATTCGAGTAATTTACTCTTCGGCACACGACCGACTGAATAAAGAATAATTTTTTTTTTCAAAGAAGATAATGTTCTCGTTCATGAATAGGCATCTCGACACGAAAAAAACGATTTCTTGAGACGAGAAATTCTCGCTGAATTCAAGAAATTCTATTATTCAATTATTTTGGGATATGAACTCGTTTCTTCTCTCAAAAAGACTTCATGTGAGAAGTGAACATCAAATGCAAATGAATTTTTAATAGATTGAGAATTCATGAACGTTTTTGCCTGAATTTTCCCCAATTTTCGACATTTTTGAGTTCCGCATAGATCTGGAAATCGAGAATTACGTGAATATTTATAAAATTTCATGTGACATTGTCGCAATGAAAAATTTCAGGCTAGAGAATAAACCAATTTTTGCACATTTTTTCCATTCAGATGGTCCAACGTCAACAGACCCGGCCAATGGGTCTTCCAAATAGGGCCAGTCCCCGAGGGACAGAACATCAAACCCCCCAACAATATCGACAGTACGTAAAGCCCATAATTTATAAATGAAAATAAAAAACCCAGCTATCACTCAACATTCCACCAATGTCTTTAACAAATTGCAATCATGAGAGATCAAAATTTTCTAACACCACCAATTGGCAAAATGACACACTAACGCGTGCCCACGTGCAACTTGCGCGTCAAGTGGTTAACAAAATGTTTCCAGACTCCAACATTCAAATGGACCAGACCTGCATGACCGGTGCGACGACATGCCACAGTAAAGCGACATGCATTGATTACGAGTACGGCTTCTGCTGCAGTTGTAAGCCAGGATTTTTCGGCAACGGAAAGTCCTGCCAGCCGAATGGTAATTTAAAACCTACAACATTTTTATTCGGTTCAAGGGTATCCAAGTACTTTGGCTATTTTTCTCCGGAGAAATGCGTTTCTACTTTTGTATTCGAACATCAGAGCTTTCTTTTGTGACCCATTTGACCCCAGTTTCCGGACACTTTCCAATGATTTTATTATTCAAACTATAGGGGTCTGGATTTCAATTTTTAGATTGAACTGTTGAAAAACATTTTATATCTGAATAAAAAAAATTGGAGAGTTAACGCTTGGAGGAAGATTGATGAAACAATTGAAAAATTGTATAAATAGTATAAATAGGGGAGGATGGGGCAAAACGGTCCCCCTTCAATCGTCAATATTTTCCGATTCAATAATCCGATTGGGATGAGTTAGAGCTCGTTTTGAAGAATTAAAAATTATCTTCAAAATGTAGTTGAAACTGGGAATTTTCACAATGTCATTCACAAGTTATTGACAATTGAAGGGGGGCCGTTTTGCCCCACCCTCCCCTAATTTATAAACAACGAATATTTAAAAAAATAATAATCCTGTGCAAAACGTAATTTAAATTACGCTGAATATTCATGATTTTCTTCGAATTTTTCTCACGCAATTGAATTGACAAATTTAATGATTGAAAATGTAAAAGATACTTGAATATCCTTAAATAAAAATGAACACAACATTCACCACAAAATAATGTACAACATTTAATTCCCATAAAGTGTTCTAATAAATTCAGTAGCGAAGCGGTAAACCGGGTTAAGTCGTTTTTTACTATTGGCTAGTTTTTGACGAATATCTCGGAATCTAAAAGAGATAGAAATATTTTTGTTATGACCTTTTTTGTAGAGCTAATAGTGCGTTATAAAAAAAGTCATGAGAAAAATTTTTCTATCTCTCTTAGATTCCGAGATATTCAGCAAAAACTGGCTAATAGTCAAAATCGACTTAACTCGGTTTATCGCTTCACTACTGAATTATTCACCCAGATGACGATCTAAAAACTTATCCAAAAAATTACAGATTTGCCACTCCGAGTAATTGGCAAAGTCTCGGGTCGAATAAATGGTGAAGACTTGCCGTCGCGCGATCTGCAGTGTTACGTGCAGACGAAGGACGGACGTACCTATACAGCGCTCTCACGTATCCCGGAGAGTGTGGGTCAGGACTTTCAATTGCTAGGGACTCTGGGTGGTGTAATTGGGTGGCTATTTGCTAAGCCAATGGGAGAGATAAAAAATGGCTACCAACTCACAGGTAACAATGATTAGTTTCCGCGAGGAGCTGACTTTTCAACTCCTCCTCCCCCTCGCGAAGAACTCGAGTAACAGCATTTACCCACGAACACCTCGGTCCAACGTGCGCAATATATTGCTTCACAGGTGGCCTATTCAATCACACAGCCGAGCTGGTGTACGACTCAACGGGAAGTAGAATAACAATAAAAAGTATTTACCTGGGTCTTGACGTTTTCGGCCAATTGAAGATGGAGGCTGACATTCAGGGCACGCTGCCAAGACTTCCACCGGACTCCAGGGTGGACTACGGTGATTACGAGGAAGTTTACACATCGAATAGAAGAGGAGCACTTAGATCCCACAGCAGCCGGAAGTACAAGCTCAGCGGAAATCCTACCGAGTACCCGTTCACAGTGGACCAGACCATAACTTACCAGGATTGTACCCACGTTAAACCCAGTGGAGACAATACAACTAAGTTGAAATTCTCCCGTGGACTCACTACTTACGAGGCACGTGAAGGCATCATTCGGTTTGCCATGAATACAAAGATGACACCGTTGGAGGAGGAGGATCCTTGCATTCAGGGGAGGGAGACTTGCGGGGAGCACAGCTCGTGTGTTGTTGATGGCGATGATTTCAGATGTATTTGTAATACTGGGTAAACTTTTTTTATTTTTTTAGAAATATATATGACCCTCGTATGACCTCATATGACCCTCATATGACCTCCCATAACCCTTATTTGTACCCTTACTGTGGCCATTGATCTGACCCTTGTGAACCTTATTTAGACCTTTTAATCTGACCCTTGCAGTCCTTAATCTTTTGACCCTCAATCTGGCCCATACTGACCCTCATGACCCTTCTTATTACCCTTATCTGGACCCTTAATCTTAATCTCTCTCCAATAAAAAAAAAATTCTAGAATTTTCTAGAATTTCAATAGGGAATACTTTTTCACCTGTTGCTTCCTCACGGAAGTATTGTAATCGCTGAAATTTGGCTCCCCGACTTCGATATTCACCTCGTTGATAAAGAGGATGGCCACTTGTTCACGTATTACGATTCCCCAGTTACCAACAACTTTACGAGGAAGACGGAACTGCGAATTGCGTGGATATCAACGAGTGCACAGCTGGGTATCACTTGTGCTCGCCCGACGCGCAATGCATTAACAACGAGGGCAGTCATACCTGCCAGTGTAAACCAGGATTCTCCGGGGACGGAAGAATCTGCGAAAGTAAGGGCACACCGCAAAAACTAGTGCAGAAAATTCACACATCCTTTGTAGACATTTTTCAGACACTAAAAAATGTCTGACTAAAACAAAAATTTGCCTGAATTTCAGAGGAACAGGTGGCGAAGCATCTCAACTCGTGTTTGAAATTTCAGAGAAATTTTTATGTAGGGGAGGATGGGGCAAAACGGCCCCCCTTCAATCGTCAATATTTTCCGATTCAATAATCCGATTGGGATGAGTTAGAGCTCGTTTTGAAGAATGAAAAATTATCTTCAAAATGAAGTCGAAACTGGGAATTTTCACAATGTCATTCACAAGTTATTGACAATTGAAGGGGGGCCGTTTTGCCCCACCCTCCCCTACTTAATAATTTTCATTGCACTGAAAAATATCGACAAAAGGTGTGAAAAATTTAGACATTCGTTTTCGCCCTGTAGCATCGTCTACACCAGGTAACCCACCAATTGACGATGTAATCACTATTCGTTATTACCCAAGGGCTCGGTAGCTGCGACGATACCCGCTGTGGGGAATACGAGGAATGCAGGATGATAAATGAACAGCCGGTCTGCTCATGCGTCCCTGGATTCGTGAAGAGCGATCAGGGTTGTTTCCCGGCCGAAGGTAATAACCAGCGATCAATAGCGTCCTTTCCCCTCGTAGAACTGTCCTTCAACATTCCAGAGGATAGTTATAATTATTATAATTTTTCTGAGAGCTTTAATGAGCGCAATTTAAGTCGTTCATCAATGCAGTTCCAATGAATTATTTATGCCCTCAGACCCCTGCAATTTGGCGAACAACTGTTCACCCCAGGGCGAGTGTACCTACGACCACCAAAAGCAGTCGCACGTCTGCCTCTGTCTCCCCGGATTTGTCGGTAAAGTGGATAATTTTTATTCACTCCCCCATTTACTATTTAAAATTCAACTAAACGTAAAGTAAGAACTTGTCGTTTGTGAAGGTGACGGGTACAACTGTTACGCCGAGCAAAGCCCAGAGCCGAACTGTGCGAACGGGGTCTGCTGGTGTCCGCCGGAATGGGAAGTGCGTGACAACGCGTGTGTCAGATCGCAGAGCCAGAATTTAGGGTCCAGCACGAGTGGACCCCATCGAGACCGTAAGTACAGCAGCGTTCCTCTGGCTTTGCATGACGAAAATTATGCTCCTCTGCTTTGGAATGGAGATTAAAATTCAAGGAGAGATATGAAGATGAAGGTCCGTTCTAGTATCAGCGCAACCGCAGCCGGAATGTTATAAGGATAGTTGTATTTGTCCGTGGGGCTATGACTATGAGGCCAAGGATGATGTGTGTGTACCGCAGCCTGGATACAAGCATGACACGATGGGGCCCACTGGAGCCCAATGTACGCATGAGTTATTTGGGCTTTACTAATTTTTTTATTGGAGATTGACACTTGCACTATTGGAAAATTATTCCTGACATTTGAAGAAAAGAAGGCTTGGAATTTTTAACGACTCATTCGCATGAAATTTTATGCACTTTGTTGGGAAAAATGAGTCGATTTCAGGAGTGGGATATGGATCTCCTATTTTCAGGGCTATTTGGCGATGAAAACTATTAAAAATTTTGAAAATTGAGGGAATTGTTCTTCTGAATTTTCGATCCATTGGAAATTCGGCGGAATGGGGTGTTTAATTCGCACGGTGAGAAAACTAATTCTCTTGAATTTCCAAACTGGATGAGGAATTCGAATTCACAGCGTTGAGAATTCAAATTCAGCTATTGCTTGAATTTCAAGAAAATTCTAACAGTGCACGATCCTTTCCCCATCGCACTGCTTCAGGATGTTAAATATATTCATTAAAAAAATTTACAGGAAATTGTAATGACTCGGCAGTGCACGCTCTTTTTCCATTCTCAATTTCGAGAATAAATTCCCCCCAGGAAATGCCACAAAACGAAATTCTAAATTTTACGGTAAATTAGAGAAATCGATTTTGACTCGAATGATTTCCTGTGGATTTTTGGAACGGGGATTGAAATAGTGACCCGAGGCGGTAATCGCTTGTGGAATCTGGTGTGCAGATCGAATCAGAGTCCACTAAATTCTGAAATTTTCTCCCATTACAAAATTCTTCAAAAAAACTCAAGAATTCTGCGAAATTTCCCGCTGTACAATTTTTTCCGGAGTGATTTCCCCCTCACGGGACCTTCATGACCCCTTCCCACGAGCATTGCTTCAGACTATAAAATATTCTCATAATGAAAATGCACATAAAATCATAATAACCATAGACCCACTAGAATTTCCATTAAAATCAACATTCTTTCAAGAATATTTTAAATTCATTTCACAATAAAAAATTCCTTAGTTTCTCACGATAATAATTTTTCATACGCTGCATTGGCTCGTTGTACAGTGTCTTAGTGACCCGAGGCGGTAATCCCTTGTGGAATCTGGTGTGCAGATCGAATCAGAGTCCACTAAATTCTGAAATTTTCTCCCATTACAAAATTCTTCAAAAAAACTCAAGAATTCTGCGAAATTTCCCGCTGTACAATTTTTTCCGGAGTGATTTCCCCCTCACGGGACCTTTATGACCCCTTCCCACGAGCATTGCTTCAGAATATAAAATATTCTCATAATGAAAATGCACATAAAATCATAATAACCATAGACCCACTAGAACTTCCATTAAAATCAACATTCTTTCAAGAATATTTTAAATTCATTTCACAATAAAAAATTCCTTAGTTTCTCACGATAATAATTTTTCATACGCTGCATTGGCTCGTTGTACAGTGTCTTGCAACGTGGTTAACACGTGTCACCCGTACGCGCAATGCGTATTCATCGCCAGTACCGAGGATTACGAGTGTCAGTGCAACGAAGGTTACGAAGGTGACGGAATTGAATGCATCAAGGCAGGTATGTCTGCATCCACATGTACCTCTAGTAACAAATGCCCAATTAAATTCATGAAGCGATTGAACCAAGGTACGTTTCGCCCTACAAACAGCTCTACTAATTCTGTAAATAGATGTATCCTGTGTGGAAGTTGACATTTGCGATCCGAATGCATCGTGCAGACCCGACGAACCGATTGCCAAGTGCGTCTGTAATCCTGGATTCGAGGGGGACGGAACTACTTGCAGTCCAATTGGTGCATTATTCTCTAACAATTAATGATTCTCTAACAATTAATGATTAATTGATTAATAACTTGACACGTGTGAAGATATTGATTCAACAGAATAATTTAGCGAATTCGCTGGAAAATTCTATTTGTTTTTTGCGCTATGAGTAATGTTCTGTAATGTAGAACAAAATAAAATGTAGCGGAAAAACTTGGAAAATCCGTGCAGACTAGTTTTAATAGCAAAAATCGCAAGATAAAAATGCAAACAGAAAAAACGAAATCTATTGACTTTTTTAAATCAAATATCTAGTAGAATCTACGCGAAAACAAAAAATTTCAAATAAAATAAATATGTTATATAATAATATATAACATTTAAAATAAATTTGAAATTAAATTGAATTTTTTAGTCGAACAATTCGAGTGTTCGAGTCTCAGAAAATAATGAGAATAAATTTTCCCATTGCCATTTCAGGCATGAAAAAATATAATGGAAAAAGCTAGCGAATTGGATAGAAAATTAGAGTCGACAAATTTCTGAAGAAAATATTTCAGTACAATAAGTTGTACAGGAGAATCCAATTCTATTCATTTTTTTCGATATAATGATTCCCATTGAAAATTCAACAGAAAACCAACAGAATTTCCCAGCGAATTCCCGAGGTTTTTCTACATTTTTTGCACGCGTACGGGGGACGTCCCCCGTTGGAGGTAGTCCACGTTCTAAAAAAAAGTAGAACAACTGACATAGTTCCAAAGTATAAATTTGCGAGACAAAATTCCCCTGTCTTCAAGTATCTTCGCCTTCACCCCGAGCAATTAACGCAATTAATCAGTATTTACGCGAATGACTAGATGCCTGCAGCGATCACTCGGAGTGCGGACAGAACGAGATATGCTCCTACAACCCATCAAAATCCCGTTACGAATGCACATGCAATCCCGGATTTGATATGGTGAATGGCCAATGTGCAGTGGCTGATTGCTCCACCAATCCATCACAATGTCACGTCAATGCTCAGTGTATAACAACAATTGGTGAAGGTTACAAGTGCGTCTGCATGCCGGGATTCCACGGTGATGGAATAAACCAGTGTGTTGAGGATCACATTGGTTGCAATGTCGTCAATAATTGCGGAAGTAACGCTGTCTGCGGGTACAATCAGACGTCGGCTAATTATGCCTGCATGTGTTTGCCGGTGAGTCATTTGAATTTCGCGAAAATATTGCGATAGGGGAGGCTGGGGAAAAATGGACTTTTGATTTTTTAAAAATATTAGTGACGGGTTGAAATGTTGATGAAATTGAATAATTTTTTTTTCAATACAAAGAGCAATTCTTTCCCTTTGTGATGAGCCTAAACTGAGCTCTGTTGATACATTCGTTTCTGAGTTATGAATAATTTTAAAGAAGTCTATTTGTCCGTTTGACCCTACCCTCCCTTATTTCAAATTTTGAAGTTTAGTCATTTTAAAAGGTGAAAAAATTTAACTTTGGGACGATGCAGAATCCACTGAATAATTGAATTCAGTTTAAAACACATCGTCAAAAAAATTGTCACGATTTTATTATTTTTGGAAGACACGAATGAAATTGTTATAATTACTACATAATTCAGAAGAAAAATGCATCGAATGTTTGGAATAGAACAAAGTAATTTCGTGTATTCAACACGCAACAGTTAAAAATACTTTGAACTCAAGGGATTTTATGGGGATGGATTCATATGCAAACCCCAAGCATCGTGTCGTCAAAATCCCGAATACTGCTCGCGAGAAGCCACGTGTTTACCGGTAACGCCAAGCCACTTTGCCTGCGTCTGCAAGGAGGGCTTTCACGGTGACGGGGTGGAGTGCAAACCCAAGCCCAAACACGCCGCCAACTTTTTGCTGGTCAATCAGGGTATGGCCAACCTCAGGATCCCCTACTTCCCGACCGCAGTTTATCCAGGATCTCCCATAAACCTGGCTTACTCGCAGATGGCCATTGCCATCGACATCGATTGCCCGAATGGAACGGCGTACTCCAGTGATATAACTGGTGAGATCAAATACATTGATCACTCAGGGGTAGAAAATTATTGAAATTTCGGGGGAGGGACATTACGTCAGGCTGAGGGGTATAAAATCATGAAAGTTTCAAATTTTAGAGGAGCAGAAAGACGACAATTTCTTCATTTTCGTGAAATTTCACTTGAAACATGAATATTCAGTACTTAATGACACTAAATTTTGAATTACTTGACGAATTATGAATGCATCTACCTGATTTTATGATTCCCATGAATTTTCGTGGACTAATTGACCAGAAATTTTGAGTTATAATCGATTTTTCCTCGAATTGTGAATTTTCATTGACGAAATCCTTCGAAAATTCAGTCAAAAATATTTTCAACATCATTCCTCACTTTTCAATTCCAATAAAAACCACAAGATTAAAGAAACGCTTTTTATTAGCTAAAATCGAAGTCGGGACTTCAATAAAAAACTAAAAATCTTCTCGTCTGCCAAACGATCCACAGGAGCGAAGATAATCTCCCTCACATACAACGGTTCGTCAGTCCAAACCTTCATGACTGACGTCAGCAGCCCCGAAGGGATCTCGATCGACTGGGTATCTCGCAACCTCTTCTGGACGGACTCTGGAAGAGGAACAATCGAGGTGGCGAGTTTAGAAACGAAGAAGCGAAAGGTCCTCATATCGGAGGGTCTCGTGAACCCCCGGGGCATCGCGGTCCACCCGTACCGGGGGAAAATCTTCTGGTCCGACTGGAACCGCATGACCCCGAAAATCGAGTGGTCCAACGAGGACGGCACGCAGAGGGAGGTGTTCCTCCAGGGGGAAAGCGTCAAACTCCCGAATTCCTTGGCGATAGACTGGACAACTGACGAGTTGTGCTGGGCTGACGCAGGAACTTTCACGATCAGTACGTCCTCATCATTTTTTTCCTTTTCTATTTCAGGAAATTAATCATTCGGTTTTCGTTTTTTTTTTATGAAAAGGCTGTACTCCTATTGACAATAAACGAGTCCACGTTATCGAGAAGGATCTGGCTTATCCCTTCGGCCTAGCTATTTCCGCCGATAATTATTACTGGACAGACTGGAAAACGTAAGAGTAATTCACGTCTTTCGCAGGAAATATTAAATTGAGGGTGAAATGTCAGGAGATTTTTACTCATTTCCTCGACTTCAAGAAAAACATTTGACATTTTATCCTCATTTTTCTGTCTCAAATGTTGAATTGAGTTTGTTGTTCCCCTCGCAGGCATAAAATTGAGGCGATATCAAAGCACACAAGTGAAAGATTGAAATCCCTGCCAATTCCCCCTGGTGGCAGTGGAAAATTGTACGGAATCACTTCAGTACCTGAGCAATGCCCTCGACGTAAGAGAATTCTTGACTGTTAATTAATCATTAATCATTAATCATTTTGGTTTTATTGACGCTATTGAATGCACTGAATTGCAGTATCGAATGTCTGTCAATACGAGAACGGCCGCTGCCACAAGGACCAGCTGTGCTTGCCGGACGGGCGAGGAGGTAGAACCTGTGCCTGTGCAGACAACACCACTGGGCCCTGCACCGAGTCTCGATCGTAGTTCGGCCATTTCCACTGACGCGCGGCAAACCCGTGCGCCACAAAACAAAAATCATTACGAACTCGTTATCGTAGACTAGTATAATGATAAAAGTATACTAACATCTCTGATATCCACTACCGAGTGTAATCATAACTTCATTATTATATTCTGTTCAATGACTTTTTAAGCTAATTATAGTTATCGAATCATCGAGTCTCTTTGTAACGAGAGCCCCATTTTGTATGTTCAGTTCCAGATAAATAAAATATTTTTTACTCCTAAGTATGTCATCTTGATTCATAAAAATGCATTTCAGTAGTGAAGTGGTAAACGGCGATAAGTCGACTCATCTCTCGATTGAGGTTTTGTGAAATATTTCCGAATGTAAGGGAGATAGCGAAATTTTCGTAATTACATTTGTTGTAGCTCTCAATCGGCTCTACAAAAGAAGTTATAAGAAAATTTTTGCTATTTCCCTTAGATTCCGAGATATTCATGAAAAAATGGTCAATAGTCAAAATTCACTTGTCTTAACTTAACAAAATCAACGAGACATTTCACTTTTTCAATGTTTCTAATCAACGGAATTGAATGGCAAATTCAGTAAAACTAGATTAATGTTCACGTGATCAAATGAAATACGTGACCTGACGATAAACATATCAGATAATAAGAATTAAAACCGTCATGCGTTGTAACGCGTTGTTTGTCCCACCCATTTCGGCCTAGAAATTTTATTATCAGCTTATTTCCCCGATGAAGACCCATTCAATGACGACGCTTTTTCCCACGCGTCGCACCGATTGTTCAGTAGGTTAAATAAAATCTTTGGCGTCGCTGATTACTTTAAGTAGGGCGACTCCAAACAGTCCACTAGACCAGTTGTTGCATAGTAACGAAATAGCGAAGAGTCCAGTACTCTGTCGTCGCTCTAAAAGAGTACTAAATATAATATTGACATAAGATAGACGAAACATAAATGTATTTTTTCCTACAACATTTCAGTAGTGAAGCGGTAAACCGAGTTAAGTCGATTTTGACCATTAGCCAGTTTTTGCTGAATATCTCGGAATCTAAGAGAGATAGCAAAAATTTTCTCATGACTTTTTTATAACGCTTTATTAGCTCTACAAAAAAGGTCATGACAAAAATCTTTCTATCTCTTTTAGATTCCGAGATATTCGTCAAAAACTAGCCAATAGTAAAAAACGACTTAACCCGGTTTACCGCTTCGCTACTGATTTATTTCCATAATTAAGCCGCAGCAATGAAGATCGGATTTTTCGTATCGATTATTATTATTTTTGTGATTACTTTCGCGACTCGGAATGAAGCGTACAGAATCCTGGCGATTTTTCCGCTTCAATCGCGGAGTCACCACATGTTGTTCGACGCGTTGATCGAGGCATTAGCGGAAAAGGGACACCAAATGGACGTGATGACAGTTTATCCCTTGAAAAAACCGCTCAAGAATTATAAAGTTGTTGTGAACCTCGAGAGAGTGGCGAAGCATGTCGTCAACCAGTGGAGTATCGAGTACGCATCGAAACTGGGGGATGACGTACTTCCGACTTTAACCACGGTGTATGGGAATGAGTTGTGTGAGTACTTAGCACTGCCGGAGATGCAGGAGATCATAAAAAATCCACCGCAAGACCCGCCGTACGATCTAGTCATCCTCGAGGTGATTGAATGATTTTTTGGGTAATTGAAACCGGCCGCCTTTGATCGTCCGTATCTCCTGACCGGATAACGTGATTTAGGCGAGTCCGGGCTCTTTCTAAAGATAAAAAAAATACCTTGAAAATGAAAAAAAAATTGAGGGATTTCACTCTGTCGTTCTCTAGTTATTGACGATCAAAGACGGTTCGTTTTTTAAACTTTTCTCTGTTATTTATTGAAATGCTCAAATAATGCAGGCGTTCATGTCTAATTGTTTTATCGGCGTGGGCCACGCGCTCAATGTCCCAGTGATAATGGTGAGCTCGCCACTGCCGTACCCCTGGCTGGAAATTAGCCTCGGCCAGCCCCAATTTACAGCATTCGTCCCATCTCGCAACACGAATTACCAGTACCCGATGTCATTCTTCGTTCGCGTGCTGAATACTATCAGGAGTCACTACGATTATATGAGATTTAATTATTACACGGAAGCGGTGCAAAACGCAAAAATGAGAAAATACATTGATCCCGATATTCCACCCCTTCGGGAACTGGAGAAAAATGTGGCTTTGGCGCTCGTGAATACGTGGCACAGCCTCAATGGCATTCAACCACTTACACCCGGGATTATTGAAGTTGCTGGGCTTCACATGGAAGCGAACTACGTTCCTCTTCCGAAGGTAAATGTCAACAAGAAAATATGAAAAGAACTTCTCGAAATAAAAAATGAAAAAAATTATGAAAACATTTTATGCAAAACGGGGAGTCCCAAAGTGGATGTTGGAAAATGATTGAAGTTTATCTCGACTGAAATGAATTGGTTTCTCCAGTTACACCGCCGCGATAACGAAATGACTGTTAATGTTTCATTCTTTATCCCAAGGAAATGGAGAAGTGGATGAATGATAGTGCCTCTGGTGTAATCTACTTTACACTTGGATCCTTGGTGAATATTGAAACATTCCCTGACGCGACTATCAGAGCATTTTACTCGGTATTCAGGGGAATAGCACCAGTAAGAGTGCTGATGAAAGTGGCTAATAAGACTGCTCTCCTTCCTGGGCTTCCTGATAACGTAATGACCTCTTCCTGGATACCTCAAGTGGCTGTACTAGGTCAGCGCTCCGTCGATAAATATTTTCATGAATGATGAATAGCATTTTTCACGAGTCACGATTGCTAACTGATATGCATTTCATATTTCAGCATATGCCCTCATAAATTATTTTTTTCACAGCTCACAAAAATACGAAAATGTTTATTACTCATGGAGGCCTGATGAGCACCCAGGAGGCACTCATCTACGGGGTTCCCCTCGTCGGAATTCCCTTCTTCGGGGATCAGCACAGTAATATTATCGATTATCATTCACTCGGGATGGCACTCGAGCTGAATAATCATAATCTCAGTGAGAAAGCTATTTCCTGGGCTGTTAATGAAGTCTTGCATAATTCGAAGTACAGGTGAAGCCTTTGAATTTCATTGCGCATTTCAATTCGATTTATTTCAAATTAGCCATGAATTCTACACGAAAATTAAATAGAATTTGAGGTACTTTGAGAATCTACGGAAATCCCCGGAATCTCGTGAAAAAATAATTCATTATTAAACATTCACAAAAAATCATGATTTTTCTCATTTCGTAGAGAGGCAGCGAAGCGCCAGTCCTTCAAATTTCTGGATCGTCCCATGAGTGCGAAGGATACCGCGGTTTATTGGGTTGAATATGCTATCAGACACGGTCCAGACGCCCTCCGATCTCCCTTGGTCGACATGCCGTGGTGGCAAGTGGCTCTCCTCGATGTTTACGGTTTCCTCAGTATCTGCATCCTTGCCAGTGTTTATCTAATTATTCGCCTAGCGAGAGCCCTTCTGAGGGCAGTTACACCAACAACACATGGAAAACGAATGAAATCGGATTGATCACGTCACCGCGTAATAAAACATTTTTTACTCCTACCCTCTGATTTAATAAAAATTTATTAAAACCACAATGCTCATTAGGTATTCGTCACAGGTATAAGTTTCTTCCTCTCCATCTCCTCGCGTAGCTTCAACTTTTGAATTTTTCCACTCGCGGTCTTTGGGAATTCTTCCACAGTGAGTATATACCTCGGTATTTTGAAGTGCGCGATATTTCCCTTTGAGAAGGATCTAACTTCCTCCGGGGAGAGATTCGCCCCCTTCTTAAGCCGAATGCAAGCGCAAAGTTCCTCTCCGTAGACTTGGTCGGGCACACCGAAGATTTGGGCTTCTAGAATCTCAGGGTGGGTCTCTAAGAAGCACTCAATTTCCTGCGGAGGAGTATCGAGTGAATGAGAAAACTTTCATTGGAAATTTTTTCAAGCCATTTTATTCTGAACAAAATTGCTCAGCAAAAGGTTTCACCTTTTCCATCCAATCAAATGTCTCACCTTGGGATAAATATTCTCACCGCCTCGTATCACCATGTCTTTGATCCTCCCCACAATGTGTCCATACCCATCCTCCCTCAACACGAATTTATCCCCGGTCCTCAGCCACCCGTCGCCGTCGATGGTCTTCGACGTGCCTTCCGGGTCTCCCCAGTACCCCATCATGGCACTGTACCCCCTCATCAACAATTCCCCCGGAGTGCCGAACGGCACTAATGCCCCTCTCTCATCCACCACCTGACAACACGAAAGAAGAAACCAACTGAGAACTTAAACTGATTTATCTCCTCCCAACTCTTTACTCCAACTATTTACTTTGACTTCGAGATGGTGCTGCAGGCAGCCAACAGTAGAATGAGTCAATTCTTCGGGCTCGCCGGGATTCGTCGAGAACATAACGGCAGTGGTCTCTGTCAGTCCATAAATCATCTAAAACTCAAGACTCCCTGAATAGTACACAGTTAAAGTAATTTGCCTGAATTTTCCGCAAAAAGAAACTGAATGATATTTAAGAGTGAAAGTTAATGGAATTTTGAGGGTCTCTGGAAGTAAAAGTAAAGTCCCAATTTTTTGAACGGCAGGACGACGGAAATTCCACAATTTCTGTGAATTTTCCAGTGAAAATGAATAGTCACTGCACAAGATTCTTGGAATTCCGGGAATGTTGACGAAATTCAGGGAAAATTGAGCGATTTGTCTCAATTTTTCTGCCTTTTCATTAATTTACCGGAATAATTGAACTGAAATTCAGTTCCCACTCGTTTTCCATGAGATTAAAAATTTTAAATGGCAAAATTCCTTGAAATTTCAGTGGAAATATTATTTGTTATAAATTTCCAAAACTTTTACCGGAAATTTTAGTAGAAAATGTTTTAAAAGTGTATTGAACTAGTCGCACCCAAAAATGCGTAAATTTATGAAAAAACATTCCGAAAAGTGAAGTTAAATTGATTAAAGGGGAGCAGCTCGTCGAATAATCCCCCGCCTCGTCCTATCGATCAGAGAATATTTTCTCCGAAGATATAGGCAATATGCACATGAGTTTCCTTCTCCCCGAGAGATATGTGCATAGATAGGAATGAATGACCGGAGTCATCGACCCCGTATAGATCGTCTCGAGGTTCCCCAGTCCTGTCTACACCTTCAACCCCTTGGCACAAAAACTACACTGTTCCAATTTTTTTTTAATTTTATGGAAGATATTATAGTTAATCTCAAGGGAGTGACACTCAATCAGATTTAGGGAAAAAATTGTTAAAAAATTTCATGTTTTAAGTAGAATTCACGGAAATTCATGAGTTTTGAGTGGGAGTGAGACAGAAATTTCACAACTTGATTGAATTTTTAGTGGAACATGAATATTCAGAAACAAAATGAGATAAATTTCCAATTTTTCCCTAAATTTTCCTGATTTTTCAGAATTTTCACGGAATAAATGAACTGAAAAATCTAGTATTTTATTGATTTCCAGATCATTTCAACAGAAAATCAACAGAATATTTGATTTTTCTTGAACACGATAAAAATTTCCGGAATTTGACACGGAAAATTCACACGAAAATTTTTAATAGTGTACTCACTCTGAAATTTTCCAAACCGAATGTGATAACTACGTTTTTAATCATCTCTGGAGATGCATTGGCGCCTCCAGTCACTACCCACTTTAGTTCGTCCACTGGAGCCTTCAATTGACTCTGAATGCTCATCATATTGACCTTAAAAATTGAATCCATCGTTTTATTTATTTATTTTATTTGTTCACATCAGAAAAAAAAATTCTTCAACGATTAAAAACGATTTTAGACGCCTCCATTTATGGATTTAATTTGTTTTGATTGATAAATGTGGGTTTATCTCGGTATGAAATATTATGAGATATGTTTTTAGAGCAGGAAATGCCAAATATTTTTTTTTGCCCCTGAGAGAGGCAATTTAATAATAAAAAATAGGATCTAAAAGTAAAAATAGGATCAACTCGTTCTGTTGCTTTTCATTACTCCACAACTAAATTATAATCGATTCTCGTCCTAATGAAATTCTTACCCACATCGTGGGTGTCCCAAATGCGCCAGTACACTTCTCCCTCGCAATAGCCTCGATTGAAGCTCTAGGATTAAACGTTTGGGATTCAATGACTAGTGTTGATCCACTGTGGAACATCGCCATCAATCCTTGGACCATTCCGAACGCATGGAAGAACGGGACATTGAGACAAATTCTGTGATGATCTCTCGGCAGACCCTCTCTCTCAGCAACCTATCTCCCCAATTCCACATTAATCACACGTTCTCTGGTTCACCCACCCACGTAGAAAAATTTATATTTTGAAAAATATATTAAAAAACATCTAAAATTGGCCCAATTTATACACAAAAAATTTATGAAATTTACGTTTTATATATACTTTTTTATATATTCTTTATAAATTTGAAAAATCTACGGAATTGACCCATATTATATATTTCTTTATAATTTTTAAGACGGGGCAGAGAAAAAAACTTTCATTTTTCAATTAAAAATTTTCATAAATCCTATTTTGCGCATAATTTTTTCATCGACATCCCATTATGTCGGTCAAAGTTGCCTCCAACCGTAAATAATTCGAGTTTTTAGTTGTTTTGTAACCGAAAATTCGAAGAATGGGGCATGAAGCATTTAAAATTCATTTGTAACATTTGAACTAAAAATAAAATTTCCAAGATATTAATAGAAATTTCGATGAAGCAATAAATTGAAAAAAAAATCAGAAATTTATGCTTTGGGGATTTTTTAGATGTTGGATTTTCGTTTGCAAAAGCGAATTTCTGAGGGAAAATCTTGCGAAAAATAGCACTTAAAACAGTTATCTATAAAAACGATAATTTTTGTTCCCCGGGCTGACCCTCGCCTCGGGAAACAAAATTACCTGAATTCCATTATTGACTATGGACCTATGAGAAATAAAGGGCGCCTTCGGCTGACCCGTCGTCCCCGAGGTGAACTGTATATTGCACCCATCATGCGCTGATATTTCCCCCTGTGTGTGCCGGATCGCCTCCACCTCGACCTTACCACCAAGCGATTCCACGTCCACAAGACGATGTGCTCCTCTAAGCGAGGAAAAAAAAGGTGAGAAGTAATGCTGAATTATTGATTCCTTTCTTCACAGTTGGGAGCAGTTAGCACTTTGAATTGCTGGTTTTACGTGTGAATAAATAGACGAACCATTAACCTAATTGCTAGAAAGTTCCGTGGGTAGCATTCAGGGTGGAGTGGGCGATCAATCAGTTTTTTTATCGATTTTTCATTTCCAGTTAACGATTCGCCTCTTAATTTAGTAGAAATCACAGACTTAACGATTTTCGATCACCAACTTTGTTCTTCAATTTTTTTTCAATGTTTTCTGCTTATAAATAACGGAAATAATGGATCGTTTGAACTTTTTTATAAATTATTCATTATAAAACATTTGAAAAAAATTTCAGATCAGTCCCGAAATCTTTCTAAAAAAATGAGGTTTCTCTGCTTTTTATAAATTGAAAAACTTAATGACATAAATGAATAAATGAATAAATAAACAAATAAATAAACGTATAATTGAGATCTCACGACACTCACGTCCTATGTTCACGCGACCACAGGATAATATGTCTAAATAATCCCCCTTTACTCCTAGTATTCTCGAGCATCGCGCCATAATCCTGCGTCTTAAACTTGGCCGGTGCCACAACAGCACTGACTCCAACTTTCTCAATGCAATAGTCGATCTCCGCTTGACGATAAGCCGGATTAATCCCAACAGCCACTAGTCCAGCCCTCGTTATCCCGAGGAAAGCGAGACTCCACTCTACATCGTTTGGCCCCCAAATGCCCACCCTGTCCCGGGGTTTGAGTCCCAGTTTTTTCAGACCAGCTGCTATTTTATCGCCCCTCTCCAGGGCCTGTTTGTAGGTGATTCGGATGCCCTGGGGGATCGACACGAAGGCCTCTCGATTGGGCCAGAGCCTCGCGGCTCTCTCCACGAGTTGACCCACTGTCATGTCGACTAGAGGGACTGCCCCAGGGTTGTACTTGTGGGATAAATTGTCTGATTGAGACGGGGAGGTTCTACTGGCAGCGCTGTCATCGTCTGTTTAGAGTTTTATGAGTTATTAACTTTATAATAAACTAGAATTATAGTTTTAAGAGCTCCTATGAGGCGAATTGAGGTGTTTGTTAGGATTATTAGCTTAATAGGTTGAAAAAATGCAGATGAATGGAGAGTAAATCGAGGGGAATTTATTTTCGAAGTGTTTTTGAGGGGCGAAGCTCCGAAAATAATTCGATAAATGAACTATCACGTAGGAATAAAATTAGTAGGATTAGATTTTCCTGTATAAATCATTTTATTGATATTTTCTTCTATAGTGAAATATTTCTTCCGTAGAATATTTTTTATTTTGGATTTTCTGTAAAAAACGCGCACTAAACCTGCGGCATTTCCAGGGTTGTACTTGTGGGATAAATTGTCTGATTGAGACGGGGAGGTTCTACTGGCAGTGCTGTCATCGTCTGTTTAGATTTTTATGAGTTATTAACTTTATAATAAACTAGAATTATAGTTTTAAGAGCTCCTATGAGGCGAATTGACGTGTTTGTTAGGATTATTAGCTTAATAGGTTGAAAAAATGCAGATGAATGGAGAGTAAATCGAGGGGAATTTATTTGCGAAGTGTTTTTGAGGGGCGAAGCTCCGAAAATAATTCGATAAATGAACTATCACGTACGGAAAAAATTAGTAGGATTAGATTTTCCTGTATAAATCATTTTATTGATATTTTCTTCTATAGTGAAATATTTCTTCCGTAGAATATTTTTTATTTTGGATTTTCTGTAAAAAACGCGCACTAAACCTGCGGCATTTCCAGAGTTGTACCTGTGGGATAAATTGTCTGATTGTGACGGGGAGATTCTACTGGTAGCACTGTCATCGTCTAAACGATAGCGAAACCAATTAATAGAATTAGATTTTCCTATTTTATTTTTTTATTTTCTTGAGATGTTTTCTCCAGAAATTCTTCGGCTCAAATTTGTTGAGTTTTTTGTTTTATTTTTTTAATGAAAGCGAAGAAACGACTAGAGAAGCGTAGAAAATATCTCAATAGAAAAAGTTGTATAAAAATATGGAATTCTACGATTTTTTTCTACGCAATATTTTCTATTGGAGATTTTCTACACAAAAACGCGCACTAAATCTGCGGAATTCCTCCATAGAATCACTCCAAAATAAATAGAATCCTCAATAAAAATTCAATGGAATCTCCTATCGAGTTCGTCAGGGTTTTATATAAAATTTTATCGTGCGTGATATAACAAGCTTGCGTTACTTTCCCCTAAAAATATATTCACTTCGTGGTCGTAGTACTCACATGTTGGTTTATCCGCCTGGCTCACGAAATTTCCACGTCCAAAATTTCTAGATAAAGTATTTTCACTGAAGAAATATCGAGCGATCTGCCTCCTGACCGACAACATTTTCATTGCTCGAGACACACTGCAATACTGACTAACAATTAATTGTAATTTGTGTATCTAACCGTCGCATAATTTTATTTCGCAATGATACTGAGACATCAAAAGTGCGGGTTGAAGCTAACACTCTAGAACAACGAATGTCTCTCGGCAAAAGTCAAGGTTAGAGTACTTCGAATAGATTACGAGACACTATCTAATCACTAATGAATTCAGCTAGTGAGAGATGCAAAATATAAAAATCTTTGTTTACAACGAAATAGAATAACTTTCAATTTTTATGAAAAAAGACATTTACAGGTGACAATTTCAAATTTTTCGCATGATTCTGCATGATCTCGACGGTTGAGGTCAACGAGGCCTCATCCGAGGTCAGAGATAATTCCCCGCTATACATGTGATTTGAAATCCGGCCCCAGTGTACAAGATTGACACACATCTTGACACTGAATAAATCGTGTTCAATGCAAATTGTCCAGAGTTTGTGGAGAAATGGTCTTCCCCGTAATTTATTGTGTCCCAGGTAGTCAGTGTGGTCAGACAATTGGTGATGTCTCTATTCACTGCAATGCGGAATGTTCTGGTATTAATACATCTCAATTTCACAAACGATGCTCAAGGAATTTTCCCGACGCCTCAATCCCAAATTTAGTTATTGAAAAAAATTTTACGTTCCAATTTTTTAATTACGTTTTATTTTTCGTCAATTATTTTTTTCGTCAATTAAATTTTATGTTTTTGAATTTAAAGTAAGGGAGTTGTTGATGAAGCTTGAATTATTGTCGACAAAAAATCATTTTACAAAAACTTAACAGAATATTTTCAATGTTCGAAAATAAAGGACAATTCAGAGGAAAAACCCACGGCCAATCAGCCTAATTTGAATTAAATTTCCCAAGTACTAAGTCTATCCGTAAATTATTCATAAAAAACACAAAAAATTTCGGAGAAAACCCGCGAAAATGCCCAATTAACTAAAAAAGTTCCCGAAAATATTCTCGAATAAAAAATACACCAATTCAAATCCCAAAAAATTAAAAAACCGTCGATTTAATTACAACCTCCCTTCCCCAATGACCTTGAAGTCTCTCCGCCCCTCTCACCCCCCAGCCTATCCCAAAATCCCGAAGTCCACCCAAAAAAAAAAAAATATCTAGACGCCAATAAATCCCAGAACGTTGAATTCGCATGGAATCGAAGAAGAGTCGCGTCCAAGTTGAGACCCCAGAGGTAGTGCGCCTCAGAGGGACACCCTCAGCCCCCTCAGTCAATCCTCCCCGTGGCGTGCCCACCAGGCTGGTGCCGGAAGTCGCGTGTCGGCGTGCTTGGAAGGCCGTGGGTGGTATTCTCACCCCCTCCCCCTTTCTTAGATCGTGCCCAACTCTACAGGCACAAAAGCCCCGTAGCACACACTAAAACCTCTCTGTAATGGTAACTGGTTACCCTAACGAACCTCAGGGTACCTCCGATTGGTCGATCCCTTCTGCAACACAACTTGAACACACAAACGTTAGGCAAAAACCACCCCCCGAGTTCAATTCCGTTTTCTCCCTTATGCTCTGTTGTGATACTTCTTCAGAGCCGTGAGGATAACCGTCGTGCGCACAACTCATTTTCACCCACGTAATTCAATCCCTCATTCCGCAATTCGTTAAATTTAATAAACCGTGCACTTTGCATTTTTGTAAAATTCAATTGATTTTTTAACTGAAATCACTATCACTATAAATAATAGATTCGGTGTGGTGATTGGGGTTGAAGGGACTGTGTAATTACTGTGAATTGGTGTTACGAAACTGCTGGAGTCCGAGTGCAATACTGAATGAGTCGCTTGATTAGAAACAAAGTCAGTCGCAGCGACGACCTCGTGCGACTTGCATTGGTGAAAGGCTCGGGACTGAAATAGAAGTGCATCCGATGACAAATGCGTCAGCAATAATTCAATGACATTAATCATAACGGTAGCCCGGGAAAAATTAAGTCTCAAGGCTTAGACTTGGTGGGAAATTAATTAATCAACGGCGAGCGAACGAGATTCATTGATTGTGACGGGGGAAAATTGATTTGAGACATGACACTGAGAGCTTACGATGAGCTCGAACGCTAAGAAAGGGGGTAAGGATGACAAGAAAAATGCATCGAGTAAGGAAGAGAGTCCGAGCGGAAAGGAGGATCCAGGGTCAGCATCGACTGGGAGCAATGGCATGCCGAGTACTGAGCCATCACAGCCTGGAAGTAAGCCTGGCTCTGCTGGAGCAACGGCCAGAGAGGCTGCACAACGTCTCTTGGGACTGGCCAGCCGGGGCGAGTGGGCACCGGTTGACCAGTTGCTCAAGACGCTGGAGAAAGCGGTCCAGAGTGCTGGAGATGATGGAAACCCTGTGCCGTTGGCGGGGGTCATGGATCCTGTCAGTATTTTTTTACTAGACGAATCGGGATCGAGTGCTCTAGTAAATTGAATTAATTAAATGAATGGATTTTCTTTCTTTGGGGTTAGACGACCGGTATGACACCGCTGATGTACGCAGTGAAGGACAACCGCACAGCCTTTCTGGATCGTCTGATAGAGCTCGGAGCCGATGTGGGGGCGAGAAATAATGTGAGAATAGAAAGAAATTATTTGTATGACGTTGGGTATGCGCGAGAGATATTTTTTGTATTAAGAAACTTTGATTTTGAGGCAAATATTTGTCATCTCAAGAGACTGTTTTAATTTTTAGGACAAAATTAAATTTTTAATTCGGTAATTTTTATGGAATTGAGAATTTTTTGTTGATATTGTTTATTTTTCATTAGTATATCACTAAATAATCCCCCTAACCGCTTATAATCCAACCGTTTGAGTGTCCCAAGGTAATTAGAATAACGTGAGAATAACAAGAAATTTTTTATATGAATTTGGGGTTGAAATATTGTTTGATAAAATTATTAAAAACAGGTGAGCGGGTACTAAAAATGTGATTGTGTGCTTACACGGGAGATATTAATTTTTTTTAATAAGAAAATCTATTTTCCAGACAAAAATTTATCATCTCAGGGCATTTTTACAGTAGTCAGACCAAAAAGTTAATTTTAAATTGGGTAATTTTGCTGGAATTAACAATTGTTTGTTGATATTTTTTATTTCCATCAGTATATCACTAAAAAATCCCCCTAACCACTTACAATCCAACCATTTGAGTGTCCCAAGGTAATTAAAACTCATTGATCAATCCAACCCCCCCACCCAATCAAGATAAATAAACAACAATTGAGAGAATCGTGAGTAATCTCGTGCTGGGTTTTTCCTCACCCTCAGGCCGGATTGCGTGAAGGAGGGTCAAGGCTAGGGGTCTAAGCAGACGGGGGGCAGTAAGTAGGCCGGTTTCAGAGTCACTGGAACTAAAAAGTAGCTCGATCCCACCTTGCGATAATTATAATATAAAACACCACGCAGTGTAAGTCGAGAATTCATGAATAAAACGTCCGAGACCGGATACAGCTTCAATTCAAGAAATAATCACTCTATTTTTTTCATAATTATGTACCAGCTCAGACGAACAATCAATGACCAAAAGAATATCCCAAAGAATTCAAAATTTACTCACAAGAATTCCTCAAAACCCTTTGAAATTCTGGAAAACACAATTCAGCAGTGAAGTGGTAAAACGGTTCACGTCGACTTATCTCTTATTGGAGTTTTTGAAGAATATCTCCGAATCTAAAGGAGATAACGAAATTTTCGTAATAACTTTTTTTCTAGAGCAAATTGAGTGCTACAAAAAAGGTTTATACAAAAATTTAGCTATCTCCCTTAGATTCCGAGATATTGACTGAAAAATGGCCAATAGTCAAAATCGACTTGAACCGTTTTACCACTTCGCTACTGAATCATCGTTGTTTTTTAAAATTCTTCGCAATTTACCCGCATGCGATGTTGTCGAGGAATTTCCGGAATTCCCGAGCCCAAAGAATTCTTCGCTGGACGTGGGGCACACGCACCTGGCGCTATCGACCGGCTGCACAAAGCCCTTCCCTTTCCACTAGCCCCGATATAATTTCCGAACAGCATGCTAATAAGCTGTGATTGGAATGACTGGGCAACGTCAAGGATTTCTGAGGACTTGCGCTTCGTTCCATCCGCAGGGGCGCGGCCCACCGTTATTTACGGCCTCATTACCTTATTGCTATGACCCAAAGATTTTTTCTCCCATTTTTTTACCTCCATCAATCATTCTGGCGATGCAGTTCTCAGGCGCGGACTGATTCCATTACTGTAGAGACTCCGATTCACGGTTTTTTGTTCATCTAGGATAATTACAATGCTCTGCACATATCGGCTATGTACTCCAGGGAAGATGTGGTCAAGCTACTGCTGGCGAAGAGGGGAGTTGACCCTTATGCCACTGGGGGTGTAAGTTATTTTAATTCCAAAAATTTTCAGCTTTTTAGCTATTCGTTATCTTTAATTCATAATTTTAGTTGAAATTATGCAAAAAATTAGAGAATAATTTCAAGAGATTTTTATGAAGAGTTTTTAATTGAATGAATGAATGATACAGTTGCTCGATGCTTCTGAATAATAAAAATGACAATAATTCTGAAGAAAAAAACTCTTTTTTTTTATAAGTTAATTGTTTGAATAATTATTTATTTAATAAAAAATAGTGAGTAGAGAGTGTTTCTGGTATTGACATTTTATTTAAAACGTTGATTATAAACCGAAGAAAGATAAAAGAAAGAAATTGCCCGCCTAAAAAATCAGTAGCGAAGTGGTCAAACGGTGTGCGTCGATTTTGGCTGTTGGCCAGTTTTCACTGAATATCTCGAAATCTAAGGGAGATAGCAAAATTTTTCTCATGACCTTTTTAGTAGCACTGAACTCGCTCTACAAAAAAGGTTCTCATGAAAATTTCGCTATCTTCCTTAAATTCGGAAATATTTCAGGAATACTCAACTAAAGACTCAATTGACTTAAACCGTTTGACCACTTCGCTACGGAAACGATGATAGATCATTTAAATTTTGAATAGCCAAGGCAACAGACTGCTGTGCACCTCGTCGCCTCGCGACAAACGGGCACAGCTACGTCTATTCTGCGGGCCCTCCTTGCGGCAGCCGGACGAGACATCAGACTGATAGTAGACGGCGTAAGTACCTAAATTTTCAAAAATAAGTGTCAAAACCCCGACGAAAGCCTCAGTTCAAACGGATCTCCAGTTACTCCAGTGCATCGGCATTTCGCCAATGTTTTTCCGCCTGGAAGTTGCGATTTGGTCGCGTGACAGCCCCCGAACAGAGTCGCAGGATCGGCGGTATCGCCGCCTGGTACTGCCGTTCTCCACTCTCTTCCATGCTCGTCATAATTCTTTTCCGCCCCTCGTAGCTTCAATTGTCTATAACTTCGGGTGGAAAAAATCTCGGCCAAAAAATAATGCAGTCGTGTTTATCCTCGATATCGATTTCACCTGGAAATTACGCGCACTCTCTGTATGAAACTCTCTTTGAACTCTGACATCCCGGTTTTTTAATTTTTTTTTCTCCTCGTTTTCGCGATATCCGGCGGTGGAATCGTGGAGCGATATGAAAAAAATTCAGTGCTTCGTGTAATGGTCCCACAAGCGTTAACGCGGAGTCCCCGCGGGAATGCGCTTTGAATTAAAATGTCCTCGCGAATTCCGTCGACTGGAGACGCGGATCGGAACAATCCCGGGCCGATGTCAATGTCAGAGATCATGGAGAAGATAAAGCGTCGGGGGTTGAGCAAAAATTGGAAAGTGACACTTGAAGCTCTAACCGAGACTGTTCGTGTACGTTAATTGTGATTTTCCGCACGAAAAAATTTCATTGAAAAATTTCATAGATCTTTTTATGGAATTTTTTCATTCGTGTCTCAGTATTTCAAAATTTAGTCACAATATTTTTGACTCGTCAGAGGGGAAAAATCCCACTGCTGCTGGCGGTAGAGGCGGGTAATCAGTCGATGTGCCGTGAGCTGTTGGCTCAACAGGCACCTGAACAACTTCGAGCAACAACACCAGCTGGAGACACAGCCCTTCACCTAGCTGCTAGGAGACGAGACGTCGATATGGTCAGAATTCTCGTTGATTACGGCGCCTCAGTTGACATGCAAAATGTAAGGGATTATTACAATTTCTTCACAAAGAGATTGAACTTCACAAAAATAATTTACAAAGCTAAGAAGCATAATTAATTTTTTTAATTCGGTAGCGAAGCGGTAAACCGGGTTAAGTCGTTTTTTACTATTGGCTAGTTTTTGACGAATATCTCGAAATCTAAAAGGGATAGAAAGATTTTTCTCATGACCTTTTTTGTAGAGCCAATAGAGCGTTATAAAAAAAGTCGTGAGAAAAATTTTGCTATCTCTCTTAGATTCCGAGATATTCAGCAAAAACTGGCTAATAGTCAAAATCGACTTAACTCGGTTTACCGCTTCACTACTGAATTCAATTATCCCGTCCACCGTTTTCTCACCTGACACGAGAAAAACGATGTCATGAGCCAAGAAATTCCAACTTCATCGTGAAGTGTTCATGTTCAACCGATATTTGGCTGAAGAAATAACATTTCCGATATTCTTTATTTTTTTCTCTCACGTATTTGCATCAAGGTCATCGCGGATCCCACGTCTAAATAAAAATGATAATTCTGTCCAGTAAAGCCCCGACTAATCAGCATACTCAAAATAAAGCCCCAGAATAGCTCGGAAAAAACATAGAAAATTTAATTACTATTGTTAGCGAGCCCATGGGCGTTATTTTTGCATGCGTAATATATGAGCCGTAATTGTCGCAGTGCGTCAGGTATGGGTTCACCCGGTAGAGCATTCAGTCACCAAGAAATCTTCCCCGAGTTCGTTGCATTTCCTTTCATCCCCCAAAGCCGTGAGTTTGGTCCTCCAAAATAAATAAATTAACGCCGCCGAAATAACTGAAATTGTCGTCAGGGCGAGGGTCAGACGGCTCTGCACATCGCCAGTGCCGAGGGTGACGAGACGCTGGTGAAATACTTCTACGGAGTGCGTGCATCGGCGTCAATCACCGATAACCAGGACCGAACGCCCATGCACTTGGCCGCTGAGAATGGCCACGCAACAGTGATCGAATTACTAGCTGATAAGTTCAAAGCCAGTATTTTTGAGAGAACGAAAGACGGCTCCACCCTCATGCATATTGCGTCGTTGAACGGCCACTCGGAGTGCGCCACAATGTTGTTTAAGAAGGGGGTTTACCTACATATGCCAAATAAACGAGGTGCGAGGTCCATTCACACCGCCGCCAAATACGGACACGTGGGGATCATCAGTACTTTGTTGCAGCGGGGAGAAAAGGTCTTTAATGTTGTTCAAATTTTTTAAATGTCCTGAGTTTTTTCAAACCTCTGACGTTTCTTCAATTTCACACAGAAAAATTTTAACGGATGTATGCCATTACGAAGGGGTAAATGTCTTTTTTTTATTGGATGAGTTGACGTAAAGTACGAAAAAAAAGAGTTATTTACGCCAATTTTGAGCGTAATTTACTAATTAATTTAGTTTACTTAACTTAGTTATCAATTTACGTAATTTCGAGCATAAAATACGCTTCAGAAAGCGTAAAAGACGACGTCTTAAACGTAATTTACTTTTAGGTTTTCCTGTGTGTTGTTTCTAGGAATGAGTAAATATTTTTTTTATTAGATTAGTAAATGTGAAAAACGAAAAAGTGATCGTAATTTAAATTTTATATTAATTTTTATATTGAATACGCTTCAAAAAGCGTAAAAAATGACTTCTTAAACGTAATTTAGTTTCAAGTTTTTCAGTGTGTTGTTTCTAGTAAACTCAAGAATGTCCTGAAACTTTTCGCCAAGAAAGAACCTACCCCCGCTAATAAACATAAACTTTTACGAGATCGTTTCTGATAACGACAGGTCGACGCAAAGACGAACGACAAATACACAGCTCTCCACATAGCGGTGGAGAGTGCAAAGCCGGCGGTGGTGGAAACTCTGTTGGGCTACGGTGCAGACGTGCAAGTTTACGGTGGGGCGAATAAGGAGACCCCCCTTCACATTGCGGCGCGAGTGCCAGACGGAGACCGATGTGCCCTAATGCTCCTAAAATCGGGAGCAGGTCCGAACGTAGCAACCGAAGACGGACAGACTCCTGTGCACGTGGCAGCGAGTCACGGCAACATAACGACTCTCCTCCTGCTGCTAGAGGACGGGGGAGACCCCATGTCCAAGTCAAAAGTGAGCGACTATAATTCAGTAGCGAATTGGTAAAACGGTACAAGTCAATTTTGACTACTGCCCAGTTTTCAGTGAATATCTCGGAATCTAAGGGAGATAGCAAAATTATTGTCAAGACCTTTTTTACAGCACTCAATTTTCTCTACAAAAAAGGTTATTACGAAAATTTCGTTATCTCCTTTAGATTCGGAGATATTCTTCAAAAACTCAACCGAGAGATATCACCCAAAAAAACAGTACTGATTCAAAACGATTTTCGGCTTGATTCAGACTGAGTGACTCGGACTAGGCCAATCCGAATTCTGGGTTTGATATAAGTCGAAAAGTGGTTTATTTCAAGTGGAAACGAGTCCAGCTGACATCGGTTTGAATCAAACCGATAAACAGAATGATTCACGTCGAAATTCTGCCTGTTTCAGGTAGTGGATAGCGACTTGATTCTAGTCAATTTTTCGGTTTGATTCAAGTCGATTTATCGGTCTGATTCAGACCGATTTTTCGGTTTGCTTCAGACCGACTTTTGTTTTATGTAAATCGACTTAAACCGTTTCACCACTTCGCTGCTGAATTGTGAGTAAATATAACTCCTGTTATGACGTTCCCGAAAATGTTCTCGTCTGCCCTAGAACGGGGAGACTCCCCTTCACCTAGCGTGCCGGAGTTGCCGGTCCGAAGTGGTCCGCAAGTTAATTGAATTCGTGAAAGATAAGCAGGGCGCCAGCACAGCCACAGGTTACGTAAACAGTCTCACGAATGAGGGTGCTTCGGCCCTCCACTACGCAGCGCAGATAGACCCGAGGACCGTAACAGAGCCAGGAGACGACAGAGCCGTTGTGCGCGCCCTCCTGGAGGGCGGTGCTGACGTTTCCCTGGTGACGCGTCAGGGCCAGGAGTCGGCGTTTCACCACTGCGCGTCGGCGGGCAACAACGAGGTCCTCTCCGAGATGATAAGTTACATGTCGGCGACGGAAGTGCAAAAAGCTCTGAACAAACAGAGCGCAGTTGGCTGGACGCCGCTGCTGATAGCCGCTCATCGTGGACATCTGGATATAGTCGAGAATCTCTTGGCGAATCACGCCAGGGTAGACGTGTTCGATCTAGAAGGTAGATCGGCACTCCACCTGGCCGCCGAGCACGGCTACCAGAAAGTCTGCGACGCTCTGCTAGCCAGCAAGGCCTTCATCAACTCGAAATCCAGAGTTGGTAGGACAGCGTTGCACCTGGCGTCCATGAACGGCAACACGGATCTCGTAAGGTTCCTCGTGCAGGATCACTCCGCAGTGATTGACGTGTTGACCCTGAGGAAGCAGACACCTCTGCACCTGGCGGCCGGCTCCGGACAGCTGGAGGTCTGCAAACTACTCCTGGAACTGGGCGCCAGCATCGACGCCACTGACGACCAGGGGCAGAAGCCAATTCACGCCGCGGCGATGAACAATTACGCTGAAGTCGCACAGCTGTTCCTCCAGAGACACCCCAGCCTCGTGATGGCTTGCACCAAGGACGGAAACACCTGCGCGCACATCGCCGCCATGCAGGGCAGTGTCAGAGTCATCGAGGAGCTCATGAAGTTCGACAGACAGGGCGTCATTTCAGCGAGGAACAAATTGACTGAAGCCACGCCGCTGCAACTCGCAGCCGAGGGCGGCCACGCGGAAGTTGTGAAGGCCCTCGTCAGAGCGGGCGCTTCGTGCGCCGATGAGAACCGAGCCGGCTTCACAGCGGTTCATCTGGCCGCGCAGAATGGACATGGCCAGGTCCTCGAGGTCATGAGGTCCTCGCAGTCCCTGAGGATATCCAGCAAAAAACTCGGCGTCACTGCGCTTCACGTTGCCGCGTACTTCGGCCAGGCCGGTGAGTCTCGGGGTTTTGACGCTGATGCTAGGGATGAGCGATCCCTAGCTTCTTTGGCGATTAATCGAAAACATCGATGTGGGGGGGGGAGAAATCAACGGACGATTAATCGATTTTCGATTCTTTTTTCCAAATATTTTTCAGTCTTTTGTCGAATAATAATGTTGATTGATTAAGAATAAACAAAGTAGGGGAGGATGGGGCAAAACGGCCCCCCTTCAATCGTCAATATTTTCCGATTCAATAATCCGATTGGGATGAGTTAGAGCTCGTTTTGAAGAATGAAAAATTATCTTCAAAATGAAGTCGAAACTGGGAATTTTCACAATGTCATTCACAAGTTATTGACAATTGAAGGGGGCCGTTTTGCCCCACCCTCCCCTAATTATTTATCCGCAATCAGAAGTCATTATTTTCTGCAGTACGTATGGAATCAATTATGAGTGAACAAGTCCAGTCGTCTATTCTTTTTTTTATTTAAATGTTGAAATTTTTTCTCAATTAAATTTTTTAGCAATTATTGCAGCTAACGTCCCCACGGAAAATATTCAATATATTTTTTTCAATGAAAACGAGAAGACAAAAAAATATTTTTAACAATTTGTTTTCTTTTTCTGTGTAATTAGAAAAACATCGATTTTTTAAATAATTGATGTTTTTTAAAACATCGCCCATCCCTAGTTGATGCATGGCGTGATGAAGAATATCGGGTCTTGCGGCGGGAACAGAAATAGAATCCCATTTGGGGATGTATGGATTTTCAGGTGGTCGAATGGATGAGAACTTTGAAAATTGTTTCGAAGTTATTTTTGTAGCGCAGTTTAGAAATAATATCGATTTTATAATATCCGGAGAGTTGCCAGAGCGTATTATCACGTATTTCCTGGTTCCACTTGATCACTGGAACAGTAGTACTCAGCCCCTATATTTCATGTTAATTACTCGGAATGTAGCGGCAATCCCGACGTGAGAATCTAGGTCGTTCGGCTTTTTCAGTCGGTCAAATGCCTCATAAATTCTCTAAAATATTCAAATTTCATTGCAAAGAACGGCCGGCAATCCCCAGGGGGAAAAAATTCGATTGATATCTAAATCACTCGTAAAATCACGGGTGACACACTCTTGACCCCCTGACCGTCATATCGAAATAACTGGACTTGGTGATATTATCGCAAGAGAAAGGAAAAAACACCTGAGAGAAAAGTGTTGATGATTTGCGTGACCACGCGGCTTTATTCCACCAGCCCCTCAACATTTTATGCTGTGGCTCCCACTCGGGCCTGCCCTAAACCCCGGAGAAGTAGAGGAAGAGAAAATATGAATGCACGCATCACGCAAATACGGTGTTAATCCTCACAAGAATTTGTAGACTCTCGGGAATAAACGAATACGGAAAAAAGAAATCATAATATTTCGTTGAGACACGTGACACGTTGTACCAGGCCTCGTGCCAACCAATTGCGCCCCTAATTTTTCTCTTTACCCTATTGTTTTAACTGTGGAATCGATCGACCTAATAATGTTATGGTCAATACATTTATTTCTTACAATAATGCTTTGAAGTTACGACGGCGAAAGGTAGTGTAACGGTGGGCAGGAGGTCACGAGCCCGTGATAAGTCGATGAGATTAGAGGACCTTGCTGCAAGGTCTCGGTATTACCCACACGTGAGGTCCGACCGTCTTTACAACTGTAACGACAATCTACACGGAGAGAAATTTTTTATTAAAATTATCTCAGCGTAAAAGTGGATCATGAGTCATAGTTTCATCGTTCCTGTCCCGAAATTTAGGAAAAATTAATGTACGATGATTCAATTTTATTCTGCGTTAGATAAATTTTATACTGATGCATAACAAATTTTACCCATTTTTTTTTCACGTCCAGTCCAGTAATTTTTATGTAGATAACAACGAAAATTCTGGAACGGTTGGTAAATTTTACCGGTGCAGAATATAATTTGATCATCATGTATTAATTTATACTAAATTTTGGGATAGAAATGAGGAAACGATGACTCATGATACACTTTTATGGAACGATAGGATAATTTTTATCAAAAATTTTGCTCCGTGTGTAGCTTCTCCCCGTTATGATTTCCAATTACAAAGATGATCTCTGCTTTCATCAGATACGGTGCGAGAGCTGCTGACGCACGTACCGGGAACTGTGAAATCAGACCCGCCAGCGGGGAATTCCCTCGTTGGTGAACTAGGAAGTGAATCCGGAATGACGCCACTTCACCTGGCGGCTTATTCCGGGAATGAGAATGTCGTGCGACTGCTGCTGAATTCCGCTGGAGTTCAGGTGAGTCGCGGGCTCATGCAGATGCTCACACACGGAGAGAAATATTCAGTAAAAATTACGGAACAATTCACGTAATCCGCAGTGGGGAATCGTTTTCCGGAAATTTTTATGGGAATGGAAGAGCAGAAATCTGAAACGTTCAGTGAATTTTCAGGTTCATCACCGAACAAAGTACGAAATAGTCACGTAATTTTTCCCGAAGAAGTCAAATCTTACAGGAACTTGCCGACTTATTGTGCCTGCAAAATAAAAAATTCTTGAACGTGCAACAATTTTTATGAAGCTGGTGAGTTATTTCTAGGTTCCATTCATCCGTCATCAGACGGCCGATTAATTTTAACGACGCCCACTTTTTATTGAATTTCACATCGCTGGCGAATTACGTTTCGAAACGTGATATTTACGTTTTTGTCTGGTAATTTTTATTGAATTTCTCTCTCCGTGTCCATTCCGCCCTCCCCATTCCCCCAGTGATCAATGCCTCCGCGATAACACAGGTGGAAGCGGCGACGACGGAGAACGGCTACAACCCTCTCCACCTGGCCTGCTTCGGGGGCCACATAACCGTCGTCGGTCTGCTCCTAAGTAGATCAGCGGAGCTGCTTCACAGCTCCGATCGGAGCGGCAAAACTGGGTTGCACATAGCCGCGACTCACGGCCACCACGGAATGGTGGAGGTGCTGTTGGGTCAGGGTGCCGAGATCAACGCCACCGACAAGAACGGCTGGACCCCGCTGCACTGCGCTGCGCGGGCCGGTCACCTCGACGTTGTCCAGCTGTTGGTGGAGAGCGGAGCCTCGCCGAAGAGCGAAACCAACTTGGGATGCGTGCCCATCTGGTTCGCCGCGTCCGAGGGGCACAACAACGTCCTCAAGTACCTCATGGAGAAGGAGCACGACACTTACGCTCTTATGGAGGACAAGAGGGTGAGTATCAATTTTCTGAACCCCAGAAGCCATCAGCCAAGAAATAAGAATTCCTTCTCACGAGTACAAACGGTTCTTGGGGGGAGTTCACTTTTGAAAAGTTCTAAAAATCCTCGTCCCAAGTACCAAGTGCTTTCCCCCCAGAAACCCCTTGGCACCGGGTACAAGTACTTTTTCTACCGATCAAAAGTAATTTTGTTGGGGTGCAGAAGCCCGAACGAAGGAAGTAATGTTGCTTGATGTTTCCGCAGTTCGTCTACAGTCTGATGGTCTGCAGCAAGAGCCACAACAACAAATCCATCGAGGAGTTCGTTCTGGTGTCCCCCGCGCCCGTGGACGCAGCCGCAAAGCTATCGAACATCTACATGAAGCTCTCCGAGAAGGAGAAGGAGCGCGCGAAAGACCTGATAGCAGCGGGGAAGCAGTGCGAGAGCATGGCAACCGAACTTCTGGCCCTGGCGGCGGGTGCTGACTCAGCGGGGCGAATTCTCACAGCGATGGACAGACGAAACGTGGAGTTTCTCGACGTTTTGATCGAGAACGAGCAGAAAGAAGTGATTGCCCACACAGTGGTGCAGCGATATCTCCACGAACTGTGGCGCGGTAGCCTCAATTGGAGTGCGTTTCGGTCAATGTTACTCTGGTTCACAATGGTCTTCTGCCCACCGGTCTGGGCTGTGTTTGCACTGCCCCTTGGACACAAGTACAACAATATACCGATCGTTAAATTCATGTCGTACCTGACCTCACACGCGTACCTAATGATATTCCTATCCCTAGTTGCTATTACCCCACCGTATCCCGTCATGAGGGATGATCTCATGCCGTACAGCTACGAGTGGTGTTTACTTGTTATGTTGTCGGGATTATTACTGTTCGAATTGACTAATCCGAGTGACAAAAGTGGCCTAGGGTGGATTAAACTGGCAGTGCTGCTCTTCTCAATATGCGGTGTTGCATTTCATCTTGTTGCGTGGCGGTTTCTTCCGCGCACAATCTGGCCAACGCTACTCTACCTCCGCAATCAACTGTTTGCGCTGAGTTTTTTACTCGCTTGTGTGCAGATACTGGATTTTTTGTCGTTTCATCATCTCTTCGGACCGTGGGCCATCATCATCGGGAATCTCATGAAGGATCTTGCCAGGTTTCTCGCTGTACTCGCCATCTTCGTTTTCGGATTTTCGATGCACTTCGTGGCGTTGAACCAGGCTTTCGTTAATTTGGATAAGAACCCCAGGAAAGGCGCCTTTTCAGATAGTAAGTGTTGAGGTTTTTTGGAAATCTTTGGGTGCTGCCTTGACGTCTTGGATGGGGCCGGGGAGAAAAAAAACGTAAAAATTACATTTCAGTAGCGAAGCGGTAAAACGATTTAAGTCGACTTAGCTCTCAGCTTCGTTTTTGAGGAATATCTCCGAATTTAAGAACGATTGCAAAATTTTCATAATTAACTCTTTCGTAGCGCTCAATTCGATCTACACAAAAGGTTCTAACAAAAAATGTTCTATCTGCCTTAGATTCCGAGATACACATTGAAAACTGATCAGTGGTCAAAATCGACTTAAACCGTTTTACCGCTTCGCTACTGATTTCGAAACTGACACTGATAAACTGACTCATTCATTCCAAACGAGATTCGTTAATTATTAACGAACGATAGAGTTGAATAATTTTTCCCGAACAATTGATAAATTTTACGGAACGGAACGTAAAAATAACTTGCCAGCTTCAGAATTTTTGATTTTGGAGGCATAACAAGTCGGAAAGTTTCTGTAGGATTTTACTTTTTCGGGCGAAATTACGTGGCAATTGAATATTTGATTTTATATTTTATTTAATTTAATATTTAAAATTTTTATAAAAATTTCCGAAAGCGATTTCTCCTTGGGGATTACGTGAATTATTCTGTAATTTTTACTGAATATTTCTCTCAGTGTGTTTTCATTCTCAATCTTTCGATTTTCTTCTCGAGGGGTTGCCAAGGCATCAAGATTGCACTCTCATCATGTAGAATGTAGAGATAAAGTAATAAGATACCAGTAGGAAAAGTAGACATAATACGTCGACAAGTTTACACCTCTAAATACTACTCGTGACTCTGTTGAGTGATTTTCTTCTCAAAAATTGTAACAGCAACTCAAAAAGTATTGGTTCGTCCACGTAATATTTTTTGTGCTACACTAATATCGCGGAAAAGTAATATTCAGAGGTGACACCCTCAACATGATCATTCCATACAACAACATAACGTATAATCTGAAATATTAGATTTATTGGCCAATGATACCGAGTGGATGGTACCAACTCCGCTGGTACCCCATCGTCGCTCCGGCCGCTACAAGAAAAAGAATGATTGTTGTGACGATAGCGCCCGAGATAGTAAGTCACGACGACACGATTGCCAAACCGATAAACGGCAAAATAATGGAAAAGAAAAAAAAATATTCGAAACTGCTACTGTCCGTTGCCTCGGTGTCGTCCCGTTTGCAATGCATCTGTCTTTGTTCTCATTGTTTATTGATTAATGGCGCGTATGTGTTGCCTGTTACTTGAGATTGATCCACAGCTATGGGAAGGATAACCAGGAGCATTTGAGTGTCGTCTTGCGAATAATCATTACTCTGTCGTTACGAATCTGTAGTTGAACGAAACATGATCACCTCCGACATTCCAGTCATTCATGTCTGATCAGTTTCATTCACCTGCAGATCTCAGATTTATTTTTTACACAGCGTGTTCAAGTCCCAGGTGTCGAAACATCACCTGGCGCAACCAAATGGGCGAGAAAATCCCATCCATATACTTGCATGTGTATGTTCAACGACTCCCTCCAAAAAAAAAAAAAACAATAAACCTCACAGTTTTTGCTACAAAGGTGACTGTTTCATGTTCCTGCGCATGAATCCACTGGATGCGCAATAAATGTTGAACGTGCACGGTGAAAAAAGTCTGCCCTTTTGAATTGTACAAACAAAAAAGTGTCTCTTGAATGCAGCAAAAGTGCTATAAAACCATAAACCAAGTGCAAATCGCAATACAACGATGAAAAACAAATTTTAAAAAATGTTATGACATTTGAAAATGAAAAAAAAAGGAATGAACGTGCCTAAGTTATGATGGCATGCGTCACGATATGTGCAACCAAGAATCAGCAGCATCCGTACAACAGCATGGCCGCTATATAATTAAATAAATAAAAAAAAAACGCATGAGCATGTTCGTTGGTTCGTATACATGATTACATACACATGGTAGCTAATCTGCTTTATCCAAGAGTTAATACCGCAAACTTTACTCCTTGTGAACATGAAAATAATGTTAACGCTTTTGCAGTCAAGATGAATCCATTACTTGCATTTGAATATCTCTTCTTCGCTGTGTTTGGACAAACAACACACAGCGAATTGAAGGTTGAAACTGGACAGCCCGAGTGGACATCGGCCCTTTTTAAACTGACATTTGGAGTTTACATGTTGGTATCGGTTGTTGTATTGATTAATCTACTCATTGCCATGATGAGCGATACTTACCAGAGAATTCAGGCGCAGTCGGACATTGAGTGGAAGTATGGATTGAGTAAACTTATACGGAATATGCACAGGTGAGTGTCATTCACCGTTTTTCTGTTATATTACAGATGGATTTTGTCCCAGAGCTTCACTGTAGTCCGATAAGATGAGAATTACTCACGGAAATGAATATTCACAATTTTCAGGACGACGACAGCTCCGTCTCCCTTGAACCTCCTGACAACTTGGATGGTTTACTTCATAAAATCCTGCAAGGCGCGATCAATGAAGAAGAAACGCCCCTCGTTGGTTCACATGATGGGCCTGCAGCGCACCGGAAGGCTCTCGCCGCGATCTAAAGTGGGGGCCAAATGGCTGTCGAAAGTGAAAAAAGGTCAGATACGGCCGAAGGACAGCATCGGACACACTGGAAACGTCCACTTGAGTCCCCTAGGCAGTCAATTATCCTTCAACACTGCTCTCAGAATTGAGAGTGTAGTGGACTGGGACGCAATTAGTAAAAAATATTTAATTCTAACCGGCAATGAGCCGGAGAAAGAGCTCGAGAAGGATGATAATCAGGATGAAATTGTTACTGAAGAGGAGATTGCTTTTGGTAGTTCATCCACACCTGTACCACCGTCATCAACTCCGCCCATTTAATTATTGTCAGTTTGTAGACACGAAGATATGATAATAAAATAATGAGAGGAGTGAAATTGATATTTACGCTGTCCATTTAATTTAGTTGAAAACCTTTTCTAGTACAGGTACAATTAAACCAGACTCTGCATCCACATATTAATCACAAATGAACAAATCAACGTTCAGTAAGTCTTGATTGATAAGAAAAAGCCATTGCGCGCATGTGAAATTATCCGCAGGAAATACGAAAACAGCAACAAGCAAATACACAAACTACACTCATCTCCTTATTCAAATATTTCTGCAAAAATTTCAATCACCTTTTGCATCATGAGCGGCCAATTATCTCCTAGCCTCTGAATAATGAAAAATAATTTTTCCAGCGAGAAGAAAAAATGAATTGAACCAGCGATTAACAATAATCACAAACAATTAGCCTTAGTGAATAATTTTTTTAGCATGAAAAAGACAATTGCATGATACGAACGAACATGAAAATGCCAAATGCATGATTCTCTGGTCAATACATTCGATGTACAATTATTGGAACGTATTTGCAGTGGTGATGAGTCCAATACTGGCAGGTGAATTGCTCTTCTTCGCTATCTTCGGACAAACAACACATGAGCAATTCAAGGTGGTGGGGAAGAAAAGTCAGCAACCGTGGACAACAGTATTCTTCAAATTGGCATTTGGAATTTACATGCTGGTATCGGTGGTTGTTCTAATCAATCTGCTTATTGCGATGATGAGTGATACATACCAAAGGATTCAGGCACAGTCTGACATTGAGTGGAAGTACGGCTTGAGTAAATTGTTTAGGAATATGCACAGGTATGGGACATTTATCATTCGATTGAAGCAAAGGCTTCCATTATTTCTCATTTGAATTTTTGCAATAGAACAACAACAGCTCCATCACCCCTGAACCTCGTCACAACCTGGATGACGTACTTCTGCAGATTGTGCAAGAAACGAACAGCCAAGAAACAGCGTCCATCATTAATCCACCTAATGAGTCTTCATCGATCCAGCAGAATGTCACCACGCACCAAAGTGGGAGCAAAGTGGTTGTCTAAGATAAAAAGAACTCAGGTGGCGCACAATGACAGTGTTGCCGTGCCTGTTGGACATCTGAGTCCCCTAGGAAGTCAATTATCCTTCAGTAATGCCTTGAGAATCGATACCGTGGTTGATTGGGACGAGGTGAGACGAAAATACCGTGCCCTATTCTGCGATGAGCCTGAGAAAATAGCGGAAGAAACTCCAGACATGGCTGAAACCGAGCAACTAACGATCATCGAAGAGACTGCGCCCCTTCCAAGCACTAATGTACTCATTTAATCGATAAGTAGAAACAACAGCCAAGTAATTTGAATGATCATTCAAATTAAGGAACTGTGAAAAATCCGGATAAATTCATTAACATAAGCATCTCGTTCTAATGATATTTATGAATAATAGAGATTTGTTAAATACATATTCAAACTGTCATCCTGTGTTCTCATTTAAGACCCCATCCCTTTAATTATGTAGACATTGAATGCAATTTTATCCTACAGAACATCCCGGGGGCGCTATTATAATCTCCAGCTCTTCTGCGTTCTCATTATGGTTAGTCCGAAATAAGCTAATGTTTCTTACCACAATTAGTGTAGTTTAGTTGACAATTGACCATGGTAATTAGTGTGCACCAGCAACATATGGAAACGAGGATATCGTAAATCTGTCATTATGGACAGAGTCTCAGGAATGCTTACTTCGTTCATCTCGATAAAAATCATTCAAAGAATGCAGGAACCCATTCATCATCATCGCCATCATCATGAGCTCAGAGAAATGGCGAGGTATTAAGAAATGCCCGCTGTAGTTCTCTATTCAGGAAATATCATAAAATCGACTGGCATGATTCCATGCTACGCCTTATGTTCCCATGCGACTGCCCCATACTATAAGACCTGAATTATAGTCGTTAGATCAATGAGTGAAAGCAACATTGAGTTGTAGTGAACATTTTTTGACTGTTTTGACTCTGGTGATGAGTTTTAATGCTGTATTTTTTTTACAGTGATAGCCAATCCTATTGACGTTACGGAAAATCTCTTTTTCGCGATTTTCGGGCAGAAGGATACTGATGATTTTACGTTTGCTCGCAATCTGCAGCCGCCGTGGACGATTTATCTGTTCAAGGTGAGGATTCTCAGTTTTTCGATGACAATACTGGATACGTATTTTTTTATTTTGAAAAATATTGAGTAGAAATCGAGTTATAGCCGATTCCAAACGGTGCCCGGATTTTTTCCCCTCGAAAAAAATCCCCGGAGAAAATTCTCCAGGAAAATTTTCCCCCGGAAACAAATTCCCGGAATTATTTCCCCTTACGAATGTAAAAAACAATTACACAAACACACATTACCAACTCAATTTTATTTATTACATGTTTCAATCTTCGAAGACACTCCAGATGAGAATTCAACTCTTTCACTAGATCAATAATTAGTAAACAGGGGAATTTTGACGAGGAAATTTTTTCCGGGAAATTGCTTCGGGGAAAAAAATCCAGTCACCTTACAAACGACCTTCGCACCAAAATGGCGTCTTAGGGTTGACCAAAATGGCGACTTCTCAATATTTTTGCCGCTTTCATCTCCTGAAGAATTGATGGATTCGTTCTCTTTATCGCCGCAGGTATCATTTTCCCTCTACATGCTTGTCAGCGTAATCGTCCTCATCAATCTCCTCATCGCCATGATGAGCGATACCTATCAGAGCATCCAATCCCAAAGCGACATAGAGTGGAAGTACGGCTTAAGCAAACTCATCCGCAAAATGCAAAAGTGAGTGCTCGTCTTTAGAAATGCGTCGCAGCCCTTAACCCACGAAATCTAATGATTTTTCTAGAACACGAACTGCACCATCACCGCTGAATTTGATCACAACGTGGGTAACGTATCTGGTGAAAGTCTGTCAGAAGCGAAAGGGCAGGAGGAAGCGAATGAGTGTGATGCACGGCTTCGCCGGGAGCACGCCCTCGAGAAATCGTTTGTCACGTGTAAGTTGTTTCGCATTTTACGACTCGACGTTTCCTGTTCCTTAAAAACAAATCAATATACCCCTGAATTTTTTAATGCGCAGGACAAATTACTCTCGATAGAAGGCCACAAGTCGACCGTCGGATTTTCCCGGCTGCAGAGTCCGGTGGGAAGTCAACTGTCCTTCAAGCACATGCCTAGCATCGATTCGGTCGTAGATTGGGACCTTGTGCGGAAGAAGTACAGAATGCGCTTTGGCGACTTGGTGGAGAAACCCTCGGGCATCGATACGGGCGCGGGAGAGCTTATGTGAAATAGTGGAGGACTTGACGCTTTTTATACGGACGATGATATTTTTTGTTACTTTGGTCGCTGGTGATATTTTGTGTGATGCTTTTGTACAATGGTAGATACATTAAACTCCACTTTTCATGCAAATTCATCGGCTAGTGGTGCAATAACACTTTCTTTTAGGTTCTGCCGTTGAGGGTGCGAATCGCGTTTGTTTGAAGAATTGAAAACAAATATTTTTTCTCTCCCTTCACTGGCGGCGAAAATGTGATAATCCGTCCAAAATTTCGAACGAGCTACAGGGGCTTGATATATTTCTCTTATTCATCCCAGTATTCTACTGTATTTGACCACCATCACAAATTATTCCAAATTATTTTTTGATCCCCGAGGGAGGAGAAATGCTCATTTTAATTATCCGAGCACAAGAATGGGTTCATTTGGAGTTTGTTTCCGTCAGCCGATTTTACGGCACTCCATAATAATTTTTCCTACATTTTTTTCTCCGTGGACTAACCGGGAATTTTTTTTTTTAAATTGACTTTGTCAATTGCAATGTATAAAAAATTGTAGTAGTTTTTAACACAAGATATTTTTCAAAATTCCTGAAGAAAAAAAAATATTTCGAACAGATGGATTATTTTTTCCCATTTTAAATGAAATTGCACATGACGCGACGTTGCCGGAAACTCGCTAAACGCGCCCGGACAGCGCAGAGTGAATTCGGCAACGCTCAAGCCTGAATAACACGGCGGCGAATCCCCCCGGAGGTGACCGAAGTCGCAGGGACGCGTTTGGTGACCAGACTACACTGATAGAAAAGAGAAGATTCATTAACAGTTAACGAATCTCATTTGAAATAAATGAATCATTCTATCAGGGTAGGAATAAGGGTTCATTTTGTTCATTCAATTTCTCGATACCAATAAATTATAAAATTTTGAAAACATCACCAATGTTCACATGTCCGACACTATTATTAAAAAAAAAATGACTTTCTTAGTGAAAGATTAAATTAAAAGATGAAAATTAAAATTTTCCAAAGGCATAGATGCCCTCAGTCTCTTTTGACTCGTTTTTTCGCAATCGTTGATCGAACTCCCAGAAGGACTTTTACTATGCGAACAGTCCCATAAATAATAGCGATGACGCAGAGAGCGAGAAAGCCGTAAACGTCGATTTGCTCCATCTGCCACCAGGAGAGATCGACTACTGGTGATCTCAACGCGCCCGGGCCATGCCTAACAGCATATTCGATCCAGAAAACAGCCGTGTCCATTGCGCTCATGGGGCGATCAAGGAACTTCTTCGATTGGTACTTGGCAGACTCGCTGAAAACCGACGATAACAGCACTGTTACATTTTCGATTTCAAATCAGTAATGAAGTGGTCAAACGGTTCAAGTCAATTTAGTCTTTGGTTGAGTTTTCCTGAAATATTTCCGAATTTAAGGGAGATAGCGAAATTTTCATAATAACCTTTTTTGTAGAGCGAATAAAGGGCTACTAAAAAGGTTGTAAGAAAAATTTTGCTATCTTCCTTAGATTTCGAGATATTCATTGAAAACTGGCCAATAGCCAAAATCCACTTAAACCGTTTGCCCACTTCGCTACTGAAATAATGTGCCGCAAATAATGTTTTACCTGTACTTCGGATTATACAGAATTTCATTAATAGCCCAGGAGATGGGCTCCTCGCTCAAATTATGCACGTCCAACTCGACGGCTAAGCCGCGGGTTTTGTAAGCTGCGATGTTAACGTGCTGATCTGAAAAAATGGGAATCCCGATCAGGGGAACTCCGTAGGTGAGCGCCTCCTGAGTGCTCATGAGCCCTCCGTGGGTTATGAATACTTTCGTGTTTTTGTGAGCTGTGAAGAATTGAGGATGTTACAAGCATTCGTCAATATTCTCGTAATCAGTGTAGCTAGCAGAAGATCTACTCCTGAAAGATCCTCCCAAAATGAAGGAGTGGCTGATCAACATGAAATAGCCAATATTTCCCGGAGGTCTCACCTAGTACAGCCACTTGAGGAATCCAGGAAAAAGTCCTTACGTTATCCGGCAATCCAGGAGGGAGAGCCGACTCATTAGCCACCTTCATAAGCACTCTCACCGGTGCTATCCTTCTGAATACCGAGTAAAGTGCTCTCATAGTCACTTCAGGGAGGGTCTCAATATTCACCATGGATCCAAGTGTAAAGAAGATCACACCGGAGGTGCTGTCATTCATCCACTTCTCCATTTCCTTAGCACAACGAATGCAACGTGAATAATCAGTGAAAAACTATTTATATCACGTCAACAGAGTATAATGCGAATTACCGCGAAAACTAATGTCTGAATTTCAGACACTTATGTAGGCACTTTTGAGACATTAAAATGTCTGCATCAATGGAGGCATTTCAATGTTAGACACAAAGATGTCTGAAATTAAGATACAGACAGATTTTCAGACACATAAGAATGGAATTGACGTGAAAAAATATAACGTTTTGCGTTTTGTCATTATTTAATGACCGACGAAATTTTAAGGTGGTGCGCACATTTTCCTGCGTTTTCTCTAAACTTTTAAAAAGAATCACAAAACTGTAGAAAAANTTTAAGGTGGTGCGAACATTTTCCTGCGTTTTCTCTAAACTTTTAAAAAGAATCACAAAACTGTAGAAAAAACGCATGAAAATTATCGCACCACTACGCAACTTCGTGAGCCATTAAAGAATGACAAACCACAAAATCGTTATATTTTTTCACGTCACTCCCATCGATAATTTGCCAGAAAAATGAAAACAACGTCAATTTTGGCTAAAAGGGTGTCGAACATCCTTAAAGATTCAGACGATTTTTAAGCGAAGAGATAGACATCCTTAAATTCAGATGGCTATCAGACACCTATTTTTTGCAGTGGATGAGTCAACTTTTCAGACATGAGAAATATCTTAAAAATTAATGTTTGAATGGACTTTGCCGTCTGAATCAGGTGAGATATTTTAATACTGAAATGTTTGAACCGCTCATAAATAACTGAATTTCAGGGACAGGCACTGACATTATTCATTTTTTTGCCATCTGCCATCTTAAATTCATATAGCTGTCAGACACCTGTTGTTTCCAATGAAGAAACGAATGCAATTGGGCTGATGAAAAATTACCTGAGGGAGTGGAGTGTAGTGCTCCTGCATGTGAATCCCGCCGACTTCAATGAACCCAGGGGTCGTTGGTTGAATGCCATTGAGGCTGTGCCACGTATTCACGAGGGCGAGAGTCACGTTTTTCTCAAGCTCCCGAAGTGGCGGAATGTTTGGATCAATATACTTCCTTATTTCCGCGTTTTGAAAAGCATCTGTGTAGTATCGAAATTTCATATTGTTCACATAAACCGTGATGGTGTTCATCACGCGTTCTGGAAATGACATGGGATGCACGTAGGACGTGAAGTACGATGAGATAAATGCCGGGAATAGTGGCTGGCCTAAGCTCTCTGCCAGCCAAGGTAGGGGGATCAAAGTGCTTGCCAAGACTACTGGTACATTCAACGCGTAGCCCAAAGCGATAAAACAATTAGCAGCACACGCCTAGAGCGCAACGAATGGATACACAATGTGCGTTAATATTCGGACGAATGTATTTCAGTGGAAAAATTAATCCATAACTTTCATTAATTTCGAATGCACCTAGAAAACCATTTCCACGATCACTGATTATCGAGATCATCACTCATTAGTAATTTTCGACATGAAGGAAATTTAACATCTGTTCCATCATATCGCTAATAATATTACCTCTGTGACGACCAGGTCATATGGTGGATCCTGCGGGGGATTTTTTATGATCTCCTGCATCTCGGGTAGTCCCAAATATTCGCAAAACGGGTTCCCCGACCTCAGGGCAAGCTGTCGTGTAAAGTCCGATCCGAATTGAATAGCAATGGCAACACTCAGTTGATTGACAAGACTCTCTTGTTTTCCCTCGAGATTCGCAATCACTTTGTAATTCGGCGGTGGGTTTTTGAGGGGATACAGAGTGACAACGTCAACTTGATGGCCCCGGCCGGTCAACCCTTTGATGATGCTGTCGAACATCAGATGATGACTCTTCGAGGGTAATGGAAAAACAGCCAGTATCCTGTACGCTTCATTTCCGACTGGAAATACACCAACACAGAATGCACCGATAATTGATAACAATATTCTCAGCTCCATTGTTATACAATGGAACTTGACGCGACTGGGATTGTGACTGGCGTCGACCCTCTAGACTCTTCTGTTTATATACCTCGGGGAAATTGTCTCATCGAACAACTATGAATTTGGAATATTCCTGGAAGCCGCGGGCTTGTGGGAGGGCTATCGCCACAATCGACGTGGAATTGGAAAATACGAGAACAATCAATAATTCAGATATTCCGCGTTACCACTTGCATTTAATTCTAATGAATAGAAACGAGACGGCGTGTGGTATCTTTTGAATAATTAAGGGTCCTTATCTCAACGGCGTCATTCATTAATGAAGAAGGACAGATATGAAATGGGAGTTTTAAGTGCGCGGAGAGAAATATTCAATAGTTAGGGTCTACAACTCGGGCTTGCAATTGAAAACCCGAGTTGAAAACCCGAGTTTGTAGCAAAGATGTCAGACAAGATATGAATGTTTTTTTGGGCTCAAACGAAAGAGCGGGTCGAGAAATGGCGTGCTAGGACCTCTAAAGATGGTTTTGAACCAGGGGAGACTCCTAGACCCCAATGTTCTATACATACTCCTAGACCCCATTGTCCTCCTAGACAATGATGTCACAACTCTGCTTTTCAATTGAAAACAGATATCATCTTTAGAGACATTTGTCATGTTTAGAGGCTCTAGCACGTCATTTCTCGACCCACTCTTTCATTTGAGCCCAAAAAAACATTCATATCTTGTCTGACATCGCTGCTACAAACTCGGGTCTACAACTCGGGCCTTCAATTGAAAACCCGAGTTGAAGACCCGAGTTTGTAGCAAAGATGTCAGACAAGATATGAATGTTTTTTTGGGCTCAAACGAAAGAGCGGGTCGAGAAATGGCGTGCTAGGACCTCTAAAGATGGTTTTGAACCAGGGGAGACTCCTAGACCCCAATGTTCTATACATACTCCTAGACCCCATTGTCCTCCTAGACAATGATGTCACAACTCTGCTTTTCAATTGAAAACAGATATCATCTTTAGAGACATTTGTCATGTTTAGAGGCTCTAGCACGTCATTTCTCGACCCGCTCTTTCATTTGAGCCCAAAAAAACATTCATATCTTGTCTGACATCGCTGCTACAAACTCGGGTCTACAACTCGGGCCTTCAATTGAAAACCCGAGTTGAAGACCCGAGTTTGTAGCAAAGATGTCAGACAAGATATGAATGTTTTTTTGGGCTCAAACGAAAGAGCGGGTCGAGAAATGGCGTGCTAGGACCTCTAAAGATGGTTTTGAACCAGGGGAGACTCCTAGACCCCAATGTTCTATACATACTCCTAGACCCCATTGTCCTCCTAGACAATGATGTCACAACTCTGCTTTTCAATTGAAAACAGATATCATCTTTAGAGACATTTGTCATGTTTAGAGGCTCTAGCACGTCATTTCTCGACCCGCTCTTTCATTTGAGCCCAAAAAAACATTCATATCTTGTCTGACATCGCTGCTACAAACTCGGGTCTACAACTCGGGCCTTCAATTGAAAACCCGAGTTGAAGACCCGAGTTTGTAGCAAAGATGTCAGACAAGATATGAATGTTTTTTTGGGCTCAAACGAAAGAGCGGGTCGAGAAATGGCGTGCTAGGACCTCTAAAGATGGTTTTGAACCAGGGGAGACTCCTAGACCCCAATGTTCTATACATACTCCTAGACCCCATTGTCCTCCTAGACAATGATGTCACAACTCTGCTTTTCAATTGAAAACAGATATCATCTTTAGAGACATTTGTCATGTTTAGAGGCTCTAGCACGTCATTTCTCGACCCGCTCTTTCATTTGAGCCCAAAAAAACATTCATATCTTGTCTGACATCGCTGCTACAAACTCGGGTCTACAACTCGGGCCTTCAATTGAAAACCCGAGTTGAAGACCCGAGTTTGTAGCAAAGATGTCAGACAAGATATGAATGTTTTTTTGGGCTCAAACGAAAGAGCGGGTCGAGAAATGGCGTGCTAGGACCTCTAAAGATGGTTTTGAACCAGGGGAGACTCCTAGACCCCAATGTTCTATACATACTCCTAGACCCCATTGTCCTCCTAGACAATGATGTCACAACTCTGCTTTTCAATTGAAAACAGATATCATCTTTAGAGACATTTGTCATGTTTAGAGGCTCTAGCACGTCATTTCTCGACCCGCTCTTTCATTTGAGCCCAAAAAAACATTCATATCTTGTCTGACATCGCTGCTACAAACTCGGGTCTACAACTCGGGCCTTCAATTGAAAACCCGAGTTGAAGACCCGAGTTTGTAGCAAAGATGTCAGACAAGATATGAATGTTTTTTTGGGCTCAAACGAAAGAGCGGGTCGAGAAATGGCGTGCTAGGACCTCTAAAGATGGTTTTGAACCAGGGGAGACTCCTAGACCCCAATGTTCTATACATACTCCTAGACCCCATTGTCCTCCTAGACAATGATGTCACAACTCTGCTTTTCAATTGAAAACAGATATCATCTTTAGAGACATTTGTCATGTTTAGAGGCTCTAGCACGTCATTTCTCGACCCGCTCTTTCATTTGAGCCCAAAAAAACATTCATATCTTGTCTGACATCGCTGCTACAAACTCGGGTCTACAACTCGGGCCTTCAATTGAAAACCCGAGTTGAAGACCCGAGTTTGTAGCAAAGATGTCAGACAAGATATGAATGTTTTTTTGAGCTCAAACGAAAGAGCGGGTCGAGAAATGGCGTGCTAGGACCTCTAAAGATGGTGTTGAACCAGGGGAGACTCCTAGAACCCACTGGAAAATGTTGTCACAATTGCGCTTTTCAATTGAAAACAGACATCATCTTTAGAGAGATTTGTCATCTTTAAAGACTTCTGCACGCCATTTCTCGACCCGCTCTTTCATTTGAGCCCAAAAAAACGCAATGTTATTTTTAAAATGTCAACCGCATCGTTCCAACGTCATCTCCAGAAGAAAATATTCCGCGTCACTCTTGGTATTACCTGAACGAGGACTAGGTCATACGGTGGATCCTGTGGTGGACTTTTAATGATCTTCTGAATCTCCGGCAGCCCCAAATATTCACAGAACGCATTCCCGTAAGTCACCGCCATCACTGCTAAAGAGTCCGAGCCGAATTCCGTAGCCGACGAAACAGTAAAATTATTGACCAAAGTCTCTCGTCTTCCTCTGAGATTGGCAATCACTTTGTAATTCGGTATTGGTTTTTTCAAGGGGAAGCAAGTGATCACGTCGACTTGATGACCCCGCCTTGTCAGCCCGTTGATGATGCCATCGAACATCAGATGATGGCTCTTCGCTTCTAACGGAAAAACACACAATATCCGGGACGCCTCGTTTCCCCCGGGAAATAGATCAACGAGGAATACAAAAATAATTGATGACAATATCCTCAACTCCATTGTTACCCGATGAAGCTTAACGCGACTGGAACTGCGACTGCTGTCGACCCACTGGTGTCTTCCCTGTTATATACCAGAGAGAAATTGTCTCATCAAACAGCCATGAATTTACAATACTTCCGGAGACCGCGAACTTTTATGAGAGGAATTCCCACAGTCGCCAGACAAGTAACCAACTGACACTGTGTCAGAGAATTGACGAACATCATCGTGCAATAATGAATTGCTAAACCGATCAATAATTCAGATTTTTCCGGTCATTATTTCACTGCTGGTGAATTGAAACAAGTTACCATGTGGTATCTTGTGAATAAATTACGCATTCTTATCTCAACACTTCTATTTATTAATGAAAAAAGGAGATAAGCAGTGCAAGAGTTCTTTCTCTAGAGAAACTAGTTTTTTTCATTGCATGCTCTGTACACTTTTTAGTTGCAGTATTTCAGTAGCGAAGTGGTAAAACGGTTCAAGTCGACTGATCTCCCAGTTGAGTTTTTGAGATATTAATATTTCCGAATCTAAGGGAGATAGCGAAATTTTTGTTATAACCGTTTCGGTAGAGCACACCGAGAGCTTCAAAAAAGTTAAATACGAAAATTTCGCTGTCTCCCTCACATTTGGAGATATTCCTCGAAAACTTAGTTCAGAGCTAAGTCGACTTGAATCGTTTTATGCAGTAATATTTTTCATCCGTGAACAAAAATTCGGGACTGTTTTTGTAAAATATGTTGACACCTCCAGAATTCAAAATATAGAATTCGAGTCTCCTTTCCCATACGGCGACTCGGCATTAGTCTCCAGGAAGAAAGAGCCCCGCGTCTCACTGCTCACCTTATCCCCCATGACAGCCGTAGAATTATCACACTTTCCAGCTCTATATTCCGCCCAACTGTCGCACTTGATTGCGACGAATGCGCGTGGAGAGACTATCGACTCCGCCATGAACTGGTAAGATCTCCCGTGACTGCAGTATTCTGCCGGGTAAAATCCAGATGAAAGCAACGCCCCAACAAACAAAGCAAAACTATTCATCTCAAGTTTTTTAATTACGTGTAACTAGGGGCGAGCACCCGGGCTGTCGAAAGGTCCCGCCGTTGGGGTAAAAATCTGCATGTCCAACGGTTTTAATGAATCCCAAGGTGCCTGCGCAAGTGTGGATAACGTCGACAAATATCGCGTCCGACGGATCCAATCGGCTCTTTTGATCTTTATAAACAGGGGCTTCGAACGCTGGCCGAGCTGGATCCATTCCCGTTATTCTGCCTACGTTGCCGGATAAACTCGAGCCGGCGAAACCGGCTATGTGCGCCCCCAGACTGTGGCCCAGTATGTGAACATTAGCTAATGAAATATTGGTTTCGGCGTTCAGAAAATGGAGAAATTCACCGACGTATGCGCCTATCTGCAAGATTAATTCGCCTATTGGATGAATTCCAATTTTTTTTCGCTGCTGGAGAATCGGGGGTGCGCTTTGCGGGCATATGAATTTGCTAGTGGTTTATGCGCATTATTTATGATCACTATAGTTAATTAATGGATGCACATATGTATTCATTAATTCATTAAGAAAGAGTTAATATTCGCCCTCATTATGTTTTTATCTGAGAGAAAATTTGAATATTTTTTTATTCAATGTATGTTTTTTATTTAAATAACAGAAATATTGACAATTAATGATTTTCTTGGGAATAATTTAAATAATAATGAGTGATTTCAATGAAAATTGAGATTAGAAAACGTTAGGTCGAGCTCCCCATTGGCTTTTACCTGTTCCGTTAATTTAGCAGCAACATGATACTCCTTGATAGAAATTGGAAACCAATTAACAATAACGACATTGCAGTCCTCCTCGCTCAAATAATTACTCCGAATAATTTTCAACCACTTGGTGGTTCCCTTGTCCGTCCACCCATGGATAACAACCTTCAGTCCTCTGTCCGGCATGAACTGCGAGTCCTTGAGGGCCATCGAATCTCCGACTTTCAGCGCAGAGCCCTTTCCCGGATTGGATCTCGTGAAGAGATGAAAGGTCACGTCCCTCTCCGGGGTCAATACTGGTTCGAGAACGGGTGCCAATACCGCCCTTTCCTCTTTAATTGTAGGGAGAATGAGAGATTCGATGAACTTTTCCTCGAGAATCATGTCCTGGATATTTTCCACTGACGGAAGATCTAAATTCGCTGCGTTTAGGGCGTTTAATAAAAATGCTAATAGAAAATAAAAATAAAAATGAAAATAAAAATAAAAATTGTTTTGTTAGCGCAAAATTATTCGATGTGAGAACGTGTTTGCCTTTACCTAGCTCCAGTGAACACAAAATTATCTTCAGTCCCATTTTATCTCCTTTATTTTCACGTCAAGACTTAATAGAAGACTGAAGTAAAAATTTTATTCTGTCTCCGCATTGTCCGGAGTTTTTTGTGCGCATGAAATGATTGATCGATTTTAAACGAGCCCAGAATTGTCTTCATTATCCATAATGACTCGGGTCTGAGACGTAGTGATTGTCATGCAATACTTTTGCATAACATATTCTAAAATTATCCAGTAATGATCCAATTTTCCGTGTCACAACGCGAGTCAAGCATTCCCTTTCGAATTTATCGGGGTATTCCCTGAATCGCCGCACCGTCGGCCGATAAATTCCGCGATTTCTCCGTCGATATTTTATCATTCGAGACGAATAATTGATTTTAACATCGGAATTACTCTTATCTTCAGTCCATAACGCAGAGAGATTCCTTCCTTCAGCCCCGAGAAATTCGAATGAAGAAAAGTTCGAGTGTAAACGAAAAATCCACGATTTTAATTTCAAAAAGTGCAACGAAATTGATGGATTTTATCACCCAATTGCCATCGACTCTCGGGGATTGTCTCCCACGGAATGAATCCCCTGGAAGTCTGAAAAAAAATGTCGACGCAAATATTTTACGAGCAAACATCGACTGCTTACGCTCGACCATTCGATCAAATATTTACAACCACGAGTCGAATTATTTTTCTCTCCCCCCGGCAATTTTTATCATTGGGACTTTCAATGGAGGAAACTGTATGCGGAATAGATGGGGTTCGCAGCGGTTTGAGATTAAAAAATAGGAGGAATAATTTATGATATCGCGGTGTAACTTTTATCGCACCCACCCACTCGCCTTTTGTATCGGATCGGACGGATGTAGAGGCAGTTTTCCTTTTATGCATTATGTTCAATCAACATCTACGCTTTTCTCTTCCTCATTTTTATGATATTGCATTGTTTCTGTGGGGAGTAATCATTTTTTTTCAAGCGGGGGTCGAGATAATGAGATTAATCCCAGGGCGATTTGCTCGTTTCGCAATTGCTTCGGTTTACTTTTTATCGAACATGACGATTTTACTTGTTCATATTGATTTTGATTCGTTATTCGAGGTCGTGTGGTTCGGCTGAAAGAATCGAGAATAGATTTTAAATTTAAAAGTAATTTAATAACCTATTAATTCAATAATATTCAATAATTTAATTTATTATTTTAAGAATTAGCTGTGTAGTCGAATTTCAAAAAACAAATTCGTAACTGCACACATTTTTTCAAAAATTAGTGCGAGAAAATTAATTTTTTCGCACTAATTATTTGTTTTTGGACAAATGTAATCGATCTTCAATGCACGAGACAGCAATGAATTTTGGGATTTTTTTTTTCAAATTTTTCCTGCAATGTTTCAACAACTAGTTGACAAAATTCCTTGAAATTTCCGGGTAATCACAAAGTGATAAAAATTCTTTCCAACAATTGCGGACTTCGATTCCACTTTTTTCCAGAAATTATAAGAAGTAATACCCCAGCCCCAGGAATTATTGCATTTCCCTCGCCCCTGAAGCCGCCAATTTTCCCGGCACGCTTCAATACTCAAGACCATTATCCCAATGATAAAAAAATAGACATTGCCCCTTATCGCGCCATCGTATTCACCCGCAGACTCAATTCTCTCCCCCCCCCCCGACATTACCTCAAAGAAAAAATAGAACCTTGAGAAAGTGATAAGGGCACCGAGTGTTCTTCACAATGTAAAAATACTGTTACGAAGGTCACTATTACTGACATTACACCATGAATTCAATGATACGTGACTCGTGCTCCGAGTGCCCGACAGGAGCTGAACCGTGAATGAATTCTCAAAGCTCAAATTTCAAATGAAAGGAAAAATTTTATTTTCTCACAAAGCAATAAGGATTCTCCTTATTTTTTCCTATCAAAGAGAACAAACACTATTCTTTGAGATACGTGAGCTAGACTTATTGGCTCTAATGTTGACACGATGAAAAACGCTGAAACTACCTCTTTAAAGATTGAATCAAGTATCAGAGCAGTGGAAGTTTCTCGAACGTGTGGAAATGTCAAATACTTTCCCCGGTATTGAAGAGGTATGGACAATGGGGAATAAAAACCCCCGAGACACCCGAAGAAAGGCGACACCTTTGTATGAAATGGGGATTTTTTTTCATTTTCGAGGCTTTTTTAATCTGCAAAATGAGAATTGACGCACGGAGAGAATTCAATAAAAATCACCAGAAAAAAGACGTAAAAATTACGTTTCGAAACGTAATCCGCGAGCGAAGTAAAATTCAATAAAAAGTTCTACGATTTGTTCCGTAAAAATTAACCAGCCGTCTGTTGACTCACCGCTGTGGGGACAACAAGTCGTTTCGTGATTTTCCCCCAACGATCGAGAAATTTTGCGGAACGGAACGTAGAAGTAACTCACCAGCACAATAAGTCGGCAAGTTTCTGTGAGATTTTACTTCTTCGGGAGAAATTACGTGACGATTTCGTACTTTGTGCGGTGATAAACCTGAAAATTCACTGAACGTTTCAGATTTCTTCTCTTCCATTCCTATACAAATTGCCGAGAAGTGATTCCCCCCTGTGGATTACGTGAATTGTTGCGTAATTTTGACTGAATATTTCTCTCCGTGCGGTTTTCCCTCTGTCTCTCTCTTATATTTTATTTAGAAGCGCTATCACTTGCATTACCTCGTTTGAATGTCGTTCTGCATTTTTCACATAACGATAAAGTCTATAGTTCAGTGAAGTCCAAGTATTTTTGTTCATTTCAAAATAGCGAATTCGATAGAAAATGCCCTTAGATTTTTATTGAAAATCATCAATGGAATTTCATCTTTCTATACTTCTTCTATTGAGAAATATTCTTCAAGAATTCCTTGACATGAATTTCCCAAGTGATTTTCATTCTCTTTCCACTCTATTTTCCTTCTCTTTTCATAAAAAACATCAAACAAAAGTGCTCAAAAATTCAAACCGAGGAATCAGCACAGAAAATATCTAAAAAAAAACAATATTGAATAAAAAATATAAATAATAAACTGAAATAATTAAATTAAATACAAACAAAATTATAATAATGTAAATAACTCATAAAATTCATTTGTAATAATTATGTTATATTTTGGTTTTCCCTGGAAAACAACAAATTGTTTCTTCAGTGAAATTATTTATTACGTCCGCAATTCGTAAATGGCAATAAAATAATGATCAATGCCCCATCGACCGCAGAACGCGTTAAAATTAAATCCGATTAATCCCTTTCCCTCAAGTGAAATAGCAATTGACTCGTAAGTAAAAGTTTATCGTATGCAAAAGGCTGCAAGACGTAGCTTCATTGTAACCGTCCACATGTGTGCGGGTGACGCTTGCGCTATTCACGACGAGTCGAGTCGGCGCAAGCAAAACTCAACAGCTAACCATGCTTCGCGCGACTTGTCGGAGGTGTGCCGCGCGTCTCAGCGCGTCCCTTCGGGTCTAGAGTCTCCCGCCACTACATCGCGATCATTAGAATATCTCGGCGTCAATTATAACGGCCCGATAAATATTCAAATCATCCCCAGTGCGCTGTTGTTAACTTTCAATTCGAAAATTCCCTCAATTTTCCTTTTACTTTAGTTCAACTCTTTTGATATTTTCCACTTTTCATTTTTAATTTATCTTAGTAATTTCGTTGATGCATTTTTTTTATTTCGAGGGGAAATGTAACAGTGAGTGGTTCTCATAAAAATTCAGGGATGACGGGTGAAGTAAGCGCTACATTTTCCCTCCGTTCGTGCACGAAGACTCAAAAAGATTAAGTGCAGGGACGTTTTTTTCATGACAAGTGAGAGAACGACGTAATTTAGCGGGAATGAATCTAGGATGAGGAGAAAATCCTGTTTCTCCATGTGACAATTTACCCGAGAATTCGGTGAGTAGAACGCTGATTGGATTTTTACAGCCGCGGTCAGTGCGAGAAAATGAAAATTGGAGGCGAGCGATTGAGTGGAAAAGTTTAATGATTCGATTAATAATTCAATGAAATTTCCGGTTTCCGGAGTTTCCGACGGTAGGAGATGGGTAAAAATACAACGGGCTTCTTGTCCTCGGGAGAAAGATGGGGCTTATTTTAGAATGACACACCGCGTCCCTCGAACTAATGATGGACGAATGACTGTTGGTCAATTGAAAAATGACAACCAACTCCCAACACATCCGGTTGTGATAAATCACACGGAGTGTGGAGAATTGACAGGGGGCCGGCCCTCATTTGTACAGTGAAATGTTTAGTGAGGTCATTATGAATTCGCTGGGGAGAGAGCAGTGAGCGGTAAAAAGTAGCGAGAAGGAAAAGAGTTTCGTTCAAAGGAGGGAAACAAATTGAGGTGAATGTTGCATGTAGATGAAGACATGTTCCGGGGGATCGATTGATCTGTCGACGAGCAGAGAGAATATATTTACCTGAATTTCCCTCATTTCACTTTATTTTTATGAAATAGTTGAGGAGAACCCAGTTTGCATTGAATTTGTCTAGGAAATTTTGAATTTTCAATCACGAAACTCCCGCTAACTCACTTTCAATTATTTATTTATACACAACCAATGTTCGAAAAATAATTATTCTCTGCAAAAGGTCATTTTAATGACGCTGAATATTCGGAATTTTTTTTTCAAATTTTTCTCACGCAAATGAAAATTGAATTAAAATTTAATTTAAATTAATTGAAATTGCATTCAAGTTAACTGACAAATTTGATGATTGAAAATGGTCGAATCTGTAGTGTGGTCTGTCCAAACTGTAAAAGATGCTCGGATATTCTTAAGGAGAAAAAATCATGCAGATTAAGATCTCACGGGAATTTCGCAATTTATTTTAATTTTGTCCATTAATGGACAATTCAACAGTATTTTTCCAAATTTCATGAAACAATTCCACCGTAATTTCCAGTTTCCACTGATTTTATCCCGAAATATTGAATTTTCAACGGCGAAATCCTCGAAATTTCAGCGAAATTACGTGATAATAAATTTTCTAGACGATTACCTGAAATTCTAGAAAAAAAAATTGACCAAAGTATTAACGAGTGAGTGATGCGCGGTAATTCACACTCCCACTCCTCGAACACGCAGCGGCTTGTCTCCTTCAACAATTGATGATGATATTAATGAATAAATTAAGGCGAGACACTTACCTCCCTTTCGTCGGTTCATCGACACTCTTGGTGACCCCGGGATCGATTTCCAGGTGGACTGGTGTATGTGTACCATCGATCCCCCAGTGTTTCGTCTTATAAGCTAAACTCAATGTAATTTTTGCACTGTCTATCTTGGGAAACTCACCCAGCCCGTTGGCTGCCAGTGGATCTCTTGTTTAGCCTGGGGCTTGGCTCTTGTTGATTCTCCAAAGAGAGCGGTCTACAGGGGAATGTAGACCGAAAGTTTTCCATGTTTATGGGAGAAAGATTTTAATACTTCAGTTGAATTGTTAGAGAGTTCACGGGGGATTTACAAACTTTATGAACTTTTGAAGATTTCGAAAGATTTGTAGGGGAGGATGGGGCAAAACGGCCCCCCCTCAATCGTCAATATTTTCCGATTCAATCATCCGATTGGGACGAGTTAGAGCTCGTTTTGAAGAATGAAAAATTATCTTCAAAATGAAGTTGAAACTGGGAATTTTCACAATGTCATTCACAAGTTATTGACAATTGAAGGGGGGCCGTTTTGCCCCGCCCTCCCCTAATTGTTAAAATATTTTATTTCACAAGATTTCAGAGTTAAAAAACGGACGAATGTCCATGCAATTTTACGAAAATACTGAAATTTCCTGAATATTCAAAATTTTTCCGGCATTTTTGACGCCAATTTGATAAAATTCCCCTGTTTACTCCATAATCACCTAATTACCTCAACTCCACCCCCCGATCACGCACTCCCCTCCGTCCCCAACTAATTTCATACCAAAAACTGCCCGATGGCATCTGTTATTGTCTGCCACCTGCGACACCGCCACATTCTCCCCACAGTATGTAGCCCCAGCCCTCCGCTCACAATCTGAAACTCCAGGATTTCTTCTCCCCAACTTTCAAGTGATTTTCTTCTCCCCACGTAATCCTCTCGAAAAATCCTCCAATTTCCCATTGCCCCGATTAATTTCCGCAAATAATTTAGACTGTTGACAGTTATTGGCTGAAATTCTTTGATTCTTGCATTTTCATCATGTTAAAATTCCGTTGAAATTTTACGGAATTTCGTCATTGGAAATTCACTGTTTCATGGAAAAATCAATGGGAACAGTATTTTTTTATGTATTCGATAAACTTGAGTTTTATAATTAATTGGAATAGGGAAATTGTTTTAGTATTTTTTTACTGGAGAGAAATAAATTAAAATTGTTTCTACTGAGTGAATTAATTTTAATCATCAAATAATTCAGGGTAAAAATCATGGCGAGGGAGTAATTTCAATAATTCGAAGAAAAATCATAGAAATGAGGAAAATTCCAATAAATATATTTAATTAACCGAAGAACTCTCGACTTCCCGTTGCTAAGAAGAAGAGAACTTCATTATTTTTTTAAAACTAAATCAAATATAATGCTGTTTTCCTGAAAATTACTGCCACAATGTCAACGAAATTTCAATTTTCTTCCGATAGTGAAGAGTTATAAATGAATAACATAATACGACGCAATTTCGCGCAAAGTTTTAAAAATAAAAGAAGGAGCATCTCCGAGAGAGGCTGAGCCGGGTGTAGTAACATATCTGCAGCGGCTGATCCCTCCGGGGAATTTCCACTGCCACTCCTCCGGCGAGACTGAATAAGGGTTATGCCGGAGACTTAGCATATTTATATTTTCCTACAATACCGGAAGCCACCGGGTACATCTACTTAGTGGAAACCCCGTCGTCTCATTGTGATGCATTTTTATACGCTCAGCGTAATTGCATTTCAATCACATTTAATCAGCGAGATGACACAGCTGTTTATGAATGGGCAGACAGATTAGAGAGATTTAATTACCGCTTTCAAATGTGAATAGAGCGGGGTGGAAATATATTCCCGGTGATTATATCTAAATTATATGCAATATATCGGGTATATTTTTGGAAGAGAAGGAATATCTAATAGACAAAAGATCTTTCTGCGGATATTGTCAGAAAAAAATTGAAGTTTCAGAGCCAATTGACTATAGTAATTAGGATATTGACATTGGATTAAATTTAGGGGGTAAAATAATCAAATTTCAGATTTCAATGGAATTGAAAAAAAATTATAAATTTCTCTCTTGAATTTTCCATCAAAAATTGAATAGTCAAAATTCCCGAATTTATTTACCTGAAGTTGAACGATTGGTATTAATATCCGTAATTGAACTGGAATTCAGTTTCCACTGACTTTTCCAGAAAATTCTAAATTTCCAGTGGCGAAATATCTTGAAACTTCAGTGCAACTGCCACTCGATAAGAATTTCAAAAAAGTGTCGGGGAAATATCAGCCAAAAATTTTTTACAGTTGCAACTGTGGAAAAATAACGCGCTCTCAGAATTCGACAATGTTAGCGATTGGAACTGATTTTCTGGCAGACCTCCAAAACTCATAAGCGAACCATTCTATTTCCATGAATTTTTCGTCGAAAGTGAGGAGATAGTCGAGTGTGCAGAACTGGGTTGAAACGAGTCAGTGATTTTTTTTTTCGGGGGAATAACGGAAGTCGTTGGAGATAATACACTGTGAGTATTGGCAAACAGTTGAATGCAAATTCCTTGCGATGAAATTGAAGGAAAATGCGGCAATTTTGGGGTCAGGAACTCGATGACGTCGGGTTGAAGGCAAATAGAGGATCAATCACAGCGAATTTATTTGCGCATTGATATTAGGGAGGATTTTTTACCGTGGAATGAGATGAAAAGGGATTGCTGAGTATTCCGGGGCTCGGACGTTTGAGGAACATGTTTGGAATGAAAATGCCGGGGATGAGGGTGATATTGCAACATCGCAGTTCGTGGTAAACTCCTGACTTCGGAGTCGGAGATATTTATAGGTATTTTACCGTTCTTCGGACGTTTCTAGTGGGTAAAGGTCATCAGGATAAATTTTATATTCACTGTTAACAATTTTTTCCCGTCGGTATGCCTCTGATATTTTCATTACACTATGATTTCGCTGAAATTTCAAGAAAATTTCCTCGTTAAATAGAATTTAATGTGACTCTCCTGGGAATTAGTAGTCAATTGTCCATGAAATTTCAATTTTTTTCCAGCATTATTCATGATTTCTTGTGTTGTCATGAAAATAATATTTCAGAGTCGAAATTAAAAAGAAAAACTTTCGAAAGTCGACGAAATCTCAGTTTTCTTAATCGAATAACCGTCGAAAAACCGTAAAAATTCTGAATTGGAGATATTTATAAGTATTTCACTGTTTTTCGGCCATTTTTATTGGGTAAAGGTCATCAGGATAAATTTTATATTCACTGTTAACAATTTTTTCCCGTCAGTATACCTCTGATATTTTTATTACACTATAATTTTGCTGAAATTTCAAGAAAATTTCCTCGTTAAATAGAATTTAATGTGACTCTCCTGGGAATTAGTAGTCAATTGTCCATGAAATGTCAATTTTTTTCCAGGATTGTTCATGATTTCTTGTGTTGTCATCAAAATAATATCCCAGGGTCGAAATTAAAGGAAAAACTTTCAAAAGTCGACGAAATCCTTTACGTCATCTTCATTTTCGTCACTTTCATCTTTACTTACGTCGAAATACATTATAATTCCCCTGAAATTTCGCGAAAATTTCCTCATTAAATTCTTCCAATATAGTCCAAAATGATATTCCCCAGTCAAAATTGAAAGAAAAACCCTTCCAAAATCGCCTAATCTCAAACTTCCCGACGAAATAACCTTCGAAAAACCTTAAACCCGTATTTTTTAGAGAAGAGAATTCCCCCGAGGGATCGCGAAACCCACAAAAAACCCATAAACCCTGATTACCTCTGAATGTTTAAGCCCCGCAGTACGATCCCCCATAAAAACGTTCTGTTTACCCCCGACTAAAAACAATCTCCGCAAATTGACGGTGATACGTCGATAACACCAACACTATGGGTCAAGACACGTGCAGTTGCATGCGCCAGCGTTTTTGTATAGCCACCCACATGCGTCCAAATCTGTACCAGTGGAGATCAATCTCCACTGGATCGTCTCCCTGGATCGTCTCTCTCAGCCTCCATCGCTCGCCCGCATGTGTACGAGCAACAATTGAATGTTTATAAAATGCCCAGCGTCCTTTGTCTCAGGTACACGACAGTCGAGTTGCATAGTTCCACAGTCCACTTACGAGCATTCAAACTCCACTACAGCGGCAAACTCCGTGTTCCGCACAGTGTGATGTCGAGGCTCGAGACCGGCGGACACCACCACCCATAAACCCTTAACGTGAATGAATAGATTAGTATTGGAAAGTTGTGGCTTGTGGTTGATTTCGCTGTCCTCTTGTTGCACCAACACGTGTCGCTGAAATTCTGAAATAGTTCGCCCATTGTTAGCAATAGGTGCGTCAGCAACAGTTGTTTCTCAGCCGGGAATTAACGAATTAATTGTTGTTTGTTGCTTGTGTTGCAGATTATTTCCGGGATTTTATGGTTGAGAACGTCAGGGGAAACGCCATTTCCGGAGGATCATGGAGCTCCAGACAGAGGTGAGTTGGCATGAGGGAAATTCATTTGTTTGCGGAACATTCGTCGAGATGTGGGGGAGTAATGCGTCAGGAGAAATTTATAATTCACTGGGATTCGTGAACTGGGGGGTTTTGGATTAAATTTTCTAGAATTTCACGGAGTTTCGGCAATGAGAAGTCACATTTTTAGGGAAAGTGTTAATTTCAGAACAATTATTCAATCAAAATTGATAACATTTTTTTTATTTTTATTTGAAGGAATTCTCGAGTTCCTAACTCAATTATGAAGGGAATTCATTTATTTGGTGGACACTTGTCGAGACGTGGTGAAGCAATTTATCACAAAAAATGTATAATTCACTGTATTTCGTGAACTGTTGGAAATTTTGGGCTGAAATTTTCAATATTTTTCTTAAAAATCTATATCAAGCGACAATTCTAGAATTTCGAGGATTTCCATCACAAAAAATTCACGATTTTATGAGAAAATTAGTGGAAACTAAATTTTCGTTCAATTATTCCACAAAAATTGATAGAAATCCAAAAAATTGAAATGAATTCAGGAATTTGCGACTTCTAATTACTAAAAATTTAGGAATTCCATTGAATGTCCCATCAAATTTACCATTTCATAATGCTATCTCTCCCAAACAATCCCCGAAATTTAATTTCTTTAAATATTAACAACGAAAGAAACATTTTCTCACAGAAAATAATTCTTCAAAAAACACATGTTCAAATGCATAATTTTCCTTCTCGTCCATTAGCTCGAAACCCATTTCATCTGAGATAGTTTGAAATAGCGAATGCAGTATTCAGAGTTGAGACAGAGCACCCAACATAGGGAATTAACCAGAGTCACAGCCGGATATACCTGGATATTTGATGTGCACTTCTACGTAGAAACGCAGGAGATATTTCCGCGTCATGCATCATTCAAATTCCAAAGTCTGTTTATCCCGTCCTCGAGGACTGCTGCCGAGCAAATGTCGAATAAAATTTACCATTTGTTAAAAATTGGCTCCAATGCCGATTTTCATACGTAATTTTCGTAATTAGAGTTCCCCCAGATGAAAATTAAATGAATGAAAAACAAATGAAAAACAAATTTGTCTTTGCAACACTCAATTTACCCGGAATCAAGCGAGAAAAAATGAGACTAGCATTCCGTCGAAACCCCAATTTGCCTCTAATGGGGAAAATTCATCTGGCGTTTCGTGCCTCTCGACGATCCTTACGGACTCAACGAATGACCGATGAATCTTCCGTTAGATTGTTGCGTATACGATTTCACCCAAGATACTGTGCACTCGTCCTCCCTCTCAGATCCATTATCGTCGGCGGATTGAAATAGCGGTGAGAATTTTCCTCTAAACCCCTCAGGAAGACTGAAAGCGTCATCTACCTGCTGATTGTGCCTTCCCGTGCTTTCTGAGAGTATCATTCCCAGGGGAATCGCTGTCTTTGCGAAAATGTTGACAAACTATTTTGATTAAAAGTTTAAGAAAGTCTCTGGTGGAATTCCATCGATTTATTCAGTATTTGGAATTGAACAGTCCCTACTATTTCAATCACGAATTTTACATTTTTATAATTCATAATTTTTTCAAGAATTCTCTGTTTTTCTAAAACAAAAAATGTTAAATAGGAAATATTCTATAATGAATAATTCTATTGAAATATTTTCTGTAGAAATTCCTCGGCTCATATTTTCCTAGGATTTTTACTTGATTTTTTAAATGAAACAGCAGCAAAATGAAATCGAAAAGCTGAGATTCACCTCGAGGAATTCCTACAGAAAATGTCTCAATAGAAAAAGTTGAATAGAAAGTGGCGAGACATATCGCTCGTGTTTGAAAATTTTTACTTATTCAAATTTCTTGAAAAAAAAATTCAATACACCAGTTGTGCATTGACTATCCACCTCGTCGATATTCCCCGAATCCAATAGTCAAAAACTCACCAGTACCGTATCATAAATTTGCACATGCCGCGACATCATCCATTCCCACGTGTGACTCCGACACTTCCACTGGATATTCTCCATGTTTTCCACCGGCATTTGCCACTCCATGCGGATGAAAAATAGCGTACCACTGGAGCCGCACGTAACGTATAAATATTCATCGCCCCAACATTAATATTAGCATTTCGATTCATAGTCGTGAGCTTCTGTGAGGCATGCTAATTGAGATCGCGCCCCCGAAATCGTATACTTCGCAAACTGCTGTTCATAAATAATTTTTTTCCCCTCTGACGTTCAACAATTTTTTTTGCTACGTCGGTTATGAGGTGCACTGGCAGTAATTAATTACCGATAGGTGTAAACACTCGTGAGGTGTTTTGAATTTGTTTGAAAATTCACGGAATTCCGGAATTCAAGGGTAGAACACTTAAAAATTTTTTAAAAATTCAGCAATAGTTCCACTTGAATTGTTAAATTATTTGATAATTTTCATCATCATGTAGATCTGAAAATTGAAATTCTATTTAATACTCTGGAATTCAACTGATTTTTCAATAATGAAAAAAAAAATTCGCGTAAATTATTAATTGTTGAAAATTTTCAGATTCTTTACTTGAAATTTCGCGAGTAATTTTCTAACAATGGAATGTTGAATATTCATGCTCATGCAATACCAAAATGCAAAGTAAATAGAGGAATAAATTTTGCGACACAATGATTGTGGGTCGTGCGTAGGAAACCTCCGGATCTTTTACGACTTTGATACAGAAAAGTTTTGTCGGATGAAAGTGGTAGCATACGAAGTGGGTACTATTTTTCATTCCCACTGTGTGACGTGGATATTGGGATTTATGGTGCTCACAAGAAGTCCGTATGGTGTCTCTTCGGGGCTTACATTTATTCTTCGAGGATTTTGAGATCGTAAGGTGACTAGACAGCTTCAAGTTTAATACGTCTTCATGAAGTTTATGGGATTGTCGATAAAAGTTGTGGTATTTTCGACCAAAAACAATTCGTTTGATTTATTCCGCGCCGAAATATTTGAATAGTAAGCAAACATGAACGTAAATATGAACATGAAGTCAACAAGAATAAAGCCACTGACGCATTTTAGAAAAATCTTGCGAATTCGATAGGAAATTCCATTGGATTTCCATTGAAATTCCTCGACATGAATTTCCTAATTTCTTTCCACTCTATTTTATCTATTTTAATTTTAAAAAATCTAACAACTTGAAAATGATAATAAAAAATATCTCAATAGAATAAATTGCACATGAAAAATTCAAATAAAAAAACGCGAGGATTTTCTACAGAAAATCTTTCACCGAATAGAGTTCTATTCATTTTTTCAATAGAATCCGATAGAATACTCCAGCGAATTTGGTTTGTCAATGAAATTTTTCCGCTCGTGAATATACTCCGAAGAAGTTGAATGTTGAGCGCAAAAACCCGAGCCGTTGTACATAACCAGTTGCAATGAACAACTCCGCCTCTGACACACTATGTAAATAAGTCGTAACACAAGGCTAATTAATCAAACGTGTTCTCGTCGACGGGTTCGTTCGTCATAACAATTACAAATAGTCCTGCACAAGTGTCACGCAAGTGTGCAAGAACAATAGTCTCGCATTAAAATGGTCTCGATTCCCAAGCTCACGAAAAAACAGAATAGTTAATAATTTTTGCGCCGAAAAAACCCCCTGAAAATACTTCACAAGAAGAACATTTGCGCAGACAATTGTGTCTCCCTCTCCCCACGAATTAAATCAAATATTTATCTTGAATTTTCAGTCACCGGGAAATTCAACAACGACTGTCGGCAGCACTGTTGCCGAGGAGGAGTACAGGAGAATCACCCAGGAACGACGGCAGGAGTGCATGGAGGCACTCGCCCTTAATACAACCCCTCCACCTGGTGAGATTTATATTTCCTACTCCATAACTCCCTCATAAATTTCTATTGGATTTTTATGCTTCTCATCTTCTCGTATCTAAACGCCTCAAGGTGCTGGCTCGGCCTTTACTTTATAAAGAATTCCATGGGTTCATAAATTCTCGAACAGTTGCATTGTGCATGAGGTGTCTCTACCACTCGTGTAAACCAATACATCACGTTGAGGGCAAATATTTTCCTTCCATTTCATCAATGGGGATTTTTTTGTGAATTTTTCGACCATTTGGTCGATTATTTATGGCACATTATGTACAAATTCTAAATAAAACTTTACAAATTGTTCATTTTAACTTGATTTATTAACAATTATTTTTAGGCAATAAAAGACATGATGTATTGAACTTCTTGGAGTCTAACAATTCATTTCGGTAATTTTCTTACAAGAGAGAACTTATATTACACAAAATTTTTGTCACATTATGGTTCCAGTGGAATTTTCCGGAATTTCGTCATTCGAAATTCAAAATTTTATGAAAAAATCGATGGGAACTGAATTTTAGTTCAATTATTCCATAAAAATTCAGCGTAATTTATCGAATTTCGTGTGAAATCTGAAATTTCATGATCTTTTCCGCCCAAAATAAATTCAATGTCCTTCTCCTCAAAAAAACTATCCACTCGTCCCTGAAATTTCAATTTTTTCCAACAATATCCCTGAATTTATGAGTTATACCTGCAATAACTCGACTGTACAACACGTGTACAATTGTTCGGCATATCTAGGCCCCCGATGCCGTCCAACCCATTTCACGCAACGTCAGGAACTATTACGATAACTTTTCAATGCTCATCCCGTACGATAAACCGAGTTTAATCGTTCCGTTTTTATGGCTTTAAACCATTAAAAAAGGTGGATTCAACATCGTCACGATGTTTTAGAAGATAGAACCACTATTGATTCGCCTGAATATTGATTTCCCATTGAATTTCAAAGGTGCAGTCAGAGGTTAATGGTTCCGGGTTTATCGATTGCAGTAGCTAGATTGATATTGCGCTGATTTTTGCTCATAAAAGTTTCTTCTTCACTTTATTTTCCTCCGCGTTGAATTTTTAATTGACGGGTGAGGAATATCTGTAATAACTACGAGGAAATACCGGCTTATCTCGCAATTATTTCATTGTCATGATGACCGAATCAGTCGGATTTCACTCGTTTTCCGTTTTTCGTTGATGTAACGGCGGTGAGGGAGGCCTTGGCAATGCGAAAGATTAGATAAATAGCGAGGAGGATAGAGAGACTGAGGAACCCGTAGACATCGAGGAGAGCCACTTGCCACCACGATAAATCGACGACGGGAGATCGCAGGGCGCCTCGACCGTGCCTGATAGCATATTCAACCCAATAAACCGCGGTATCCATTGCACTCATGGGACGATCCAGAAATCTCATCGACTGATGCTTCGCTGCCTCTCTACGAATCGAAAAGAGAATCATGAATGTTTGATGCATATGCCAAGCGGTGTGAGGGATTTCAGGCTGCGGTGATGAATAATTTTGAGGAATATTTATAAAATATTCGAGGGAGAGTAATTTGAATTAATTTTCAATTGATTTTGTCACCGGAAATGCAACATTGATCGCAATATTCGCAATTGCATTCAAAATTAAAATTAGTAACGTAGCATGTGATGAAAAAATTCTGACTCGTTTGATTTCAAGTTAAAATACTTTAAATTAAGTGAAAAAAAAAATCCAATCCATTAACACTCATTTTTACTTTGCATTGATGGAAAATCTTGAGTAATATTTATAAAATATTCGAGAGAGAGTAATTTAAATTAATTTGCAATTGATTTTGTCACTGGAAATTAAAAATTCAATGCAATGTTCACGATTGCATTTAAAATTAAAATTACTATTACAACATGTGATAAAAAAAATTACGACTCATTTGATTCATAATTAAAATAATTTAAATTAAGTGAAAAAAAATTAAATCCATTAACACTCATTTTTACTTTGCATTGATGGAAAATCTCGAGTAATATTTATAAAATATTCAAGGGAGAGTAATTTAAATTAATTTCCGATTGAATTTGTCACTGGAAATTTCAAATTCAATGCAATGTTCGCAATTGCATTTAAAATTGAAATTACTACTACAACATGTAATAAACGAAAATACGACTCATTTGATTTGAAATTGAAATGATTTAGACTGAATGAAAAAAATCAAATCAATTCATTAATATTCCCTTTTACCTGTACTTCGGATTACTCATAAATTCGTTAACAGCCCAAGAAGATCAAAGAGAGAATCATGAATATTTGATTCATATTTGAAGCGTTATGAGGGATTTCAGGCTGCACTGATAGAAAATCTTGAGCAATATTTATGCACCACTCACAATTGCATTCAAAATGAAAATTACTATTGTACCATGCGATGAAAAAATTACGACTCATTCAGTTTCAAATTGAACTGATTTAAATTAAATAAAAAAATCAAATCAACTCATTGACATTCACGTTTACCTGTACTTCGGATTATGCAAGATTTCGTTAACAGCCCAAGAAATGGACTCCTCACTGAGATTATGAATATCCAACTCGATTGCCATCCCGAGGGAATGATAATCGACAATATTATTGTGCTGATCCCCAAAGAGGGGAATTCCAATGAGGGGAACCCCGTAGGTGAGTGCCTCCTGGGTGCCCATCAGGCCTCCATGAGTAATAAACATTTTCGTATTTTTATGAGCTGTGAAAAAATAGAATTCATGAGGCCATACGCTAAAATATGGAATGCATATCAGTTAGTAATCGCGACTCGTGAAAAATGCTATTCATCATTCATGAAAATATTTATCGACGGAGCGCTCACCTAGTACAGCCACTTGAGGTATCCAGGAAGACGTCATTACGTTATCAGGAAGCCCAGGAAGGAGAGCAGTCTTATTAGCCACTTTCATCAGCACTCTTACTGGTGCTATTCCCCTGAATACCGAGTAAATTGCTCTCATAGTCTCGTCAGGGAATGTTTCAATATTCACCATGGATCCAAGTGTAAAGTAGATTACACCAGAGGTACTATCATTCATCCACTTCTCCATTTCCTTGGGATAAAGAATGAAACATTAAGAGTCGCTTCGTTACCGCAGTGGTGTAACCGGAGAAACCAATTCATTTCAGTCGAGTTAAACTTCAATAATTTTACAGCATCCACTTTGGGACTCCCCATTGTGCATAAAATGTTTTCATTATTTTTTCATTTTTCATTTTAAGAAGTTCCCTTCCTATTTTCTTGTTTCTTCCAATTGAAAAAACTTGGTGCAATCGCCGACCTCTCGAAATGACGCGATATTTTCACTCATCTCCCCCCATAAAATTATTCACGCTGACATTTACCTTCGGAAGTGGAACATAGTTCGCATCCACATGAAGTCCAGCAACTCCAATAACCCCGGGTGTAACTGGTTGAATGGGATTGAGACTGTGCCACGAATTCACGAGTGCTAGAACTACATTTTTCTCCAGTTCCCGCAGCGGTGGAATATCGGAATCAATGTATTTTCTCATCTGCGCATTTTGCACGGCTTCCGTGTAATAACGATATCTTATATTATTGGAATAAGTCTTGACGGTATTCAGCACGCGATCGAAGAATGACATGGGGTGTTTGTGACTCGTGAAGAAAGCTGGAACGAATGCTGGATACTGCACCTGACCGAGGCTGGTTTCGAGCCACGGCAGAGGTACCGTTGAGCTCGCCATTATCACCGGGACATTCAACACGTGGCCCAGGCCGATAAAACAATTAGCCCCGAACGACTGCAATTTCAATAGAATAATCCAGACTGACACGACTCACCAATTACAATAACCGACGAGTCTTCAATCGTCAATAACTCCAGAACGGCAGAGTGGAATTTCCCAATTTTTTCCTCATTTTCAAGGTACTTTTCCAAGCTTCACAATGAGCTGCGATGCGTCGAAATCGCATCACTCGTTCAGTAGATATGGACGATCAAAGACGGCCTCTTTCGCTCATTCAGAAAAATCGGTTAATTACCTCGACGATCACTAGATCGTACGGCGGGTCCTGCGGCGGATTTTTTATGATCGCCTGCATCTCCGGCAGTCCCAAATACTCACACAACCCATTCCCGAACGGCAGGGCTATAATAGGAAGCGTATCGTCCCCCAATTCTGACGCGAATTTCACATTCCACTGGTTAACGAGGCTCTCCTGTTTCCCCTCGAGATTCACGACAACTGTGTAATTCTTGAGGGGTTTTTTCATGGGATAAACTGTCATCACGTCCATCTGGTGCCCCCTATCCACCAACCCCTTGATCAGCGCATCGAACATCATCTGATGACTCCGCGATTGAAACGGAAAAATCGCGAGAATTCTGTGCGATGCACTCTCAATCGCGCAGCTAATTAAAAAAATACTTATAATCGATCCAAAAATCTTGAACCCCATCGTTTCGGCAGTGATACTCGACTACTCTCGGTCACGGTAATTATTCGAGTGGAAATTGTATTTATCTCGCGCTTATTTTACGCGAAAATCGCCCGGGGCATTCCCTCCAACTGATACCGCACCACTAGAGTCCTCACTCTGACGACCTCCTCTTATCACGCAACAGCAACGCGTGCCGTCTCAGCTTGTACTACTGAACCCCCTCACTGATAACTGCGAAATAAACGGATGTCCACCAAACGATCTCCGATCTCTCCTAGTGAATACGTGACACAGTGAATCCGCTGTACTCCCAGCGGCCGGAGTAATTCCAGCGATTCAGAGAGAATGAACGGGAATTTTCGGATAAAACGGAGCTCCGGTTATGCGGTCACGTCGCGACTTTCTTCGCAATGTTACTGTAATTAATGATGAAATCGTTTCGTCGTCGGTGAGGACATCGTCATTGACTGAAATACATAATAGTTTCTGTGATAACGGGTATCAAATTATAATTTATCATTCTTGCCGCACAGATAATCTCGATGAATCAAGGATTCCGGGATTTAGTGAGATACTGAGTATCTCCGACACGTGTGAAAAAATAAATAGGGAAGTCTAGGGAACTGTCGAGAATGTTCTGTTGGGTTTCGGTGGAATTGTCTAGGCGTTTTTGAAAATCTAATAGAAACAGGCAAAAGAATTCGATTTTTCTATTTAACTTATTCTGTTGAGATGTTCTGTATAGAATTTCCGCGACTCAAATTTTCCAAATTTTTTTGAGTAATTATCTTGAGGAGACGAAAGGAAAATAGAATGAAAAAAAATTGGAAGCTGAAGAGAATAAGTCATAAAAAAATCGAATTCTATTGAATTTTTTCTAAATTTTTTCGTCTCCGTGTTAAAAAATTCCGCAGCTTATCTGCGCTTTTTTTAAAGAAACGTTTGATGAAGTGTTTTTTAATTTTACTTAATTTCATTCAAGTCCAGTTTATTGAACTAATTTTAATTTTTAATTTTTATTCAATGAAAAGAGAATAAAATGGAAGAAACTCAGAGAATTCTCGTAGAAAATTTCGGTAAAAAATGTCTCAATAGAAAAATTTCTATAGAAAAACTTCCTTTTTCACTTCAAATTAATGAAGTCCACGCTATAACTCTTTGTTTTTCACATCCGTGCACACGTGATAAGCAAAAAATTGACAATTTAATGAATGAAGACTTGAGGCACTCGGAGCATCTTCAGAAGTATCAATTACATTACGCAAAGGTCCTCTCCCCGTTAAATGCACCTCATCGCGATAAATATCCTTCATTAGAACGGGGTAATAAGGGTATAGTGCACCGACACAAATTGCATGTCATCGCCGGCATTCTAGTTCCGGGTTGTGTAATACTTGGTAATGAATATTGGTACGAAATAATGGTGCGTGATGTGTACCGCCGATATTAGCGTGGGTTACACTAAATAACCCAGTTTATTATTTTACAGTGACAAAATATTACTCGCGACTTTTTGCAGCGCCTTTATTCCAATATTTTTTTTCCATTACACGAATAAAAAAAATTACGCGGAAGAAACGATTAGAATTTTTCCATAGAATTCTAGTAAAAGTCTAAGAGAATTCTTTTTATTTTATTGATTTTTTATTAAATTTTTTCATACTTGTATTTTTGAGGACTCTAGTCAGAGGAATATTCCATCAATTTAAAGTCGAATAAAATATTAGTCAAGCGCAGCAGCAGAATAATAATATGATGATAAAATCAAACAAAAAAACTTATAAAATATTACAATATTATTATTAAACTTATTAAATTTTTTTTTTCATTACACGAATAAAAAAAATTACGCGGAAGAAACGATTAGAATTTTTCCATAGAATTCTAGTAAAAGTCTAAGAGAATTCTTTTTATTTTATTGATTTTTTATTAAATTTTTTCATACTTGTATTTTTGAGGACTCTAGTCAGAGGAATATTCCATCAATTTAAAGTCGAATAAAATATTAGTCAAGCGCAGCAGCAGAATAATAATATGATGATAAAATCAAACAAAAAAACTTATAAAATATTACAATATTATTATTAAACTTATTAAATTTTTTTTTTCATTACACGAATAAAAAAAATTACGCGGAAGAAACGATTAGAATTTTTCCATAGAATTCTAGTAAAAGTCTAAGAGAATTCTTTTTATTTTATTGATTTTTTATTAAATTTTTTCATACTTGTATTTTTGAGGACTCTAGTCAGAGGAATATTCCATCAATTTAAAGTCGAATAAAATATTAGTCAAGCGCAGCAGCAGAATAATAATATGATGATAAAATCAAACAAAAAAACTTATAAAATATTACAATATTATTATTAAACTTATTAAATTTTTTTTTTCATTACACGAATAAAAAAAATTACGCGGAAGAAACGATTAGAATTTTTCCATAGAATTCTAGTAAAAGTCTAAGAGAATTCTTTTTATTTTATTGATTTTTTATTAAATTTTTTCATACTTGTATTTTTGAGGACTCTAGTCAGAGGAATATTCCATCAATTTAAAGTCGAATAAAATATTAGTCAAGCGCAGCAGCAGAATAATAATACGATAATAAAATCAAACAAAAAAACTTGGAAAATTTTTATTCACGGATTTTTTACGGAAAATCTCAATGGAATAAGTTGTATCGAATAATCGAATTATATTGATTTTTTTCTGTAGAATATTTTGCATTAAACCTTTGTATTCGAAACTGGATTCTTAATGGGATTTAAAAAACGCAACAGTAAACAAAAATCTTTGCATAATAGCTGCGTCAAGCCTTCACTCATTAAATTATGAATTTTTCTTTAATGCCCAAGTGAGGAAAAAAAATTAATTCACGAATGTTTTCAACGACAGAAATGGAACAAGTCACTTGGAATTTATTCATTTATTCATCTACACTTCATTCATGTTGTGCTCTCTCGATGGCGTCAATTAGCGTCCCATCTTCTCTCGATTTTTCATTATTCTTTAATTAATTTTCTTGGCGGAAGATACGTGGGTGGCGATAATAGCCCTCACGAGAAACCGGACCAGAGCGATGATAATGAAAATAACTGAGACAATGAGTAGGATCGCAGCAGCGTAAACATCGAGAAGAGCAATTTGCCACCAGGCTAGGTCTAGGGCGGGCGATCTGAGTGGCTTGTTACCGTATCTTATGACGTATTCCACCCAATAGATCGCTGTGTCCAAGGCACTGCGGGGGCGGTCTGTGAATCTTGCCGACACCTTCTTGCTTGTCTCCCTGAGACAAATCATCGCACAATTCATTTTCAAAGTTTTATGAGCAAACATTAACGCTAACATTTTATTCCAATAATTTCTCATTAATATTTCTTTCAATTATCTGTTTACAAATAAAACTCTGAATGTTTCTGAATTTTTTATAATTGGACAGAGGGAGTAGTTTAAAAAATTGAAATGCATTCTCAGCATTCAATTTATAATTTTAATTTAATTATCTTCATAAAACGACTGGTATGAAAATAAAATTAATGTCTCCCGTTTCAGGGAATTCAGAGTTCAACTTAAATTAGCTGCATCCTTATGGTAAATTTAAAGATTATTGAAAACTGTAAAAAAAATAGTAGAAAACTCGATTAGATTCGGAATTCGAATTTTTTTTCTCAATTTAATTATCGTTTTGATTTTTCGAAGAAGAAATGTTTCAGAATCAGAAGTCAATGTGAAAACCTCAAAAATTGTTATGTACAAGATGAATAATTGTTTAAAAAAAACATACTTGTACACTGGATTGAATAAAATTTCATTCAGCGCCCAGTCGAGTTTCTCCTGAGTCATGTGAACTGGGTCCACCCTCAGCGCGATTTTCTTAGCCACGTACAAGTCGATATTCACGAACTGATCGGCAAAAATTGGCATTCCGATCATGGGGACGGCGTAGGTGATTGCTTCTTGGGTTCCCATCAGCCCTCCGTGAGTTATGAATGCCCTGATTTTAGGGTGTTCTGTAATAAAAAAGAAGCAACATCTTTTCTCCATTTGGAAACAAATGGCATTGACTTCCGGGAGACCGGGGAAAAAAGTAAGTTTATTTGTTTCGCGTTATTCTACTAAATTTTCCTCAGATCGAGGAACAATTGGGCGCGGAATTCCCGCAAGATTATCCTCTATACATTTTCCGTCTACTCTGTTAAAAATTTTCCACTGAAATTTCCGGTAAAAGTCATGGGGATTTCTAACACGTTAGATTTCTACTAAAATTTCAAGGAGTTTTGTCATGGAAAATTCATAACTTCAGGGAAAAAACGGTGGAAACTGTAAATTTCAATTTAATTATTCCCGGGGAATTAATGAAAAGTCAGGAGAATTCAGGGAAATCTTTTTTTTCAAAAATTTCTGGAATTCCAAGAATTTCAAAGGAATTCCCTGAAAATTCGAGAGAAATTGGCACTGAATATTCATTTTCACTTGAAAATTCGTATACATTATCGAATTTCCGTTTTCCTTCAGCGAAAAAAGTGGGACTTTACTTGAATTTTCAGAAAAACTTGAAATTCTGTTAATGTTTCCCTCTTAAATGGAATTCCAGTGTTTTCTGGAAAATTCAGCTAAATTTTTTAAACAGTGGATGCTTCCTTACTGAGCACTTTGAGTTGCGGCATCCACGAGAAAGTCCGGATATTCCCGGGTAAACCGGGCGGCAGCAACTCCGGTCGCGGTATTTTCATCAGCACCCTCACCGGGGATATTTTCCGCAGGGATTTGTAAAGAATGTCCAACACATGTGGCGGAAATGATTCAATTTGCATCATAGATCCGAAAGTGAAGTACACGAAGCCCTCTGGACTCTCGTCCAGCCACTTTCTGTCATCCTATTGAAACCAAATTTGTGAAGGTGAAAGAAAACTTTCTGGGAAAATCTATGACAATGAGTTTCTCAAACTATTTCCACGAAAGAGTGAAAAATTCGCGAAAAAACAAACTCGCGAGATAATTCTATTGGATTTGTTTTGAATTTTGTATTAGTTTCGGCCGATTCTATTGACATTTCTGCAGATCTGCATTTTTCTTGATGAAAAATATTCAATGGAAAATATTTTATACGATTTATTTTATTAAGGTATTTTCTGTAGACATTTTCTGCGAAAAAAAAACGTCGAATTTTCAACAGAAGTTCAATAGAATTCCCTGTAGAATTCACAAACTTTTCATCTTAAAAATCGATAGTTAAGGATATCCAAGTACTCTGAATATTTTTTCTATGAAAAAATTCAATAAAAAACCCAGCGAATTCGCTAGTTAATTTTTTTGGAATTCTATTGAAAAAAAATTTTTTGCGCCGATTCCACTGAACATTCGATAAGCGAACGTCAACAAATTTCGAATTTCTGTCTGAATTTTTCTCTTGAAATTTCTCTAATAAGACATATGCACTAGAATCAGCGCAAAAAACAAGTAGAATTTTCCAATAGAATTCCACGAAAATGTTCCAACGAATTCACTAGATTTTCTATTGAATTTCTTCACGCGTGATGAACAACGAATGTTAGAAAAAATAATAATTCTATGCAAAATGTGATGTGCGCGACGCTGAATATTCACGATTTTTTTAATTGACAAATTTGGCGATTGAAAATGTTTGAATCTATCGTACGATCTGCACAAAATCGTAAAAGATACTTGGACATCCTTAATGTGCAGAAAGTGATATTCCACCTCAACAAATACCGGCTGAAATGAGTATCTGAACCGTTGAATGCAAACAGTTGCATTAATTACAGAAAATAGCATCGATACCTCGGGTATATCAGGACCATCGTCCTGCACGTGTAGTCCCCCCACCTCTATCAACCCCGGAGTGGTAGGTTTCACCCCGTTCAATGCATAATGAGAATTCACGATGATTAAAGCGAGATCACGTTCCACCTCTCGTATCCCAGGACTATTCGCTCCAAAATGCTTTCGTATTATATCGTCCTGCGCCGATGTGTGATAATCAAAGTATCTTTTGTAATAGAACGTGTGGAGGAAATTGTACAGTCGATCCCAGAAGTTCATGGACTTCTTGTACTCGAGGAGATTGTTCGGGACGAATGCTAGATTCTCCGGATTGGCTATCATGTCGTTGGACCAGGGGTATAAAGCCGCTGAGCTTATTCCGATTACAGGGACGTTATAGTGAGGACCGAAGGCCATAAAACAATGGGCACTAAAGATCTGAAAGTCATTGATAGCGTTAATTATTAGTCATTAGATTTTCCAGGAATTTTTAGTTGAATTCAATGTTTTAGACCGTTTGATTATTTTATTTTATTGTTTTTTAATGATTTGGAAATTAAGGGGAAAATGGAATGTTGAGTGGTCGAATATTTGTCAGGCAACACTGAATATTGAAGTCAGGGATCAATAGTTAGGAAAATTGACGATTATTTGGATAATCAAAAATTTACAGTTCCATGTTATAAAATATTTAATTCATGCTCCATTGGAAATTTAGATTGTCAATTATTTTATCATTTTTAATAACAATATTTAAACCTTGTTGATCATTTCAGTAGAAAATTCCCGAATTGTAAATGATAAACCAGATCAAAACTCACAGATTTATTCTACAAGATTTAAAACTACTCCTCATTTTTCAATATAAATTATTTTCCAACTTTTCAGTGAGCAAAATCAATATTAAAAATTTTAAAAATCGCTATTTTTATGAATATCGGTAAATATTCGTTGATCATTTCAGTTGAAAATTTCCGACTTTCAAATGAATCAGATCGAAACTCACTTCCACAATCACCAAATCATAAGGCGGATTTTTCGGTGGATTTTTAATAAGTCTCTGGAGTTCCGGATGCTCCAGGCCCTCCGCACAGACTCTGTTCCCCGCCTCCAGAGCAATAAACTTGACGATATCATTCTTCATGATCTCCTTCATTCCCTCGTAAGTCATATTGTTGACCAACTTGGGCAGTGCCGAGGGGATCTCGATATCGTTGTAGTTTTTAACCGGTTTTTTCAGTGGAAAAGGACTGATAACGTCGACCCGATGGCCTTTCCTGGCGAGGCCCTTCATGAGCTCCTCGAACATCATCATGTGGCTCTTGGCATTGAACGGGAAAATCCCGAGGATTCTGTAGCTCGAGCATTCGCTCACCGCAAATATCACAAATAATATAGATCTCAACAATTTCGAAATCCGCATTTTGGAGATTTAATTGATTCCCTGGTGGTCCTGTATCACGTAATTATCATCAAGAACAATCCCGGGAGTGATTAATCACCGAGCATTCCAACTGAGAATTCACACGCAAGAAAAAATTAGACAGAAATTTTTTTTAGGAAATTTACAGTTCGCGCTATAAAAAAAAATTTAATTCAAATAGAGTTCGAATTTAGAGAGAAAAAAATTTAAATTACATTTTTTCGAATTCGATAGAAAATTCTACTAGTTTCCGGCCCATTTTTTTACAGAAAATATCTCAATGGAATAAATTATATGAAACAATCAAATTCCATTGATTTTTTCCGTAGAATCTTTTCCACTGAACATTTTTGTCGAAACAAATTCACAGACAAGCTGCGGAATTTTTCAATAAAATCGACCAAAAACTAATAATGAGAAATTCAATGGAATTTTCTATCCAAATCGCTAGGTTTTTCAATGAAATTCTGTTGTACGTGAATGTTTGTAACTTATTGACAATCCACCAAAACTGCAATTCGATGTCTCCCGTCCGCGACCTCCGCCAAACAACTATACATTTCCTAGTATTTACCATCCCCTCTAGCATAAGTCTCTCTGAACGCCCAAATACACCGATCTAGAGGGAGAAATACGAAAAATGGGGATAAATAATGACACATCTGACGATTGCAACAATGCCGCAATGCAAAATTAGTTCTCGGTTGTGAACTCATCATTTATTGAGTTGTTACGTCCTCCAGTACTATTTCTACAATTGTGAGGATAGGATATGATTGCAGACCTAAAAAAATAGTTTACTGTCAATGTTAAAAAAAAATTGAAATTTCGCGACAGGAGTGAGATTTGATTTAATTTATGGGGAAGAAATAGTGGAATTTTAGCTTTTGCTGGAAATTCAACGGAATTTCAAATTATTGAGAAGTAGGAAGACGAGAATTTCCGAAGTTTCTTGAATTTTCAATCAAAATATGAATATTCAATATCAAATTCCCTGAATTTTTCTAATTTCTAATAATTTTCATGGAGTAATTGAGCTGAAATTTACAGTTTTTTTTATTTCAGTGGAATTATGACATAATAAAAATTTCCAAGAAAAGTACCAGAAATTTGATTAATTAATTGATGTTATTCATAATTAATGATGATATTGAATTTAATTTAAGAGAAAAATAATGAAATTTCAAATTTTACTGAAAATTCAACGCCAATTCCGCTCCAATAATTACTAGTCTCCCCAGGCGGAATTTCCCTGTCATTAAATCTTTCCGAAAATCGCTTTATCGATCTTCCGCAACAAACTATAGCAGACGAGAACATAAAGAAAAACAAGTCCAGATAAGCAACATTGTGATAAATCCTGATTTAAACGTCCCGATCGGAATTTCAAATTCCGAAGATTAGTGAGCATTCGGTGTCACGCAGTGCCAAGCGAGACGTCAATCTGAATGCCACACGTGGCAAATCCCGCGGTTGTTATCATTCTTCACCCGGAATTGATCGGATATCAGTTGAATGATCTCCCGAATTATCATAAACACACCTGATTGTTTAGTTCTTCGGAGCAGAGTCCAAAGCGGAGAGAATAGAGCGCTCAGCGATTTAAATTAACGTTTAATTTATTCTTTAGTAATTGAGTTCTGCGGTCATTAGCCGATTCGAATTGGCGAAATTATTAATGTCCAAATAATAAAACAAATGAAAAAATTCAGAAATAGAAAAAAAATTAAATTAAAAATTAGACGAATTTGATTTTTTTATTAAATAGTGTTTATCTAAGCATCAGCCAAAATCTAACAGAATTTTCAATAGAAAATAAAATAGAATTCCCCCTCGAATTCGCTAAATTTTTTTCAGAAAATCTATTGTATTTCTCTTGAAGTTTTTATAATTTTTTTCTCAATAGAAGTGTTTAATGGATAATATTCTATATAAACACTCACAAGAATTGCATTTTTCCACACAATTTATTGAGATATTTTACTATCATTTTCAAGTTGTTATTTTTTTTAATGAAAATGGAAAAAAATAGAGTGGAAAAGTTCAGAAAATTCATGTCGAGTAATTTCGCCAGAAAATGTCCCAGTGCAAAAAGAAATTCTACTCATTTCTTCTATAAAATAATGTCTATCGAAGCATCAGCCAAAAACTACCAGAATTTTCTCTCGAGTTCGCAAAATTTTCCTCCGAAATTGTTTCATGCGTGTCATAATCACACCTGATCGTGCAGTTCTCCTGAAAATTTTTCAAAGCGAATAGAAAAGAGCTCTCGGTAATGCGCCCGTGTCAATCTCAATCCCATCCTCTCTAACGCGAAACTCAACATTTCCGAATTGATCGTCCCTCAGGGGTACTTCAACAACGGGCACACCAGCTCCAGGAGTTCTCCATGTGTAACGAAGCCTCGTACATTTTCATGCTCTGGAGCTACAAACAGTGAGTGGGGATAAATGAGTTTGATACACTCGAGATGAGATATGAAAATAAACTCAAATGGATGCAACGTACGCAAAACGCGTAGCTGCTTCCGCCAGCGTACCGTAATTACGTTTTCGGGGAGACCAGGTGGAAAACTATTATGGTTGGATGTGCTCATTAGGAATTTCATTGGTGTGAGTTTCTTAAATGCCTTATAGATTGCTCCTATAATTGGGGAAGGAAAGCTCTCGAATATCAAATTTCCGAGAAGGTTCGAGTAGACAACGCCGTCTGCTCTCGCCCATCAGGAAGTCGTGAAAACCCTGTATAGACAGGGAACAAATATATTCAATCTTTTCAAATTTTATCTGCACGTATAAAAAAATTAATAAATAGAAAAACCTAGCTAGGAAATTCTATTGGTTTTTTCAATTGAACTTGGACATGTTGAATGAAAAAAAAATTTAATTCCGAGTGGAAAATATTCTGTGGAGATATTTTCCACAGAAATATATTCATATATTTTCCAAGTTTTTTCGTTTTATTTGTTAATGAAAAGAGAAGGAAAATCGAGAGAAGAAAACGTGAAAAAAATTCCAAGTTTTCCCAAAACTCAAGAATTAAAAAACCAAAAAATTGCTGTTTTTCATGCACTGACATACCCAAAAAAAATTCTCAAAGTCCATAAATCTCACCAGGGGGCGGGGGAGAAAAAGTGTCGCATCAAATCACTCAAGAAAAAAATCTCCCCCGGACAAATACCCCAAGACTCCCCATTTAAAATTTAAACAAACTCTGTCGTCCCCTCTCATGAATAAAGAAATGACGGGGCGTGGAAGAAAGATACTCGCATAAAACAGAGGCGTTACATATTTGTCAACCAAGTGCATATCCCCGACCTCAACGACCCCAGGAGTTATTGGTCTGCCTCTGTGGACCGTAACATGAGCGCCATTTTTCCGAAAATACACGTATAAAAAAATTCAACAGAAAACTCTAACGAATTCGCTAGAAAATTCTATTGGAATTCTCGAAAAATTCTACGGGGAATCTATTAAAATTCTGTGGGAATTCTCGTTAAAAAACTATTTGTTTTGTTGTTAGAAAAAATCAATAGCTTTCGATTTTTCTATTTGAATTTTTCTCTTGAGATTTTTCTATTAAAATTATTTTTCTATTAAAACTTGGAAAATTCTGACCTCATAGATAAAATTCCAAGAGAATATTCACATAGAAAAATCGAAATCTATTGTCTTATGACGAAATCTATTGACCTACCAAATACATCATAGAATCAGCGCAAAAATAAATAGAATTGCCGCGAAAACAAATGGAATTCCCTAGAATTTTAATAGAATCCCAATAGAATTTCTAGAGAATTCCAATAGAGCGTTCTAGCGAATTCGCTAAATTTTTCTATCGAATTTCTTCCCACGCGTACTTATTCAGAATGGCATTCTGGGAATTTGCGGGATGATAGAAGGACCACTTGTGATAGGGGCTGCTGACGAGACTGGCAACACGATTCCTGGAATCGTGAATCAATGATTCCTGGAATCAATGCGATTGGAACTGTACGGTTCGGAAGGGATGAAGTCAAAGCCATCTGAATTCCCAGCGATATCATATATCCCGGGCGGGCGGCCATAGGTGCTTACGACAATTACGCAACATTCAACATGTGACCAATTGACAGGAAACTGTTTGCTATGAGTATGTGGATGGTTGATCCGGATTACTTGATTAAATTATGCGGTCGCTGTTGGGGGGGGGGCGATGGCGGGTTGTCGTCAACATGATTGATTAATTAAGAGGCCTCGGAACACGAATAAAAAAAAAATTCATAGAAAAATCTAGCGAAGTCACTTGGACATTATATTCTACTATTTGATTCCTACGATTTCCATTGAAAAGTTGCACAGCTCATATGCGAGTTTTTTTTTCAATGAAAATGTTTCATGAAAAATGTTCCTCTATAAATGCCTCGGCTCAAATTTTCCAAGTGTTTTTTGTTTTTTTTTTATGAAAAGAGAAGGAAAATGAGTGGAAAAACGTTGGGAAATTCATGGCGCGGACTTTCTATTGGAAAAATTATGTAAAAAGATGAAATTCTACTGATTTTCGTGGGTGAGGTGAAAAAAAACTACTGAAATACGGGGAAAACTTTGCGCTATGGATTCTCAGCCGAAAAGAGGATAAAAAATGACTATTTCCCTTTTTATTAGTTGTCGGTAATTTTTTCTCAAAAAATTCCGCAGCTTATCTGCGCGAAAAAACAAAACCGGCTTCGATTTTTCTATAGACACGCCTCATCTCAAATTTCCCAAATTGATTTGTTAGATTGTGTTATGAAAAGCGAAGAAAAATAGATCAGAAAGCGTAGAAAATTCATGTCGAGGAATTTCTATGGAAAGCATTTCAATAAAAAAATTGTATTGAAAGATGAAATTCTACTGGGGAATTAGACGGCTCGGCCTTGCTCCTCTCGATCAACATCATCAGCTTGTGATTCCCCACAGCAGGACACGCCATTCCCTCGCTCTGTTCCCACCCGATTAATCAGAGGCACTAATTTTTCACCAAATTCGGCGTACGTCACATTGTTGTACGACGAAGAGTGCGTCGGTGGTGGGACAACATCAAGAGTAATTGGGATATCCCTCGATCTGGGGAAATGAGCTACGTCCAGCGTGTGACCTCTGTCCGCAAGACTCTTCATCGACCTCTCGAATTCGATCAAATAGGCTCGTGAATTCAGGGGAAATGCAACTACAGTCCTGTGAGAGACTGAGGGATTCCAAAGTATTGAAAAAAAAAAAAGTGACATTATGGTCCAGTCTCTGATCTTCAATATTCATTTATTCGTTTATAAAATATATATTCATTTATAAAATGAAAAAAATGATAAATCTTTAGAATTTTTTGATGAATTAAAAAAAATCACTTCTATTAAATTTTGAAAATTGATTGAACATTTTTCGTGAATTCAGGGGAAATGCAACTACAGTCCTGTGAGAGACTGAGGGATTCCAAAGTATTGAAAAAAAAAAAGTGACATTGTGGTCCAATCTCTGATCTTCAATATCCATTTATTCGTTTATAAAATATATATTCATTTATAAAATGAAAAAAATGATAAATCTTTAGAATTTTTTGATGAATTAAAAAAAATCACTTCTATTAAATTTTGAAAATTGATTGAACATTTTTATATTTCCACATTTTTTGGTTCTAATTGTAAAAATGAGGGTTCTCTCATCAAAGAAGAGACAAAACTGCAGTTAAAATTCATCACCAATCCTTGTCAAACCTAAAATAATTTTTTTTAACGGATTCAAAATTTATTTCCCCATAATTTCTCCAATATCTGTACCTTCATCAACTCCAATTGCGTATAAAATAAGAAATAAAGAGGAGATCATGATAAAATCACGGAGAGTCGTTTGCAAAAACCCCCATTGGAGCAACGATCCCAAACGGCTCGAATAACATTTCCATCTTCCTATTTCCAAAGGGGAACACAGATGGACCAGAAGATTGGATTTCGGCTTTGGCGAAACGAGGAAAAATGAGCGGTTGAATAAAAATACGTGTTGTTTAATACAAATTGGATGTGAGAGGTAGAAGTTCTGGAAAGCAGAAGTCCACTGTGAATTCCTAATAATGAAAACCACCTCTGAGGGAAGGAAGACCCGTTATTTCCGTGCAATACAGGAGACCTCTGATGCTTCGGATAAAAAACGACAGCCACGTGGGTCGAGATAATTAAGAAGCTTTGATGCAACCAGCTGAGAGGCCGCTCGGATTCACTTGGTACCGGGTTTTCTGGTGTTAATTATTACTGTTAAAAGAGTCATGTGGAGTTCAGGAGGAAAAACACGGGGTCGCCAAGGTCATTTTAAAAATCTATTTTAATTTCATTGTTATAATTTTTTGTCAGGGGAATAAACCAACGGATTTATAATTGATTTATAATTAAATCTCATTAATTAAATTTGTAATTCAATAAAAGAGAAAAGGAGTGGAAAATTGCTCTTTTTAAATTTTTAATTAATATTTAATGATGTATATTAATTAATATTAAAATTAAATATTCATTTATTAGTAAAAGTAATAAATTAATAATTTGAATCCATTGGAAGCATGATATTGAAAGATATCCCCGGAATTATTATTTCCAAAAAATTCAAAATGTTCGCAAATTCTCAAATGACAAAACTAATCGATGAATTATATTTTATTAGGGCTCAATAATACCTGCAGTTGAAAAAAAAAATTCAATTACAGTCACTCATTAATGCACAATTGAAGAATAACACAAAAAATCCAAAGCAAAAAATGTAAATTCTCAAAAATTCTTTTAAAAAATTGTCTCAGTGTAATGCACTCAATGAAGGATCTTCCTTCCCTCAAAATAGAAACGATAAAACCCGTTATACCCCCGTAAAATTCAACCTGATGGAATCGATACTGGAAATATCCCGCAGTTGTCACCAGAACCGTAAAGTTGGCTGAAGCCCCAGCCCCACAAGACTGAAAAAGCCCAGATGTTCTCACCTGACTGGCAATTAGTAAAGTTGACAGTACCTCCGGACAAAGAGGCCTTCCGATCCCCCAGAAACAGGATCCCGCGTCGCAGGGCCAATTATTGACCCCGAAACTCGGATAATTGACGCAACGAGACGTCAACTGAAAAACCGTTCGATGACAAATTCTCTCCGACTGAATATTCCGGACTGAATTCAATATGTCAGGAATTTTTCAATTTCCAGATAAATAAGAAAGTTTTCAAACTTAATCGCATTATGCGGAGACATTCCCCCGTGGAGAGAGAGAAAATCTCGATTCCCTTAATGTTCCACCCCCCCGACGACCGGAATTACAAAGAGAATGGAATTAAAAAAAAATGGAATACATCCCATAAGCCGGATGTATTGAATTTCTTATTGCACTCTAGTGCTTCCCTATAAAACAGAAGACGAGAAACGTGCGAGATTCTCTCCTGCATAATGTCTGTGGCATTCTCATCCTCAATCCAGAAAACATATCTCAATCCAGATTTCCGGGTTTTTGCATCGGCAGGGAGAAGAAAAGTTGGAGAAAAATTACCGAACAAGGCTAGCAATCGTGGAGCGGAGCCCCTTTCTGGGTCTTTTCACCCCACATGGGGGCAAAAAAGTGCGAGACGAATGGCGACTTCTTCTCCGCTGAAATTAATATTAATATTAATAATAAAATTACGCCTATTCAATAACAAAATCCCTTAAAATTTCAATGAAAATATTACTTACTAGAAATTTCCAAAACTTTGACTGCAAATTTCAGTGAAAAAATTCTCAACAGTGTATATCATCTTAAATATCAATATTTACCAAAATTTGTCATTTCTCTACTCACAATATTTCAGTTCGATGACCGGAATAAACGAAAAGCTCTATTCTCTACGATCGCCTATCCCACGATAAAATTTCTCTCGATTTCCGGATAATTTTATTCAACTTTTCTCCCTCTGTGCCGTACGGGGGAAAAGGCTGTTATTTACATACCCCTGATGGCGGAAAAAACCTCTCCGTAATTCATCGAGCAGTTGAACATAAATTAATATTAAATCATCGTTACCGGAAATGAAAAGAAAGGGTGGGATTTATGAGGGTGAAAAAGTGAAAATGAGAAGGGGAGCTCGAACCCCGAGGCCCGCAATAGGGAGTTTGTCGTTTCAACAAGTTGTTCAATAAAACGAAAACGCTGGGAAACTCGAGTGGGCGCTCTCGACATCTCGAGCATAAGTTGTACACCCGGGGGGTATCGAGTATTAAAGTGAAATAAAAAATTATTAAAATTACTTAATTGTATAAAAGTCCGTTTCACAAACGAAAAAATTTACTACAAAATCCCAGTGAATGCGTTAGAAAATTCTATTGAATTCTATTTTATTGAAATGAGAATTTCATCTTTTAATTTTTGATCGAATTGAATAAAGTAAAAAATTAATAAAAATTTCCATCGAATTCGTTATGTTTCTCTACGAAATATTTTTCTCTGCGCGCCTTTCACCGACAAAAATTATTCTCCATTTACGGGTGCTCTCCCTTCGTTGCTTCCCCAAACCAAAACAAGAAAGAAAAATAACTTATTGTGTTGTCCAATTAACCCCGACAGATAAGTTATGATTCCCATAATTATTTCATTAGCTCCCTGTTCCACGACGTGGACGGCCCTTGGCAACAAGGCGACGATAAAATTCGTCTGCTAAGACAAATTGAACGCTGATCTGGTCGTAAATCCCCCCCGGAAACCCACCCCCTTCCCCCTGAGCTATTCTGCTGCGAAGAGCTTCACGTTGTCACCCTGACGCCCTGAATCTCAATAGAACCATCAGTTTTGGATATACCGATCTCACGTGCATAGTTTCCCCCCGAGAAACGATCGATGGAAATGTTTTTTCTTCTCGTTTAAGGACATTCGATCAAGCCGAGGGGATTGTCGGCCTGATGCTCGTAAATTTAGATCGTTTCCCTCGACCGAAGTGCCTCTATACTTACCGACATCGTATCGAGTCCAATTGTTGTCTATTTACAGTCGTAAAATTCACCATTCAGACAGGTATTTACATTTAATCTCAATCGGGTAATTTTTTTCTCGCAGAACCTTATTGCCCTGGACTGTTTGATGGATGGTCTTGTTGGCCGGATACACCGGCGGGTCAGAAGGTCTTCACGAAGTGTCCCTCGTTTATCACTGGATTCGACGAGTCATGTGAGTATAACGGATTCTTTTGAGAATGGGAAATTTCAGGAGGAGCGGAGATTGCGGATTTTTTGGAATGAAGAATGAGAATTCTGGGATCTGGTTCAATAAGTCTGGCTGCCTCTTAGGAGACTTGATCGCAGAATGCAAAATACAATATTTATTATCAAAAATCAATCTTCATATCTTCATCTGTGCATCACTTCAAAAATACAAAGCTGGCGCTTTCGAAATCTGCAAAATGCGGCTGCAAAATTCACCTCTTAATATCCAAAATACAATATTATCAAAAATTAATCTTCATACTCACATGTTTATAATTATCTCTGTGCATAATTTCAAAAATACACAACTAGTGCTTTTGAAAAAATCAAAATATAAACATCTTTATATTCGCATGCTAATATTCCGCTTCACGAATAGCTTCGCACTCTTGAAATTGAAATATAGAATTCCCTTTTCTCTATTCAAAACACAAGATCCAATATAATGAAAAACTTCGCACTTTAACGTGAGAATTCTATAATCGAGTCGCATAAATCTAGATGGTTCTAGTAGATTTGATCGCAGAATCTCTTTAGAATGGAAAATACAATATTATTTATCAAAAATCAATCTTCATACTCGCACATTAATAACTCCCTCTGTGCATAATTTCAAAAATACACAACTGACACTTTCGAAAACATCGAAATGCAGCAAAATACAATATTTATTATTGAAAAAAAAAAAACCTTTACATTCGCATAAAACTACTCTCGAAGTTGAAAAAATAGCTCACTCCAACATTTCCCACTGCATAAAAAAAATAGAAACTCCCATGCCCCATCACTTGCCCTCTAACTGGTTAACACACACATAGACATTCGCAACGACAGCCGGATGCTGATGTTTCCGCAACCCCCTCACAATTCTCCAGAAGCGCGGCTCATCCGTAATTTTAAAACTACAGTTCAGCATCATCGATGCCAAAATAGTGGAATCCTCGTTCTGAAACTCGAGAAGGCTCTCCACAAACTCCAACTCCGAGTGTCCCCACTCATCCCGCGATATCCTCGCGTCCAAGAACTCGTGCAAAACCTTAGCAACGAGGGCTAGTGACTCCCTGGAGAGGGCAGCAATGATAGTCGGCAAAAGTTGCGCGATTTTTCCCGCCAAATCTTTCGGCGCTATCGCGACCTCGAACGAAGCCGCGTAGGTGAGATATAAATAGGAAGTCGGCGCGTGCGGGGGTTTCAGAATTGAAAAGAAGCTTTTGAATAGCGCCTGCACAATGGCCTTAGTAATTGGTGAGGAGAACTGCTGCTCAATGACCTCTTGAGTAAACTTATAAACCACATGATTCCCGAGTAACAATCCCGCCTTCTCCCCCTCGACATCCCAGTACTTTTTAATAATCTCAGTCAACAAACCTGTGAGATGCTGGAGACGATGCTCCAACTTCTCCTCAGCCCTCATCAGATACCCCCGAACGACGTAATACCTCATTGCGGGTGAGAAAGCATAATCAGGTTGCGATAAATCAGCAAAGTACTCCTTCAGGATGAATTCGTGCAGCTCTTCTGGGAAGACATAAGCAACGCTGATAGCTGAATTTATGAGTTGGCTGAATCTGGCCAAAGCTTGCTTCCTGTCAAGTCCGTTCTCCACTCCCTCAAGCCGCCTGATCGCGGCGAGCAGCATTCTCACGTAATCGACAACGAACTCATCAGGAATCCTGCTGATGTTGGTCATGGCCATAATTGCGTCGTCATCGGGCCGCAGATCCTGAATAGCCTCACGCATGATCGGCCATGTCTCTCGGCTCGGCTCCTCCCTGAACATCTGCATTATCTTATCAAACACAATAGCCCGGATCGATCGATGCTTTTCATTCCTCAGTAAATTTGTCAATAAAACTCTAATTGCATCGTTCCTCGCCACACGAGTGAACAGCCTGATGCCGTGTTTCTTGATTGACACACCCCTGTCCATTAATTTAATCGCGAAAGGAATGACTTTGTCAGCTGAAACCCTTCGACCGATGTTCGTCAGGCAGTTAACAGCCGTGTGGATGTAATCCCCGACGCAGAACTCCAGGACGAGATCCGGAGAGACCGGTGGAATCACCAGGTTCAGTGACTTGGGAATCGTGAAGGTCAGGACGAAATTGGTCTTAGCGTTGTCGTCATTTGGATTAAGTCCCGGGGTTTTCGGTACGAACGGTGTGATCACCCGCTCGAAGGCGCTTCCGTCGTACAGTAGAGCCAGGACGACCAAGCTCCAAGCATCCTTGTTGGTCGTGAGATTGCTCACAGCTTTCTGTGAAAACTTGATCGGCAATTCCTGGTGCCAGCGACACGACTTCACGAACCTCTGAGCAAGTCTCCCGTAGATGTTCTCTCTCAGTCCCTCGAGATATTTCTCCCAATTTTCCAGGATCTCCTTTGGATTTTTCTTGAGAAGACAGAGAACCTCTGTCGTCTGAAAATTGATTACAGGCCCTTCTGGTTTACCTGGAACTAAGGCTTCCCACAGATCCTTCTCTCCTTTCTTCAGGATTTCCGACAGCCTCGATTTGGTCCACTTCTCCTCATCTTTATCGTTAAGGATTTTCTTGACAGCCTCCAATAACCAGAGAAAACCCTTCAACGAGAAATTCTCTAGTTTAGACGTCGGATTTTTCGAGTTTCTCTCGTTGAAATTGTAGATCGCCTGCACGAGATCAATCACCGCGGCCGGCCACGACTCTTTCCAGATCTCATGGTTCTCGGGATACCTCTGTTCAATAATTTCCAGAAAACTCTCCAAACACTTTCGCTCATAATCAGGATAATCAGTCAAAATATTCCACTTACCACCCCAAGTTTTGCTGTAGAGTTCGATGAGAAGATTAATTTTACGATCGATCGGCAGCTTATTGATGAGATTGAAGTGGATACCAGCGGTGATAACTTGCTGTGCTTGACCAGATCTGCTCTGGAGTTCATTCTTAACGTCCAGCAGACGAATGAGATCATCCAGGACCTCCCAGTGCTCGGCGCTGAGGTTCTGCGCCTGGAAATACTCCAGCAATCCCCCCAGGACCTCCAACAGGAGCCACCCCTGCTCGTTCTTGTGCCTCACGTTGATGTACTTGAGGACCTCCAGCAGTGCCACCTCATCCCCGTTGACAGCGCAAGTGAAAATCATCAGCTCCAGCAAATCCCTCCTGTCGTTGACGTCCGAGCTCTTCCTGATCTGTTCCTTGATCATCGGAATTGACTCCTCAGTCGAGAGATAGCACCTCCACGACATCTTGAACTCCCAGCTGCCCCCCAGGTGCCAGTCCTGGTCCCTCTCCAGCTTCTTCCTCGCCTGTCTCACTCTCTCCTCCGCAGGAAGGGCCCTCAGGACCTCCGGGGTCACCTGGCCCTCGCAATCCAACAACTTCACCCCGTAAACCTCTTCGAAAGTCGACAGCAACAGCTCCAGCTTCTCCTCCTGATAGTACTCTAAATACCCGAAAATCTCCTCGAACTTGAACTGCTCCCTCTTCTCCGGAAAGATATTCCTGAACATCGACTTGAATTGACCTTTTGACAACTTTCCAGTGACCTTCAACGGCATCATCGGTAGAAAGGCCCTGGGGCTGCGGACGACAGCATCAATCCCCTGTTTCATAAATAACTCGGTTCGTTTCCGGCTTAATTTAATCCCCAGCGAGCGCTCGTGCATCTCAATTACCTCGATAAAACTGTTGATATTTCTCTTCAACAGTATCGGCAAAAAATCCGTATAATCAGAAATATTTACCACCGCAAAATTGCGCTCGCGAGGGTCATCGCGGTTGCTCAATTTCAGGTAATCGATTATGACATTTGGATAGCTGCGATAAATAATTTTCATCAGGCGGGTATTGAGGCCGATTTTCCGCTCCTCGATGATGAGCTTTTTAATGAATTCCTCGCTGCAGGCGATCAGCAGTGACTCCGCCAATTTTCCACCGTATTTTGCTGCCAATTCGGCGTAAAAACCCTCCGCTATCGATTTATCCGCGTTTTGGGACGATAAAGACGCGGATAATTTCTTCACGAGGGCCTCGCGGTGGTCCAATGACACGTCGGGGAAGATGTGATCCTCGTAGTATTGCGCATTAGTAATTTGGGGATTGCTGCCGTCAAAGAACCACTTGGCCTTGAGTGCACGATCAAAGACAATCTCGTCCTCCGATTTCAGCGCCTCGATTATTCCCACCGGGTCGCGAAGGTTTTTCGACACTTCAGCATGCACCAGGGGTATCAGGGGCTCGGGGATGCCGAGGGATTTGATCTCGCGGAGGGGATTGACGTCGGGGTTCTTTGATTTTGAAGATATTACCGCGGCCGCGGCGGCGTTCAGCGCCTTGTACTTTTCGCCTGGCGTCGATCCGGGAATCCCCTGGATCGCCTCGAGGTACGCCGAGTCCATCGGGGGTTATGTTACTCTTGACCGTTTGAGCGCGTCTTCTCGGAAATGGGGGTGTGTTCCATTCGCTTCGGCTGATGCGGAACTGCACGAATAAATGTTTTTTTTTCCTCCCGCGATGTTTGGAAATGTTTTCCCGGGAGGCGCCGGCTTATCTGACAGCTAGAATTTTCCCGGGGTAATAGGTATTTATGGAGTTGTAGTCATCACTCGGGGCTCTTCGATTTAATTAGACGGATCGGACGGGTATTATTTTTGGGGGTGGATAGAGAAATTTGAAGGGGTGAAAACACTCGGGGGAACACTGGTGGAATAAAACGAGACAGAATAATGAACACGGTCGACTGACTTTGCCAACTGCCTCGTACACACCCACTACGCATGCCCATAGTCACGTATTCTTGGGAAGATAAACAGGTTTGAATGTGTGGGGAGTGTGTCGAGACGGTCTCGTACGTGTGTTCGGTAATTTTGTGATTGTGGGATTATCGTGAGGCATCAGGTTTATTTTCGAACTCGCGTGAGCTATGCGACTGGATTCGCTGGTTATCGTTATTGACAGGCGAAAATATTTTTGTCATTTCTGTAACTTTTGGGGATAATGCGAAAGAAATGGCGATCATTTGGGGATTTTTTTTCGGTTGAAGGGGTTTTTTTTTGCTTAGTCATCATTCTGGATTAATGGATTTGTTACGGAGTTATGATGATTCTTTTCAATGGAATTTTAATGACTTGTGATCACTTCTTTTGTGTCTTCCGCATTTTACCTCATTCTGTTTTACATTCATGACGCGTTGAAGTCGTGATAATGGGGAGCGTTTTTTTTGGGAAAGTACGTTTTTCTGGCTGTATTGAGTCTAGACTCTATTGATAAATTTTTTTACTGAGTCATGGGGTTTTTGTTTTAAAGAATTATAATGACGCGGGATTATTTCGTCTGGATTTCTTGCGCATTTTTTTCATTCTATTCTTCATTCATAATACATTGAATTCACGATGATGCGGAGCAATTTTTTTCCGTGGAAAGCACATTTTTTGCTTTCAAATGAGTTAGAATCTATTGATCAATTTATTGCGGGGGCCTGGATATGGAATTTCATCGGAATTCTTCAGAAAGAAATTTCAAAAATTGATAAAAATAATTTCATATTTATTCATTTAACAAGTAACAAATTTATCACATCTGCTAAGAATTAAGAAAAAAATATAGATATTCAAATTTAGAAAATCTAATAACAATAATGCCTAAAACTTTACGCTACATCCGTCGTATTTATGAAAATAATTCTCTTTGCGTACGAATCCAACAATTACGATAACATTTACAATTTATTCTTCAATTGCGAGCTCAACCGATTGAAAACATTGATCTCCCTCGTCATCTCAAGACCGTCCGTAATTTTCAGACACTCGTACTCCTGCATTTTCGTAACGGGGGTCCACGTGACCGGCAAAAATTGAGATGTCGACGATGTCGGGTTCCTTAAATATGAATAATCCATTTATATTTTCCGGTTAACTTGTAATGCATCAGGAAGTTGTGTATGCACAGCATCACGGAAGTTATTTCCCCTCGCCCCAGCGCCCCACCCTCTCCGAAAAATTATGAAAGATGTATTTTTAACATTACCCAGTCTTGGCGAAGTTAGTCCACATTTCCGTGAAGCGCTGAATAAGTAACCACTGGACAGAGGAAGGATCTGGAGCTTCAACCCCAAATTTCTGGAGTAATTTTGCGTAGAATAGTAGAGGTAATTCATCACCGTGACAGGTGCCTTAAAAATGAAAACAGTTTAATGTTAGACCGCTGATGCATATGCGGAGGGATGATGTATTATTCTTGGAGTGAATTTAACATACGCACGGAAATATTTGATAGAGAAACCCAGTGAATTCGGTAAAAATTCTCTCCGATTAAACTTCTATAGGTAAATTCCACAGTTTTACAATTTGTGAAATTTCATTTTCCTTCCTTAAAAAAGCGATTTTATAGAAAAATTTGGAAACTAGTGCGCATTTTTTAAATTTCCATCGAACATTTCCGTTGAAAATGCCGAATTCCCTAGGTTTATCTATGAAATTTCTTCGCACGTCCAGCTCACCAGGAAAATTAATATTCATGAACAATTTGATGTGAGATGTTCCCATGTCGCAATCAAACTTGTACAGATACGTCGGGTTTTTCGACGTTTTAACCTGAATATCGAGGACATCGTGAATGCCACAGAGGAAATGAGCGTCTCCCTGGAGGTCCACAAAATTCTTTACTGTCTCCGTGGAAATTTTCTGATTGCCGAAGTATATTTTCCTGACATCAGCCACCGAGAAATTCCTCTGCTGAAAGTGTTTCACTGCTGTTGGATGCAACATGCAGGTCTGATACTTCTCATCAATCTCGGCGAATCGCTCGGGATTAATTCCGGATGTCGTTTCTCCATCAATATCGAGATTCAAGCCTGAAACCAACAGGTTATACTAATCCTCCAACCAAATTGAAAATGAATTTGTGATGAGACACGTCGTAACGCGAATTTATTGCACCTGCTAGGACTAGGAGGCCTTCGTCGCTCATATAACCGATCATACAGGGCACTTTGATGCCGGATTTCATGGCCTCCTCTGGGGGTATCGGTAGAAATGGATTCTTTGATAGTGCATCCACACCTGGTCCAAATGGATTGAGGAAATGCAATTTATCCTGGAAACAATCAAGTTTGGGGGATTGGGGTTTTATTGATTCGATTGATTGATGCATTCGCGGTATAGCGGCACTCAATTGCGTTAAAATTGACATTAAACTGTCTATTCAATTTTTACGATTAAGAAAATAAACTGAAATTGAAATGGAATTCTTGAAATTTATGGAATACCGCTTACTTTTACATTCATAAATGATTCGTGTCGTTCTTGCAAATAAATTACGGAAACTATTCATGAAAAAAACCGTAAATGATTTTTCCGCGTAAATATCCTCCGAAAATTTCACATAAACTATTATTTGTTGAATATATAACTTCGGGTTAATCCCATAAAGAAAAAACTTCAAATTACAACATTTCGGCTCTGAATTTCCTGTGAAATTGATGGAGTTAATTAAAAATAATTGGTAATTAAAATTTTTTCAACTACATTTTTCGTGGGAATTTTCGCCTGCGCCCGTATTAACTCTTGCACATCGACACTCTTGAAGAGCCTCAACAATTCCGCAGGATTATCGCTCTCCTTCCCTAATAAAGCGGCAAGTTGGCGGGCGTATCGCTTGGGTGATCCTGGTACTCTGGCCCATGGATTTATCGCCGACCCGCTCTGTATAATAGCCTTCTGAAATAATCCTGCAAACACCCCGGTTATGTATGTAGCCAGTGTGTACATTGTGTGAAACAAAACTGTGGCGTTAATACCTTGAGCTGAAGGAGATATAGTCAGATAATGAACAGACGCGCCACCAGCGCTCTCTCCAAAAATCGTAACGTTACCCGGATCCCCTCCGAATCTATCAATATTCCGTTTTACCCATTGCAGAGCCAACACCTGATCTTTCAGGCCCTGATTACCCGCTGCAATCTCATTCTCCAGGTTCAGAAAACCTAAGATTATCTCATTTAAATTTTTAATAAATTTCATTTGGTCGAGAAACTCAAAAAGAAAATGCTTTCTTTAAAAAATTCCACTGAAATTCTATCAAAAATTCTTTTTGTCTTCTATTTATAAATATTTCAGCTGAAAAAGTAAATAAATTGCCATTTTAATACATTAATTCTCGTGAGGTTTTTTCTGTAAAAATACAAATTGAAACATAACTTGGAAAAAGTATAAATGAATTCCATTAAAACTCTATAATAGCTATTTGTTTTTTATATATCAGCATTTAATTGAAAAAAAAATCAATGTATTTTCATTTTCATATGAATTATTCTCTGGAGACTTCCATGAGAAATTTTGCGCATTAAATGTCATAAAAAGTTTAAAAAACTCTAAATTAAAAAACAATAGAATCTTTAATAGGATTTTAATGAATTTCCAAGAGAAATTCAATAGAATTTCCCGGAGAAAGCACTGGCTACAGTTTGACGATGAAATTCACCTAGGACTCCAAGACGATAATTGATTGTAACCAGAACAATATCTTTATCAATGAGATAATCCGGTCCAAACAGGGTATCATCACCGGATCCAAGGACAAACGCCCCGCCGTGAATCCAGACCATGACGGCCTTTGGAATCTGCGGGTGGATCGATGTTGTGTAGACATTGAGATATAGACAATCATCGCTTCCCACTATACCACGAATTATTGGATCAATGTGGGCACAGTTGTCACCGAAGTTTGTCGCTTCCCTCACACCGGTCCACTTCAGTGGCGGTCGCGGATCCTATTTTGAACGATAAAAATCCAATTTAGTGGAACGAGACGAGTCAACTCAGCCGCTTGTTGACTTTTGAATAAATATTGCGGAATCGGGTGAATAGAGAAATATTTTTATTGATGCATTTCTTGCTGAAAAGGGTTTTACAAAAAGTCTTTTCCCTCATTCAGACTTTGAAACATTTGCTAGACAGTTTGCGACGGAAGTTCTTGAAACGGAAATATTGAAAAGGGAAATGTCACAACCGGAAAAAAATGTGAAAAATAGAAATAACTTGAAAACAAAGTCATTTACATTTGACATATCGTCCGGACACTTCGTCTCAAACATTTTCTGAGCATCCATTTAAGAATAATTAAATGTTCAAATGGAGAACGTTACAACAGACAAAAAACTTCATTGAAAATCCGAATGACGTGAAAACAAAAATGTTCAACTGGTGGTTGAGCATAAAATTCCAGACATTTCCATTAAGAATTTTTATCATATGCAAAAAAAATGATTAAACATCAGAAACCACAACAAAAAATTCAATTATCATTAATCATTCATCCCAATATATTTTCCGAAAATACATTACAATCCTATAACGATAAATGTAAATCACCTCGAACCGAAGTTCCCCAACTGGTGGTTGAGCATAAGGTATTCCTTTGAACGCCACATACTCTCTCCCATAGACACTGGTCTCTCTGCCCCCCCTCAACTTCCCGGTATCAATTTCAACTTGGAGATTGTCCATGTTAATGAGAAATCAACTGGTGCACGAGCAAAGGACGTACCCAAAACTTGTGGGAAATACACTGGACACAGAGCGCCACAACACAGTACTCTAGAGTCTAGACTCTCTCTCTATTCATGGTTGGACTTTTAAAAGTTGTGTCTCTCCTCTCGTACAAATCGCTGAGGCCCCCCACCACTTCCTGCCGACTTGTTTTACCCACACGAGCTCTTCCCGCTGTCTGTGTGGAATATTCTGCTGCTGAATTTATCTACGAATGGGCCAGTGAACGTTTAACGAGTCGGTGAGAGTGGGTCAAGGTCATTGATATTGTCCCATTTTTAAAATATAGTGGAGAAATTTAATGAAAATAACTTGCCATTTGTTATGAAATTCTATTGACATTCATACACTTTACATTTTTCATATCCCTTAAACTCTGAAATATTTTCCAAACATTCACTTTATAATAATTAATTTTTTTTATATTATTAAGAAATTAAGTGTGAAAAACCTAGTGATTTTTATGAATTTCCATCGAAATTTATTTAATTAATATTCTACAGATTCTGTAGAGTAAAAATTATATTCAAAACATTCGTCTGAGAACGATGGAAAAATTCTTCTAAAGGAAAACGTCAGAATAAAAAATCTTGTAACAGAAAAAATTGAACTAAAAATCATTGAAATTTAATTTGAAAAAAATCTGTGGATTCTATTGACATTTGTTGGGCCTTAAAATAAAATAAAATAAAATGAAATTCCTGCTGTCTTCAATGAACAAACAACAAATAATAAACTCAATTAAAATTCTATTAATTTTTATCCCAAAATTACTCGTAAAAGTAAAAAAAAACAGAATTTCTTTTCTAATGGATCAAATTTTTTGTCAACAAATATTTCATTGCATGAAATCCGTAATCATCGGTCGGATTATCTCCCCCACTGAAAGTGCCTTCTCGCGTGTAACAAACAAACAGGAGATAATTTACCGCAGCGCATGTAGTAGAAGCGGCTCAACTTCCAAGAAAATACGAAACTTCCGCTTCATACTGAAGTTTTTTCTCCTCCACTCGGTGAGATGCGATAGAACTATTACTATATAATGAATGAAGCCTTGAGAGAGTTCCCCCACGATGCACCTTATTAAGGAGTCTCTCAAGAGTTCGCATCAAATGACGACTTGGGATTAACTAGTGACACTGCGAAACATAAATGCAAATGCTGGATATTACTTACGCACAAGAGAAAATGCAAAAACTCCCAGTCCCATCGGGATTGAATTATCATTTTTTCTTCTGCACAGATGAATAAACAATTGTGGAACAATGTTTGAGTGTTGTCGAGTGCTACCAGGGCGTTACAAATGGTTTCCCGTGTCCAAATGCTGGGGAATTGTGCCCATTCTGCTTGCACTGCATACATAATCGTTTCTAAAAGTTATACAGACCAGGTTGCCATTGAAATTTAATCCAGACACCATTGAATTATGTTATTCCGCCAAGAACCGGGAGTGGAAATACATTTCAGGGACCATTGTCCCTGGACAATAGTCCATTTAATCATTAAACTCGCCAGAACGAATTAATTATTCTTTATTCTTCCGGGGAATAAACGAATTGTCATTGTTTTGTTAGTGCAATCATGGTAGCATACCTGGAATGATGATAATTGGTGACTCGGATGAGAAAGTGTGAGCGTAAAAATTTAATATTTGAAAGGAGGATATTTTCAGAAAATAATAAACCCATTTTTCACGAGAGTCGCAACATATTTTTAATTCTTTTTGATTGATGAGTGGAATGAGAAAATGTGGAGAGCTCCAAAATAAATTATTTAAAAGGGCAATAATTACTGTCTTTTTGAGTGGAAACATATTTCAGGGACTGTTGTCCCTGGATAATAGTCCATTAAATTATTAAATACGCCAGAACAAATTAATCGATCTTTATTCTTCTGGGGAATAAATGAATTGTCATTGTTTTGCTGCTGCCATCACGATAGCATATCTGGAATAAAGATAATTGGTGATTCGGATGAGAAAATGTGAGCTTAACAATTTATTATTTGCAAAAACAATATTTTCAAAAAATAATTAATTAAAATTGTTAGAAGGGTCACATTTTTTTTTTCAAAAGGACAATAATTATTTTCATCAACTAAAAATATCAATTTTTTTCGCTCAATTTGGACCACAAGGGTCATGAAAATGATCTTTATTTTCATTCCCGCTGATTCATTCACTCCTTTTGGTATTTTACGATGTGTAATAAAATTAATTTTTTGCGCAAAAATCAATCGCTTTGATTCTCCTAATGAACAAACATGTTGTCATCCGATTGTGCAATCACGATAGCATCAATCACGTTCGTTTTAATCCCATAAAAGCATGTCCGATCGACGCCGAGATAAGGACGAAGTGTTGGCAGAGGGTAAATAGCTGAAAAATAGCGCAAGACGTAGATGATACAAATATGAGGCATCATAAATCACGAGATATAGTGAGCTCTGTCAATTCCTGTTGCCACTCACCCTGACAAATGCCCTTTCACCCGAGAAATTTCTACCAAATAATGTACTCATTGTTCCACTCCAGGGGCGTAACGATAAATCTTCCATTATTTCATTTATTCACCATTTATTGTGCACGTGTCATCAGCAGAACAACAGTTATTTACATTTTTCATATTCTTTGGAATTAAAAAAATTTCATAATCATTCATTTAAGAATAATTGCATTTTCATGCAAGAATTTTACAGCAAAATAAAAAAAATCGTTACAAATATTGTGAATTATTTGAAAACGAAGTGGTGCTACTGGTGGTCCAGTATAACGTATTTATTTATTTTTTATAGATATCATGACGTTTCTATTAAGAATTTTTCTCAAAAAACATCGCAAACTGCTAAAAAATTCTTGTAAAAATTAATTTATCCCAAAATATTCCTCGACAACGCATTAAAATAACTGAATTAAATTCGGAAAATTATCTGAGTGAACGCATTGGCTTGAAACGCTTAAATAAAAAAAATCTGAAAATTGAAGGAAAAAGTGATGAAACAAAAATTTTTTGTGCAGAATTTCCTAAATATTTTGTGGCTCAAGTTTTTAAAAGGAAAATGTTGAAAACTTAAACGTCAGAATAAGGAAAAAGTAGTACGAACTGTAAATGACTTTAAAACGAAGTCAGTTACATTTTACATATCCTCTAGACTCAAAAATATTTCCTAAACTTTCATTCAAGAATAAAGAATGCTACAACATAAAAAAAACACTAAAAATATGAATGATTTCGTTTCAGAAATTCCCATTAAAACATTTTCCTAAATAACATCTGATAAAGTTTCAATTATCTATCGTTTATCCCAAAATATTTACCAGAAACCCATTAAAGTGACCGAATTAATCAAGAAAATTGTCTGGATAATTACGGGTTTGTGTCTGGCGTAATGAAAATAGATCGATAAGACAAAGTCCTCTGGTTGTAAAATTCCCCGATAAGCCGATTTATCCCAGAAATAATGACTAATTGATGTATCGGGGAAAACGGTAATAAAGGGGATACGATGGGTACATGTCAATGTTGAGAGGAAGCACTTTGCTGAATATGGCGCATGATACGATTTACCCAGTAGGTCCGAGTACAGCGATGCGCCTTTGTGAGAGAACGAGGGGCCAAACATGAAATCATCGTTTCCGGCGTACACAGCAACTTTGCTGCTAGTCAATGCGTGTGGACTGGTGTGTGTGCTGGGATGAAATAGTGGAGGAGTCCACCTGAAAAGCCGAAGGGATGAAATCGATCGATCTTTCATCGTCCATTCCGCGTGCCACTGTCAATTCATCACACTCGGGCACATCGCGGTGCATCCCGAAACGAGCCTCGAATTTTCGTTTGTTCTTGCATTTTTCAGTCAATTGAATACTTCTGACGGGCGAATCCAATTGCTGCGGCACGTCACAGGGAAGATCTAGGGGTTTTCCGCGACCGCTGCATTTTTTATTGTCAATCATCTCTCTGCGGAGCTCCGCGCGGGGCTTCTGGGGTGCTTGACTTCTGAGGGAGTGAATGGGAATTTTTTTTTTCGGTTCATAAAAGTTTGAGAAGAGAGCTAGAGATTATTGGATGGACTTGAAGGTGTCATCGGCAAATAGTTTGGGGTTCTTGATGGTGGGAATTTCGGCTGGTGAAGTGTTTTTAATGACTGTAAGAATTTTTTTTTTTTAGGCGTAACTAGATTTGGATTTCTCATGTTCTCATTTCTCAATTCAAGGGGATTTTTTAATTGAGCAGTGTAAATTCATAGGTTTACTCCACTGAAAAATGATAATTATAATACAAAAGTGGAAGAATAATACTTTAATTTCTTTCAGGAATAAATTAATTTCCATAATTTCTGTGAAATGTAAGGTCGCGAAATTTTTTATTCATCTTAAAAATTCAGTAAAATTCTGCATTTTATGTAAAATAATTATTAATATCCTGATAAAAGCTTGAATTTTCAAACTAATTCTGATAATTAAACCCAGTGTTTAATATCATTTTCAATTGATTGGCAATTCAGACTAGAAAATTGCCTGAATGATCCCAATTTTCCTTCATTCTCATTGTCCCATGAACTTTAAAAAATAGAATCGTTCTCCAATATTAGAATTTATCCAAAATTCAAGCATCAACTGCATTTGAATTTCCGCTGCTCTGAATTTCAAGAACGAAAATCAACTCTTCAAACGGCAATTCATTCCGATTTCCCCCCGGGTTGTCCAAACGGAGAGCATTCCCCACAAAAATGTTTCCCATTTGAACAACAAATCACCTCCCTCCAGCGCCAATTGTCCACGCACGCATTCCAATATTCCTTAATAGCTACGTGGCCTCATTTTTCACGAAAGAATACATAACCCATTTACCCTTGAAATCCATAAAATGCACAATGGATCGTCAACAAGGGTGAAGTGAGCGAGGAAGAGAGAAGGAAAAAGGTGTGGCACACGTATACGCATTCAGTCTGCTGAATCGATTGTGTTTTTTTGCTCTTCCCTTTCTCTCTTCGTTTCTCTCTCCACCACATTTTTTTATCTTTCACTGAGCTGTCTTTTTGTTCTGCGTACAGAGAGAATGAAATGTGAGAGAAGCCCAGCCCTTGGCGAGCGA